ATAAAGATCTCTTTCAAGGTCAAAACTTACCCTCTGGTAAGTTAAAACAGCAATGAAAAACCACCATTTTTGCACATCTTTGACAGATGAATATATATATATACATAATATATAATATATATATATATACAATCCTATAAATTGGCCCATTACCATCATGTGAAATGACCAAAGGGTAACCCATCTATACCCAGCTGCTAAAGCTTCCCTTGGCATCGATGGCTGTTTTGGCGGCTTCTGTCACCTCCTGCACTATCTGCGGAACCAGCTGATGTTCCTCCACCACGTGCAACGCTTGGCCCTTGAAGAGACGAGGCATGCCGCAGAACCGGCACCACGCGGCAGCACCGGGCGTTTCGTCACGGCCGCGAAATCTTGAGCCAACCGGTTGCAGCTTCACAGCTTTGGAATGGTTCATGTCGAAGTAATTGAAAGTCTCTGAAGATACTCATGGATACCTCAAACATGGCCGCAAGTTGATCTAAGGAAAAAAACACATCAGCATCAGCTTTTGGGGAATATGATGTTCAAACAAACCTGCTTGAAATCGTCGAAAGCTCCTTTTTGCAAAGACTCCTTACGAAGAATCTTCCTGACCGTCATTCGCAGGACCTCATGTATGCTTCGCCCTGCTTGAGCTCAAAATCTTCCGGAACTCAAGACATCGCACTTTGAAACCAACCTCGAACAAGTGATTTAGGATCTAATAATAAGATGGACAAGTTTGGATAATGATCATTAATGATCCTTCTAATTCTATGGATGGTTTGTGCTCGTGTTTCTGGGCGAATCTTGACAATGAAAAAAGAAACCCCTCAGGTGACATGCAAATCTGGCGAATTTCCAGAGAGAAGCAATTTTACATCTCTGGTTGGCGGTTGAGCCACCCCTCTGAAAAATATTAGTCAGTTGGGGTTACTATTCCCAATATGGAAAAAGAAAATGTTCCAAACATTCCAAACCACCAACCAGATCTCCTATACAGAAACAATCACAGTTGTATCCCTCGTAGCGAGCTCAGCTGTCGGAGCTCCAAAAACGTAGGCGTTTTTGACATGTGAGGAAAGAATGGCACTGCATCTCAAGTCTTTAAATGTCTTTGAGCGCTTTAAGGAGTGTTCAATCATTGCGTTTCCTTGATCAGGAATCACCAGGTGCTGATCTTGTCGCAACATTACGCAACATTGCTCAAACTGGCTGATTGTTTGAAGGAATTCTTCTGAGTCAGTTGCCTACTCCTTCCTCACTGTGATCAAGTGCCTCAGTAAGGTCCAGCAGCTTGCATCACGTTGCCGTCAGTGCCGACACTGGCACAACTGCCGGCTTTGTACTTGCCAAAGCAAGCATCAGAGTTTGCCTTGGCTCGTGCCTTCAAGGCCTTTTGGGCAGCATCCACGTTCTCAGCCTTGCCTAGCCAAGTGACGATACATGTCTTCTGCAAAGCTTTTCCATAGGAGAAGGAGAGGTGCCACGGCAGCTTGCCGGCAAACAGACTGTTCATGGTGCTTAAGTTGATGGTTGCCTCTTCCTCGTTGTCTTCATTCAGAGCTGTCTCACCCGACAAGAAAAAGATGCCCGGTATGGAGGGAGGCACAGTGCGCAGCAAAGTTTGGCAAGTCAGAGTAGCAATGGTCTCAGCCGTGGCTTTCGGGCCACCCAGGCCATTCTTCACCATGTTGGGCTTCAGCACAGCACCTTCCAAGTAGATGTGGTGGTCTGCCAGGGCCTTGAACTGCGCAGCCAAGACCTTCTCGGTCATTTGGGCGCAGTAGTAGATGTCATGATCGCCTCAGTTCAAACAAGAGGCCAAGTTCTGGAAAACACCGCAGAGCATCATTTGAAAAAAAAAAAGAGTGTTCCCAAGCCCTCAACTAACAAAAGCACAGTGGCCATTGGGAACGATTTCAGGTTCCACAATGGGCACCAACCCCTCGCTCTGACAAATGGAGGCATAGCGGGCCAAGGTGTGCACTGTATCCGCAATGGCCAGCTCTGAGGGCAGTTGCTTCGCGGGGTCCAACTGCAGCACGTTTCGCCACTTGGCGAAACGGGCACCCTGCTCATAAGCCTGCCAAGGGCTGGGAGGACACCAGATATGGGGAAAATGGCCGAACAAAGAGATACCAGTAACATCTCTGAAACTCTGGAGCTATACGTAAAATATTGCCTATTTTCCACCCGAAAGTGGCAATATGTGGCTTTGATCATCTATAGTATCTATCATTTGCCATAATTTACCATAAATTGAACTACCATCATTTCCCACATGTTCCCACATGTTCCCCCAGTTCACTTTAATTTACCATCATTTACCATGTCAGTGGCAGCAACGCCTGCTGGCACCTTTGCTGCAAATCATCCAAGCCCACAGTGGCCACCTCCGGGTGTCCCAGTGGACCACTTGGGGTTCCCCAGATGCCCTTCCTTGGTGCGCCAGAGATGTGCCGCAAAGTTTCTAAAACAACATATTATAGTTTAACCATGTTTAAGCCTCAAAAAATATAGAACGGATTAATTGATGTTAATTGATCATGTTGTCTGTTGTTTTTAGAAGATTTGTGGTTTTTCTTTTTTTTCAATCTTTTTGACGGTTGATTCCCATTTAGCTGGTAAATAGATGATCTAGCTATCAATATCTTCGACAATGAAAAAACATGGATAAACAATGATAGTTAAGATAGTTAAGCAAAAAACATATACTATATACATATACTATGCATCTATTCACAATTCACCCACCTTCCAGTAATCAAACCATTCGCTTAGCTATGGATAATCAGATCAAGATCATGTCCGAACGGGAGCTATTCACAGTAGATTCCCCAAATCGTGGATTCACTTCATAGGGATTTCCATATTGGTGAGTTTTTTAGACCCCCAAAAAAATCATCAACCAACAGTTTTAAACACTGCGAACAATACTGTACTGTAATTGGCATTTGTAAACAAAAACACCAGCAATTCCAAGCTTCTTGTTGTAGCCCTTGTCCACCTTGATACCAGGAATCATGCCATTCTCCTTGATGATGTCCACCATGGCCTTGCCAGTTGCATCCTTTTGAAACAGGGTCTCCCAGTGGAGAATCACTCCGCTGATGCTTTCGCTCAAACCGGGAGATGAGAAGCACAGCGATCGGTATGCCGCCCTGTTCTCGATCACATCCTCAACTGACAGCACTTTCTGTCTGCTGGCAAGCTTTAATTTTATTAATTCCACTGCCAGGCTGCATCAATCAGCACAGTTGCTGAACAACGCTTACGGATGCTTCAGATTGCAAAAATCCTTACATTTTCACCAGCCATAATCTCATAATCTGCAACAATCTGCAAGATGTTTTCAATCCATGTCAATCTATGTCCGTCCACTCCCAACCCGCAAAAGAAAGGCGCAAAAGGGCCCAGTGTCTGGAATCTTTGCTGCTTCTGCATGACCCGCCCTGAGCCACGGCCCAGCGCTTTCATCAGCGGCCAAGAAGCCCTTGCCTCGGAAACGAGACCCGAAAATTGATACCAACACAGGCACCTGCAGAGATTTTTGTCCAACACTTGCACTATGCACTTCGCCAAGATCAGCCAAGATGGTACCCTCTGGTAATTTAACATAACTATGGAAAATCCCCATTTTTAATGGGAAAATCCACTATATACGGTCATTTTCAATAGCTATGTTAAATTACCAGATGGTACTTTGAGCAGTTCTTATCTTTCCACCGGCCTGGTGCGCAGAGTTTGGCCGCTGTCTCCTTGAGTTCAGCCAGCTTGTCGGCGGGCAGCACGCTTGGAAGGCCAGCACCAGCCAAGGACATGATGCAATCTGAAAATATCTGGAACCTTTGCACAAAACTTTGGTCTCAAAACAATGGCTGCAGAGTCCGTGTCGCACAACTGTGGCACAACTAACAGCAGCACTGACTATTATTGCTGGGAGCTTACCAGGTGATCATCCAAGTTCTTTCTCATTTTCTGTGGGGAAATGAGCTGTCTGGGATATCTTTTGATCGGCCTCTGAATGGAAGCCACGTCACATGGCACCTTTGCAAATACTTTTTTGCACAAGCGTCACGAATTTTGGGAATAGATCCTTGAACAACAAAGATAACTAAGAACATGGAGGTTTCCTCAAATGCGGGTATCATGGGGTATTATATCCCTAAAATGTCCTAAATCATAAATTTTAATGAAATTGTCCATTATAAATATCATCCAGCTGTTGGGGTATCCCATGACTATGGAAACCTATGGACGGTGGCCACGGGGAAGCTCATCTCCGGTCAGCTCTAGGCTCTCAACTGGAACGTCATGCTGGATCGTTAATGCTCCAACTGAGCCTGGGTTGATTCTTTTTGTCCATGCCCAACTTGCCCAACTGCGACACGCCAAAAACTGGAGTTGCTTTTAGCAAGACTCAACGCACCGACAACCAAATTCGTTCCGGCGTGTCAAGAGTGTCCTTTCTTTGGTGTCGGTTTTGGAACAAATGCAATGAATGACTTCTGAAGAATGTCTGGACTCACCTGTTCACATCGTTGGTGGGTCTTGTGACAATCACACAGTAGTACAAATACGTCGTGAACACATCGGATTTGCCACACCAGAAAACTTTCGTCGCAATTCTGCGAATGCAGAGCACTACTCTTAGAGAAGGGCTCTGAAAGAAAACTATTTCTGCGTGTATTCAACGAAGATCAACGGCACCTCTTTTCTCGGCATTGCAGTTTCGCCATTTCAACGGCACGGGACTTCTGCCTCTTTCTGACATCAATTCGTCGCAAGTTTAACCCATAAAAAGTCGCTTAAGTCCTCCAGCTCTCCAACTGCAAGACCCTTTTCTCCATATTGGAGCAGTGAGGCTCAGCTGGCACACCACAACTGGCTCAAAGTCGCTCACCTCAGAGACGTTTTTGGATACCCATGGATACCCCAACATGTCATAGTTTGTCATAATGTTCATATGATATATTAAATTTCATATCCCATAGGATCCATGTATGGTATATATACTAACATTGGGGGTATATTGATGGTAAATGTTCCCAGTAAAATTGCCAGAAAATCGGGTCCTCCATGGAGCAACATGTCGGCACCATGTCGACCCACCGGCCCCGGGGCCCCGGCCTAAAACGAGGTCGGGATTTGCTCCTTCTCCGACTCCAGTGTCCTTCACCGGCCAGAGATCAATGCATAGATGTAGTAATTCAATGTATAACCAGTATTAGTTCAATTTGCAGTAGGAACTTCTAGGTTTTATGTTTACCAAGTTATGTGTATGTATATATTATATTTATATATTTTTTTTTTCTGATAGTATATTATACTATACATATATATATGATTATATCATATATTATATCATATTTGTAGTATATGTATACTGTATATCAACAACACCATTCTTACCTGCCTTTGGTTCCCTCGTTGGAGCCGACGCGAAACTGCAGCTGCCGCATCCGCTGCTGCGTGCACAGCCATAGCACCGGTCTGCCACGCCCGTGCTCAAAGGTGGCATATCTGTAAAAACAAATGATGCAACATTAAACCATGAAGCATTTCAAAATACCATACCATTCTTTCTTAAATGGCCTAATAACAGCTGTAAAACTCACTAAAATAACCTATCAAAACCTAAACAAAACCATCAACATCCATCAAGCAGGTATTAGATGGCTAAATTTGAATGCATTGCAATGGCATGGGATCAGTATGACATCTTCACTAGCCAGCTACATACGGTATACCCTCCGGTCATTTAGCAGTTTGCGAACTGGAAAATCACCATGATATCCATGATTTTAAAGTAAATCATCTATATAATTATATGGGTATGGGTCAAAATTAGGTACCCCAATAATTGGATGGTGAACACTAAACTAGACTAACATCTGTGGTCCCCTAGGTCTTCCATTTTGACCCACATCCATATGATATTATATGCGCCATCTACTTTTTGTAGCAGGCCATTCACTGACCAGCTACTTGTGACCTCATGACGAGGACGTAAACATGCCGCATGCACAGAAAGCACATCCACAAAAGGCACTGCGCCCAGGGAAGCCTCGACTTGACAAAGCGGGGTTTCACCGTTGATCCCAAACTGTTCACCCCAAAATTGCTGGTTATTTTGGGGAGTTGAACGGTTCATCCCAGCAACATATGGGATTTCAGGTGGTGATTCATAGCTGATATGGGATGATTATCATGAAACCATCCTCCAGCTCCGCTGTGAACATGTGGATGCAGCGGATGCATCAGAACCAACACGAATTGCCATCGTCGCCAAAGATTGGCTGCCAAATCTGTTCGTGCTCAAACATGGGATTGACTCTAAATTGTTTTGGGTTTTAATTCAAGATGTTTCAAGTATATTGTAGAGGAACAGGTAGGAACAGTTGAATATTGCAATATATTGAACTATATTGAATATTTATAGTGATGTTGAATAACACAAAGTTAATCCTAATTATGTTGCAATATGACCCATATTATCTATATTTAATTATAGTGCAGGTGAATAATGGTCGCTATTCGCATGCACTTCTCACAAACACCTCTGCCGCCGGAAACTTGCTATTGACTCTCTAGCAGCTCATCACGGGGCCAGTGGAAGATCATCCAAATAAAAACCATGTCACCATCATTTACCTCAATTTCACCTCAACCGGATGGTTGAAAGATGTTGAAACCCTATAAATAATGGGATTTTGCCCATCTATCAACTCTGGTTGGTGGTTGACCTACCCCTCTGAAAAATATGAAAGTCAGTTGGGAAGGATTATCCCATATATTATGGAAACACAAAAAATGTTTGAAACCACCAACCAGATATTTACTTACCTCACCCCTGCCTTATGCTTGATTCAACCCCCACATACCACCTCAAACTTGTGCCAAAACATGCCACACCGTCTCCAGCAACTGTCAAGGAGCCGTTGGACTGGTGCTATCAACTGCTGCATGCACCGCCGTGCGTGCTGCATTGATGGTGGTTGCCCCAGCTCCACGCACCATTGATGTGGCCAGGTGCGAGGCAGAGGCCAACTGACTTCGAGTCGGCCTTGGTGGAAAATGGAACCAGGGGCCATGTGGATGGGCAAAAAAAACTTGAGGGTTTTAAGCCTATCTCCCAACTTATTGAGGTGAATACCATCTGGCTTCGAAAATGATGTATTTACACAAAAAATGGCAATCTTCATGTTGAAGATGCTATATTGAACCATATTCATCCATATTCACTGACAAAACTGGAGTTATATATCCTCCAATTTTCTTGGAGACGGCTGCCCATGTTGCAAGTCCACTTGCAGCTGAAGCGGGGCAGGCAGGGGTGGATCTTCAGTTGACACAGCTTCATCCTGCCACAGCTGTCCATGACTCCATTGAATCCTTTCAGATCGACGCTTTTTCGACATTGTAAGATATTATAAGTCAGAGCAACAAGATCCATTTGGAAGTAGCCATCTAGAACCCATAGGATCCATGGTGCTGGTATATTACTGCTAACATGACTGTTTTTTTCTTGATGGGATCCATGTCACCATATATATAGCAGCACCATGGATCCGTCATGGGTTATAAGTCAGAGCAAGAATAATAAATAACGCACAAAAACAACAGCAATGACAGCAATATGACAGCAATATATAATACGAATCATCATTCACAATCATGATTAATAACTACCAGCAGCAGCGGCACAAGCACCATCCCTGTGAAGTGTGTCTCCTTTTTCTGGTGTATTGTTTCTTGAGCATCTGCCCAAGTGAGGGAGTTGTCAAAAGGGCAAGACCGCGCAATGTCTCATGTCTGGCTCTGAATGAAGCACACCATACTAGAAGATTCGTGCTCCACGACGCACAGGTTCTTACACATTTTGCTGTCACAAAGAGCTTGCAGAATTTCGAGGTGTGACCGTATGACCGATATTCATCAGATTTGCATGTAATCATAATTGCATGTAGCAGTATGCACTGTATTGCCTGAACTCGCGAATGAGTCACTCAAATCAACTTCGATATGTAAGATACGTATCAATGATCGGTTTTGGTTGGGGAACCTCTAGTGATCCTGCAACGACGGCCCTGTACTTTTTATTTGTATCATTCGAATAACATTTGTATATCCATGCTTATGAATTTATATATATAATTATATATATATTTATATATATTTATATATATATAATTATATATGTATATTTATATATATAATTATATATATATATAATTATATATATATATATTTATATATAATTATATATATATATATTTATAATTAAATACATAAATGGCTTCAGACACATGTTGTCGAACCCCCACTCCAATTGCAATTCCATACAATGAATGGTTCCATACAACATTCTATCAACATCTTGTCGCAGCCCTAATTCAGTGGCTTGGTGTAAATTTCAGAGGATTTTCCCATGGTTTCCCTGCATCATACAGGTTTCCTATGATTTCCTGCAGATTTTCCCTTCCAATTCTCAGAGCGCCTTGCTTCTCTTAATCCTGGCCCGGTGGATGAGGAACACCAAAGATCAGCTGGAAAAAACAACTTATGAAAACGATATGAATGATTATGAAACTACAGGAAAATCTCATAGAACCTCTAAGTATTCTAAATCTATCTATATAAATCTAGTGGTTGATGATATGCTGATTCCATCAGAAAAAAATGCTATTGTTAGAGGGAAAATGACGATCAACGATGGCTTTATTGGGGTACCGCAAATAGGCGGTAATAGAGGCAACGCCTGAACGGATCATGGGGATTATATTGGATACTATTCAACAGTGGAATGTAGCCTCTGGTAATGACTAACATAGCTATTGAAAATGACCATTTATAGTGGATTTTCCCATTGAAAATGGTGATTTCCATAGCTATGTTAGTTTACCAGAGGGTAACCCCGTTGAATCATCAACCGGCGCAGGTTTTGAACACTGCTTAGAAATGGGCATGGGCCAAAAAAATATAACACGTCCAAAAATCGATGGTAGTGATGGCACAAATACCATACGCAAATTTGGCGAGTGCATTGGTATCCATTGGCCATACCACAAAAACACACATTGAATCAGAGACGGCATTTGCTTAAGATTGCCTGCAAAGAAGAACACAATATATTACCAGTAGATGGAAAAAAAACAATGTAATCTGATATAATCTTCAGGTGTTTATTTTTTTTCGAAAACTCCCAAAATATCACAAAGTTATCAAAGTTGATGGTTAATCAGTCAATCATCATGTTTCCCTATACCTCCATATATTTCCGAATATTTCCGATATCTTCAGATATGTCTGGATATATTCAATAATTTTCCATGCCATATAATACTTTATTTCCACATATGTCCCATGAACAATCGCTATGTTATTGGCAGAACTTGGTGTATACCACCATTTTCGGATACCCAATTCATATCTTCTTGGATATCTCCCCACAGTTGTTGTGGATGGTTGCGAAATTCTGCACCACCAACCGGATGGTTGAAACATGTATAACATGTTGAAACCCTATAAACAATGGGATGTTGCCCATCAAATCCATAAATATGGGATATCGAAGATATCTATGGATATCTCCCCAAGATATCCCCATTGAAATCCCCATGTGGCCCATGTTTCACCAGGGCAATTTGAAAGTGGCCAAGAGGACAGTGGCTGCAGCGCATCCAGCCACTTTTCTCGGGACTCTGGAGGTATCTGAAGCTCCAAGAGGTGACCTCCGATGACGAATTTTCTGTGGCTATAGAGGCTACATGTTAGCACTCAATATTGGTGGTTGACCTACCATTGGTTGGGAATATACTGTTTATTATATGGTTACTTTAATGGTTAATGATGGTTAATTATATTACTTATATCATCTTATATCCCATGACGGATCCATGGTGCTGCTATATATGGTGACATGGATCCCATCAATATACCCCAGTCATGTTAGATATGTTAGCATATATACCAGCACCATGGATCCGTCATGGGTTATAGATGGCTACTCCCAAATGGATCGTTTATTCCATGGAAAATCCGATTTTTTAATGGCGAAAAAGTAGGATATAGTGGGATATGACATGATATACTGTGATATATCTATACTGGTTGGTGGTTGACCCACCCCTCTGAAAAATGATGGAGTTAAAGTCAGTTGGGATGATTACATTCCCATATATATATGGAAAATAAAAATGGTTCCAAACCACCAACCAGTGACTCAATATTCTTTCTGGCTGCTGGATAATAGATGATAATAGATATGCCATGCCTTTCCAGATCTTTAAGTGTCTGCTACTGCCCAAATGTGTCAGCAGCATGCAGTTGGTGCTTTTTGCGTTCAGTCTGCTGGAACGTTCTGTGAACGAGTTTGAACGTTCGTGCCTCCAATCAACCGCAATGTGATTCCATGTTCCTGCTCCTCAGCGCCCAACGTGATGCCAAAGTGATAGCATCTCAGATCCAGATTCCACTGTTGGTCAAATCATGGCACAAAACCCTTTCCAAATCTTCCCATGTTTTTCAAGTCCTGGAAGACTTCAATCTGGCTCAAATCGATCCGTCTCCGCGAAGTCTCTGAAAAGTACTCCAGATAATCCTGGAGCGTTTGGGAAACTTGGGAAACTGGAAGCACACAGTAAACCATGAAATCTAACAATGTTGAAATCACATAGAAAATCATAATCTGCAATTCACATTGCCAATGGCATGCGGCTCCTTATGAAGGGCAAGCACTTTTGACTGGATGTCCCCGTCTTCGACCAGGCCCAGTGTCCTAAGCAAAGCCACCGGGTCAATTCCAACGAAATCCGACCGAAAATCCTGGCGATTCATCCAAAACACATCATGATTTCGGGATGGGGGAACGAATACCACTGAGGGATGAACATTGGGTATACATTGGGTTATTCGCAAATAAAGCTTGGTATGAACAGCTAGCTAACAAGCTTTGGCTGACGCGTAAAACTACCATTCAAATACGTAGTACGAGCACCATACGAGCACTTATCTCGGGGTTTCGACCCACACTGCAAAATATTAGTCCAGGATCATCCCAAAATATGGTTGAACAGATTTGAAAAGTGTCAACATGTTACTTGAAACCACCACCATCCATCACCCATCCTTCACCCAGCAGAGTCTACCAGCTGAGGACTGCACTCTTGTTGAATGATTTCCTCACCGAATTTACGGAGTTTACGAGTCGACGCACCAAGGTTGCTACTGGAAGATACGTGGAAGCAAATCCATGTCCAATCCTGATAGCCGTTGTTTCCCCCATGAAACATCATGAAACTACATCAGTTTGATCGGTTTGGAGGGTCGACTCGACCATTTTCCATCCTGAATAGCTTTGCTGTTCCGTGAGGCTGGTCAGTCCTCCGCATCAGCTTTTGACAAGTCCTTCGCGAAGTCAAGTTTGCCGAACAATGGCTTCAGTGGTGCACGGGGCACTTTGACTGCAATAAACATTATCATTTAATAAAAATATATCAAACACATCAAATCCTTGTGGTTTCATGACAGGATTTCCCATGGCTTCTTACCTCCAAAGAGGTTTCCAAACTCGATGGACTTGGACCCTCCAAAGAAGTACAGTACCCCTAATATGATAAACATCCCAAGTCATAATGGATTTACCGGATTTTACAATGATTTTACCATGTGTTTCATCACCCATAGGATCCATGTATGCTATATATGGTGACATTTACCATCAATATACCCCAAATGTTAGCATATATACCATACATGGATCCTATGGGTCATGGTTCAATCATTTTTCCAGCTACGAGTACTTGGTCAATCCGATTGATTTTAGCCCCTCCCAGGTCGTTCAACTAAGGGCGCCTGTGCGCGCTGGACCAACTCCTGATGTTTTGCCACCTGTTCCTGACGCTGTACCAAGAACATTTATGTCACTTGCAGTTTCTTTAATGGGAAAATGATGATCCATCAATCAAATCAAAAGTTCAAACAGGAAAACTATGAGGATCAATCAATTGATTGGCAGTTTTAACGGGAAACATAAGGTGATCAATCAATCAATCAATCAGTCAATCAATCAATCAATCAATCAATCAATTGGCAGTTTTGGTTTGGAAAAATCAGTGAACAATAAATTATATACTTGGCAGCTTAAATGGGAAAAAATGATGATCAAACAATTAATTCCAAGTGTTTTAAAGTGGAATCATGCTTCCATTAATTCAATAGCAGTTTCAACGGGAAACATGATGTTTCAGATGATCAATCGCTGTTTTCAATGGCAGGTTTAATGGGAAACACTGTTTCATCAATGATCTGCTAGTTTTGAATGGAACAAAAACCAAATGGATCCATCAATTTTCCATGGCAGTCTTTATCGGAAGAATATAACTATGAATCATTAACAATCAATCAATTAGCTGGCAGTTCAAACGGGAAAATTATGATGAACCATCAATTAAATGAAAGTTCAAATGGGAAAACATGATATACACGCAATCAATCAATCAATCAATCAATCAATTGGCAGTTCTTTTTTCGGAGAACCATGATGATCAATCAACTCATTGGCAGCTTTAATGGGACAGCTATGGTCTTCGGGTCACGGTGCTGACAACTAACAGTTGTTAGGCTGGCATTTTTGCAGGAATCTGGTTGGTGGTTTTAACCATGGTTGAAACATGTTGAAACCCTATAAATAATGGGATTTTGCCCATCTATCAACTCTGGTTGGTGGTGGTGGTTGACCTACCCCTCTGAAAAATGATGGAGTTCGTCACTTGGGATGATTATATTCCCAACTGAATGGAAAGTCATAAAAGATGTTCCAAACCACCAGCCAGAAACAGTCTGATCAACTTCGAAAACACTCCCACTCCCAAGCAGGTATTAATGCATTTGCAATTGATCTTAAAAAAACTACACATGCATTGCGAGTTGATGTTGCTATCCAGCTGGCTTGGTCCACCATGAAGATTGAGCTGAAAAACTACGGATCATCATCCCATTCGCATGGACAAAGACATGTCAAATCACCAGATCAATCTGAGAATCTCCATTTTCCCACCATCATCCACAGGTTTTCCGCGATCTGATTGTAGGAACCTCAGCCACACACCGGCCTTCTCAAAGTCTCCCCGCGCTTCATCGATCTTCTCCCGCTCCTCAAGCTGGTAAGGGTGATGAGACATCCCATATATAACACCAGCTACTGGTGGATTGTGCATCACATCTTAAATTATTAATACTTATTGTAGAATATGAATGTTTGCATATTATAGAAAATGTCTGGATTCATACAGCTTTGGTACATCCATTTATTTTTATATGCTGTTGAATACATTGTCAATGCAAAATTCATATTTGAATATATTTGATGCATGTTTCGCATCCATATACTGTACTCAAAGTATATTTGAGTTGCGGCATATCAGCATATCATTCAACTTTTGACTAATGGGCGGCTGTCATCAGCGATCTGATCCGCTCCCCACCTCAAAGAGGTTTTCATAGTCGGAGAAACTGACCTTCGGAGCTACAATATGGGTCAAACATGGTCCAAAAATTCATGGCTTAAGCGACAAAATGGCAGGAGAAAGATGGCAAGATACGGATCCCTAAGTGCGGCATATGTGCCAAACAGTTGGACTCAACATTAAATCCATGAAATTCACCGGGTTTGGGTATGTAAAGGGACCCGCATCCGTTTTACAATGTAAGATCAGGATCTAGAAAAAAATATGAAATCTAATAGCCACAATGGCGATATCGTGCAGCAAATGCCTCAATGTCCTGGTGGTTGGCGTACAACTGCTCCTTCAAGATGTCCATGTCGCTTTTGATTTCATCCACCTTTGGCTGGAGCAGTTCTGGCAGCTGAAGAATTTCTGAATGGAGCCATAACTTAGAAGCAGCTACCAACCTGTCCTGCCCCTGCGCAAGATATCAGTAAATTGGCTTGGCCCCGAGGTTCCTACGGCAGTTTGAAGTGTCCTTTGCTGCGTATCCAAACGCCTGAGGACCAAAAAACTCAGTGCCGATATGTTCACTAATCAATCACTCAAAACATCTCAAAACCCACGTGTACCATCGTATACCCACGTTAAGTGCAAAGTGCTTCCATCTTGTGGACACGCAACTCGTTGAATAGCTCTTGCCAACACCTTGAAAAGATAAAGGCCACGAATGAACACTGTCACAAACTTGATCTCATTTCGGCAAATACAACCGCTTCAACCCATCGTGGTTTTGAATCAACCGAGGAATTTGTAGCCAATGCAATCCGTCAACAAACAAATCTGAATATCCTGATGACCTTCAATGATCAGAATCTGGTCCCAAGCAGTTGAAGTTCTAATTACCGAATGTCACAGATATGTACAGTACGTACAAAGATATGTGACAGATTGGCCTGCTCCATCGTTCTCGTTGCTCCTGATGCAGCTGCTGGTGCTCTTCCAAAAATTCTCGCTCCAGGGATTGTTCAGCTTCCCTCCTTTCAAGCTCCTGAGTTCGGCTTCACATACCACCGCTATTCGAGGGCATAACTTTTTCACAGTCCTCACTTTTCTTTTTCCACATGGTTATAACAGGCAGGTACTTACCACGCCAATATGAATGTCAAACATAATGATAGTACTTTAAAAATGTCAAACATACTCAAACAAGGTGGTACTTACCAATCTTAACCTTCAAACAAGTGCAGTTTTAGAGATTGCTACTTGCCACGACCAAAATCCACCGGAAACATGTCCCTACGTCGTGAAGCTGATGTGGGTTACGGAGTGCAACCATACTGGTACCATTTCCAAGTGCCATGAACATATATAAATATGATATGCGTACAAGGTGGCCACCCATTTTATAACTAGTTCGTTATATCTACCATACACCCAACAGTTACTGTTTTTTTTAGGACTTATACACCCACCAACTTAGCTATTATAAATCCACATAAATTCCCACTCAATCATCATTCTTCTTGGTAAATTCACCATGTTCCTATGGTTTTCCCATGGTTGTCCTGTGGTTTTCCGAAGCTTTTCCAAGGGTTTCAAAGGGGGGGGGGGCCACCTTTGAAATTTATTGACGTTCCAAGGCACCCATTCTTGCAACTCCGATGCTGTAATGGCCTTCAAACGTGAATCCACTGATTCTGGAATGGGGCATGGAAGCTGATCCGAGTGAAGTTGGGAAACGACTGAAGAGAAGTGGAACAGTTTGCTTCGCTGAGTTGAACCAATGGTGTTGAATCTTTTTGAATCGCAGGCATCATCCAGATCTACTCAACGATAGATCAACACGATAGCGACAAGCACAGTTCCGCAAGTCCAGTGACCATGATAAATCACCAGAAACCGCTGAAGCCTCAGCGATAGCCTGTTCTCTCCAAGGCTTCGAGAAGGAGTCTTTTGGCGCATGCGGATTCCAACGAGTCTCCTGGGATCCCCATGCCGAACAAATGTTTTTTGTTGACCGTCCGAACCGAACAAAACAACAGTGAATGGGGCGGGTGCTACCAATTTTCATAGAAATTGATCACTTGATTTTTTTTGGGGGTACCAGTTCATGACGTCAGCGTTGATCCGGAGTTGACATGATTCGCACTCACATCATGGCTGCTCTGCCATGGGAAACATCACTTGGGACATTCTTCTTTCATGTTCTTTCTTCTGGATAAAAATTCATGCAACACATCTTGAGACAAAAAGTTTTGGTCCATAGAACGTCCAATGTCTGTCTTAGTCAAGATGTTTGTCTGCTAAATTCAAGTCAGTATATATCATTAATTATCATTATATATCCAAAAACAAACTCCACATTTCTGCAACTCAAGAGGGCATGCCATTCTGTACCTCCGCTGACCAAGTCATGTCATGTCATGTCTACCTGTTTGGAAGTACTAAGTCTTGCCCGTGGAGAATCGCTATTGTATATTATATATATAATACAGAACAATGGGGCGGAAAAGCGGATGCACAAACCTCACTTCAAATGAGAGGCAAACAGTCTTCTATCTTCTAACAGATTCTAACATATAGCACATTAACACGACTTGGATGTGCAAGACTTTTCCATTGTGCACCGTGAGACTTGTTCAGACTCTGACCAACGGTTTTTGCCAATTTTTTCTAAAGCTCCATACTTATTAATGACTTCACCCGTATTGCTGGTCAGAACATTCATAAATAAAATGCAATAAAATTCAATGTACAAAAGCACTGTTTGCTGGACTTAGACCTCAAAAGGCTTGAGGGCAGCCAAGTTTACCCTCTGATAATCAAACACAGCAATGGAAAATCCCCCTTAGATCCCCTTAGATGATTTTCCCATTCAAACCTTCATTTATAGGAGGATTTTCAATTGCCACGTTTGCTTGCCAGAGCGTAATAGCTGGTTGCACATGTATAATTGCTGGAAGGGCTTCAGCCCCATACTCTCACAATTCTTCAGGAATCCATCAAGAAACGGGGCCAATATCCGTGATTTAGCCCTAAACTACAACAGATTTAAAGAAAAACTGACGGTACAATACAACATGACTTTAGAGCAAACACTACAAGGAGTAGGGGGAAACAATCACCAAAATTGCGAGACAATCTGATCAGTCTACAGTTGTCCTGCCGGTAGATCTTCTCGGGTTTGATTTGGAACACCTCCCAACAAGTCGCAAAGTGTCACACGGCAGGCTCACACTGGACGGCATTTTTCTTGATAAAATGCAGAGTACTGCAAATTCGTGACGAATGTCATGTTCAGCACACAGCCAAAATGAACGAACATGAACGAACTATGCATCATGAATCGTTTTTTGCTGTAGCGTCTCCATAGCACTCACGGTGCGGAGCTACTGGATGCTGAGAAATTCTTCCGCCATGGCTCAACAAATGGCTCAGCCCATGGGTTCAAAGCCAAATTTGGGAGGGGAATCTGTGGTCCCGGTGCGGTCAACGCTTGAGAAATCGCATCTGACCCTGGAATAGGCCAGCCCAACATGTGCTGCATCCAAGCTGGGCCCTCAGCTTGATAGGTTCCAAACGCCATTTCCGGTTGCCGAAATTGGGCACGTACTGCCCGGATATCCCGGATCACCTGCTCCCCAAAGGCGTCATCTGCCGCCATCATCTCAAATGCCACTTCGTCCGCATCAGACATCGGAACCTGCACGCATCTCTTCTGCCTGGGCATCAAAGACCCTGCCAATCAAACGTGGCAACAAATGGCCAACCCAAAATGAATCTCTCATTCATTAGAGGATTTTCGTTTTTTTCCATTAAAATCCTTTAAAACCTCCATTTATATATGGATTTTCCATATCCATGTTTGATTATCGAATGATTATCGAAGGGCAATCTAACAACAATGAGGCCGGCAAACGCGGATGGTTGTTTGGTGCTGGGGTAGCAGCTGTGGTTGTGGTGCGGTGCTGTGTTTGGCACTGGCGGCGGATGGCCTCATTGGCTTGATATATTGGTTGCTTCTTTGTTCATATTTTCATGTTCTGAGCTTGGTAAATATATCATATATATATATTATATGTATGTATAAATATATCATTATATATCCTTTTTTTCTAACATCACCCAACTATTGAGGATACAATATCCGTATATATCAGTTCTTTCTCTTGGTTCGTCCATTGCTTCGGCCGTGCCTGGACCGCTTCGTCCGCTCGCAGGCATTGACCACGCGGCTGAGCAAGGCCCGCATCTCACCAGAAAAGTCTTCATTTCCCACACAAAACCTCAACTTCCTGGCCAACTTTGACCAAGAATCTCCTGCGATCAGCTCCTGCATGAGCTTTTGTTCAATGTTTGAAAACGTCTGCTTCAATTCATTCTGGACCTCTGCATCATATCTTTGGAAGTTCATGGGATCTGGCTTGCTGTGAAGCCACATCTTTGATCCGAAGTTGCGCCACATCAGCAACTCACGCAGGGCGTTCTTCGCATGCTTCGCATTCTTCAAATCCTCATCACCTTTGAGATCCTTAGATTTGCTTGAGGAACCCAAGAATAACATAAGATTAGCTGATATTACCTGTAAATTGAAAGAGCATGATATGATCTGATATTCAATACCTGATATTACTACTGTTATATTACATTATAATATTACCATTACCAAATATTCCAGTAAATTCTCCCAAATGGATCCACATGGTGCAATTTCATGCAAATTCTTTTGACAAAAAACAGAAATTACCCTCCACACAAAGCCATGGCTCAGCTGTCTGCCTCGTTAGAAGCTCCAGGGCACGTGTTGCCAGGTGAACCGACTCTTTGGAGCTGTTGTGACTCTCGTCCAGCAACTTTCGTGTGGAGCCCAAGCTTTCACCCAGCAGCCTTTCGACATCTGCCAATGCGTCCTCCAAGGAGGCAGCTGGATTTGGTGGAACCTCCACCCTTGGCTCAGTCTTGGCCCACTGCCCTTGACTTTTTTCAATCTCCGACTTTTCTCCGGTCTTCCAATCCGCCTTGTCCGAGCGGCTCCACTCTCCTTCTCTCCATTCACCCTCCTTGGACCACTGAGACCACTCAGATCGCTCGGAGCCTTTCCAGTCACCTTTGTTCCTGGACGCCCATTCGTTCCGAGCTTTCCCTCTCGACTGGCTCCACGTCTCGGAGGTACCGGAAGAGTCCTTGGCTCCCTTCTCCCGCCATTCGTTTTCCGAGTCTTGCCACCAACGTGATGATCGCTTGCTATACCAGGACATTGCGAGCAGCCTAGATCAGCCAACAAGAGGTGGCTTAAGCAGGGATTGCTTGGGTGAATTCATGCCTAGCCATGGTCAGCTTTGCCCACTTTTCTTTGATGATGTGATAAATATTGGGAAGCTGTCAGAAAAGGGTATGCACATCATCGTACATCTTGATGCGTAGCCCTTGGATGCTGTTGGTGTCATTGTTTAGTGCTTGAGCCTTGAAGCTACAAAGCGATACAAATCAAAACGTGCGCAATCCGAATCAACTGAAGTGAAAAGTGCTCTAATGATGTAGATACGTCGCACCGAATATATCTAAAATGATCTGACTGACTAAGATTGACTAACACTTAAGATTTGCGACCCCTCACATGTCGCAATTGTCGCAACTCGTCTCATGTTGCAGCTGCCTCTGACATGACATCCAGAGCGTTGCCAGGATCTTCCTCCTGAAACAGGTACTTCAAAATAGGCTAATGGCTCGCTTCATCCTACGGTCAAGCCATGTCGACCCCAAAATAGTTGGTAAATGGATGGTGAATGGATGGTCATGCCCCCCAAAACTTAGTTAGAATATACTTAAACTGACACATATTGACCCATTCCTATACTGAACATTAACAGACATGCAGAACGTCAAGAGAGTCAACGAAGCCAAACTGGGTGACGATCGAAGGGATAAGGGGCTCAAGGTGAAGTAAAACCACCAAGAGCTATGTACGACAATTCTATCACAGCGCCAATATTTGGACAGAGGGAGGACAAACAAGAACTGGGGCAAACACAATTCAATCAAGGACTAAATCAAACATGGCCGAAACAAACCCAATTTTTAGAAACTGATGTGATGAAAGTTGCCCTATTGTTTCTCCCTTAAAATAGATGGTTTTTATATACCCTCTGGTAAACATGAGACAATTTTCATGGAACATCACCCTATTTTTACCAGGCAAATCATGGTTTTTATCAACCATAAATGGCCAGAGGCTACCCATTTTTTGTGGCAACGCACCTCATCAGATTCATCAGACTCGACCTCGGTCCGACTCGGCCGCGCCCAAAATTAGCGCGGCAAGGGGTTGTGTTTTTCGATCCGCTGAAGGACGGTGCAGACTGGTCAAAACTAGGTTGGGCCGTTTTAACATGATGTTTTTGACGGTTGAAACATGTTGTGTCAATAGAGACCAGAGGTTACCCTCTGGTAATTTAACATAACTATGGAAAATCACCATGTTTAATGGGAAAATCCAGTATTTCTATGGCCATTTTCAATAGCAAACTGTTAGTCATGACCAGAGGAGACCGGACTTCAAATGGACTTCAACTTTGACCCGTATCATCCCGTATTCTCAGCCTCGGGTAGCCTCGGGAACAGTAAACTTTTTTTCCAACCACACACACACAAATCAATACTGAAATAATGTGATGGTTTAATTACTCCCTGAAATGTTTAATCCCACACCCAAGACAATATATACCGGACTTAAATGCATTAATATATGTATATTATATATATAATTATTTATTTATCTACTATTTATGTAAATATGTCTGTATGTCTGTATGTCTGTCTGTGTGTCTGTCTGTCTGTGTGTCTGTCTGTCATGTATGTAACGTATGGTAGCGCATGAAAGGCATGTAATAATGCATGTACTGCATGTAATGCATGTAATGCATGTAATGCATTTAATGCATGTAATGCTTGTAATGCATGCAATGCTTGTAATGCATGTAATGCATGTAATGCATGTAATGCTTGTAATGCATGTAATGCTTGTAATGCATGTAATGCATGTAATGCTCGTAACGCATGTAATGCTTGTCATGCATGTAATGCATGTAACGTACGTAATGGATGTAATGTATGTATGTATGGTATGGCTTGGTATGCTATGGTATGGCATGGTATGGCATGAGGTATATAGATAGATCTAGTATTCAACCACGGTCTCGTTTGGGTGGTCTTTCATATGTTCGGTGTCGGCTATAGGGAATTAAACGGATTTTTTCCCGCCCGGCCTCAATCGTCTGGTTGAGCTGGAATAGCTCTGCTAGACGCAGCAAGCTTCGCCGCTGTCCTGAACCACGGGCCTTGAACCTCGTAAGATAAAACAATCAAATGGGAGGGTGTTACCCTCTGGTAATTCATAGCTATTGAAAATGGCCATAGAAATAGTTGATTTACCCCCCAACAAAGGTGATTTGCCATGATTATGTAAACGTTTACCAGAGGGTAAGATAAACATGCAGAAATGAGTCTTTTCTATGCAGCTCCATATATTTGCGTATATTTTTTGAGGCCCCAGAGACGATAGCTAAGTTAGATGATAACTCCATGGGTCTTTGGATGATAGCATTCATGGGCTTTATAAACCAACAATCACTGGTTGGTGGTATACCTACCCCTCTGAAAAATGATGGAGTTCGTCAATTGGGATGATGACATTCCCAACTGAATGGAAAAAAACATGTTCCAAAGCACCAACCAGATCATAACTTGTTGGGGGCCAACCAAACGTGTCATCAACACAAAGTATGCCCCATTTCCAGAGAAACCCAAACATATGGTTAGCCATATCTCCAAAGAGATCCCCATTACATATCCTATGGATAATGTGGATTTCAGATATGGATAATATTGATATTATTATGAATATATGGATCATAAGGATACTTTCTATGGATTATATGCTTCATCAAATATATATATATATATATACATACCCTCTGGTTATTTAACATAGCCATGGAAAATTGCCCATTTATAGATGGTTCACCTATTAAAGATGGTGATATTCCATGGCTATGTTGAATAACCAGAGGGATCCAGAGGGTATATATATGTAAAATATTGATGCGCGGTGAATCGGCAATTGAGATCCAATGGAACACATTTGTACGTTACAGTGGCGCCACAACCAGGTCAAACACGACGGTTCTATCACACACATGCAGCATTTGGACTTATGTGCTGTTACATATATATATATGTATATATATACATATACATATACACACCTACACCAAAAGCTGTATATGACATATGTATATATATATATACACGTATATACAATATGCAAAACCAAAGGTATATATAAATTTAAAGATACCTAAAGCCTAAAGCTATAAACAAATCTAGCTATTATATAATATATATATATAAATATAAAATAATATAAATATATAGCATAGCTACATGAAAGATCATTAACGATCAGCGGAGCACAACGCTGTTTTTTGGTGCCTGTTGGGAGGTTGTACTCCACCCAGCAAGTGCCAGACACCAAGCAGATCTGTGCCTTGGCTTCATGGAAGATCGTGGGAGAATATCCCATTTTTGAAAGAAATGAACATGGACAATCCCACAATGTGGGGCCCCCTAGATAGCTAAGTTGGTTTATAACTCCAATAACTATGGTTTATTGTACTTATAACTATAGTTAATGGGGTTTATAAACCAACTTATAACTGGGGGGCCCCACATTGCAATAATGTTTTTTTTTTGGGGGTAATCTTAGATCCAATTACTAATAGTTGTATTGCCCACATAGATCATCTGGTTGGTGGTTGAGCCACCCCTCTGAAAAATGATGGAGTTAAAGTCAGTTGGGATTATTCTTCCCAATATATGGAAACATAAAAAATGCTACAAACCGCCAACCAGACATGGAAAATCCCATAAAATTCCATTTCTAAAATATCCCAAAATGGAAAATCCCATTCAAATGGATGATTTAGGGGTACCCCGATTTATGGAAACCCCCACATAGCAATCCCTGCAATACCCAAAAAAAAGATAGACAAGTCAAATTCAAATCTAAAATAAGTAAGGACGTACTGAATTCTATCTTTTTGGGGGGTTAATATACTGTAGTCGAATCATGTCTTATGGATTTATGGGATGTTTTATCAATGGGAATTCCAGGATCCTAAAATGGAGGTACTGTACCATATAAGGCCAATATGTTGGGGTATATCCCCTTACATAAGCCTGAAACATAGGCCTTATATGGCCTTATATATGGTAGGTACCTCCAATTTAGGATCCTGAAATTCCCATTGATTCTATGGGAGATTGTATGAGATATTCTGATTTTCTCTTCCGGACTCTGAGCTGAAAGGGGGACAAGAACTCCAAAGCATTGGGCTTTACGCGACGTGATGGAAAGTAAATGGGGACACAGTGGGATGGGTGTATATATCTATATATATATATACATGTAATGATGAAGCATATCTTATAGGTATGTATTATTATGCAATGGAATATAGAATAAATTCAATTTATATAAAGCAATATAAAATCAAAAGCATGACATGTGCTTCTCCATTGTGCATCTCGAATGGGGACAATGACACTTTTCCTTAGTGGATGTGGGGTACAGCCCATGTCTGTGAAACCCATGTAGATGCCTGGACTACGAACAACACTAGAATCATTGAAAGTTTAACAAACAGTGATTGCGCATGACAATCCTGCATTGTTCAAGATCACCACAAAACAACTGCCAAACATTGGGTAGGTTTGTCCATGGTCTACTGAGTCTACTAATTATGTTTGTTTTGGTCATGTCAACCTATTTTTTGAGTAGTTTCCTCGTATCCAACTGTCCATGTATCGCCCAACGATAGCCCATTGGTGTCAACCGTCAACTGGGGGTGGACATCAACGCCTTTCAGGTTTCAGTGCAATTTTCTTCTATCAACTATCAACATCATCGTCAAAAATATTAGCTTTCTTCCAACCACTCAAGGGCTCAATTACCTGCACACAAAGTTCCAAGAATGAATATTAATTACCCTCTGTGGTAAACTAACATAACTATGGACAATCACCATTTTTAATGGGTAAATCCATTATAAATGGCCATTTTCAATAGCTATGTTTGTTTACCAGATGGTATTATTAGTAATTATTGCATTGAACCAACAAGTATATTCCCGATAGGTTCACCGTTCACCATGGATTTACCTACAACCACTCAAAATCTTCGGTTTGACGGCGGCCATCCACGTACACCTTGATCTGTGCATCCCAAACATTGTACGTGGTTTATAACCAATATATATATATATATGCAACTGAGGAGATTATATATATATATATATATACACATATGTACGTAAGGGTATTACCCATCGAACCGATAACTAGGATGCACACTTTTGTTGATCAAAAAGACCACACCGAAGCTGCCACCAAAGGATGCTGGTGAGGAACCACCGTTGCACGCACATCATCCCCCTTGCAGCGCTGGTGCCACACTTGGTCGCCCACCTGGCATGGCTCCAGGGCTCAACTTCTTCGGCAAAAAGATGCGTAGATTTAAAGGGAACAAACAAACATAGCTATTGAAAATGGCCATTTATAGTGGATTTACCCATTAAAAATGGTGATTGTCCATAGTTATGTTAGTTTACCACAGAGGGTAATTAATATGATCAAATGGCTTTGCTATGCTTTGCTTGAAAGTAGGGTTTGCATGGGTATGCCGTCCAAATTTCAGCGGAACATGTGATTCAAAACCCAATTTGATCACATTTGGTGGTACCTTATTTTCAGACAAACCCAAATCCTTACAAAGCCTGTGCCAAAAGTCTTGCACCATCCGGTCTGTGCGCCTCCAACTGTTCCGCCCAACATATCCATGCCATGTCTGGATCTACAGACTCGCTTTGGAACACTCTCTGTGTAAATTTCCATAGTGATGTTCCATTCCTCCCGGCAAATTTGGTAGCAACATTGACATCATCCATTGACATCATCCATTGACATCATCCATTGACATCCGATACTTTCATACATACCCCACAGCGACATCAACGAGCTGAGCCTCAAAGCCGTCAACGGGTCATCCAACAGAATGTGTTTCCGATATTTGGTCATCTCCGTTCTGCATGTCTAGGTTGAGCGCAAACAACAACAACAACAACAACAACAACAACAACAACAACAGCAACAACAACAACAACAACCACAACCACAACCACAACCACAAGGACAACCACAACCACAACCACAACCACAAGGACAACCACAACCACAACCACACCGACAACCACAAGGACAAGGACAACCACAACGACAACTACAACCACAACCACAACAACAACAACAACCACAACCACAACCACAACAACAACAACAACAACAACAACAACAACAACAACCACAACAACAACAACAACAACAACAACAACAACAACAACAACCACAACCAACAACCAACAACCAACAACCAACAACCAACAACCAACAACCAACAACCAACAACCAACAACCACAACCACAACAACAACAACAGCAACAGCAACAGCAACAGCAACAGCAACAGCAACAGCAACAACAACAACAACAACAAACAACAAACAACAAACAACAAACAACAAACAACAAACAACAACACATAACTTAGCAATCATCATATAGTGCATTCAGTGACACCAAAGGAATTCAGGGACAAACATGCAGCTGGAGCAAGGACATCTGTCAACATTGAAGCCAAGGTTTGAATCTTGAGGAACTGTTCAAAGGTATTCAGCGGATTTCGCAACATTCAACATCACCTTGTGACACCATACTCCTCTCTGTCAATGGATTGGTTTTGTTGGGATTTTTTACACCGCAAAGCCCTATATTTGATGGTAAAAACACCATGGTTTCCGGTGAAGATTTTCCCAACAAAACGGACTCTGCAAGCGACTGGAAGCCAACGGCTTCACCAAGGCTAGAAGATCTCTATACAACTCCCGGAAGAACCAGACAAGTCAAATCCTACTAGCGTAATCTAGGGTACTTGTCGATCTTTTGGTGGCCAGAAAAGTTACAGTAGCTGATGTTAGCTGTTGGTATTTTTTCAGTCGCACCCAGCAACAAGCAGAAAGTTTTGGAGAAACCCCACACCTCAAACCCTTCATATACTGACCCAACCTCTTCCAGCATAATGCTGAACTAGGATGACAAGGGCTTACGGATATTTACGGGGTCAGAGTCCCAAGCTCCGCGATGTTAGACGGATTTCGATCCCATCAAGTGATGGGTGCCCAGGTTATCATCCCTAAAAAAGTGCTCATTTTCTTAGGGAAAACCCATGGTATTTTATCAGGTTGGTGGTTTTAACCATCTTGAAAAATATTAGTCAATGGGAAGGATTATCCCATATATTCTGGAAAAAATCATGTTTGAAACCACCAACCAGTAATGCTTTTTGCGAGGCACCCGAGGCATTTCTCAATGCATTGAAGCCTCGAAAGCGAGACCGGCTGGTAACCAAACATGGCTGGCTGGGAAATCCCCAAAAAATGGCATTTGCATGAAAACATCATCTGTATATCCCATAGGATCCATGTATGGTATATATGCTAACATTGGGGATATATTGATGGGATCCATGTTACCATATATAGCATACATGGATCCTATGGGTATATAATATTATTATATAATTATATTTCTCTAGATGGGGGGGATTTAACAGCCAGCCATGTTGTATTTGCCGCTACAGCCTGCCCAGGGCTCACCATGGTTCTAGGTCGATATGCACCTCGTGATGCAACTCTGGCAGTAACGGAGGAAAAATGCATGGAAGAACTGCAAGGCACCTTCACCTATAGTAAAGAATTCAACTGCTCCATACTGTTCCTTTGATTTGGAAGCTCCAAAGAAACCTCAAGTAGCCACCATGTGCCCATGCGGATAGATTTTACCAATGAATTTGGGTGTCTTGGCTCAGAGACGTACATTTTTGAAATCCTGCAGCTCTTCTTTGAGCACCCGTTCCACCTCAGCCAGGATGCCCAGTTGGCGGCGCCGGCCCCAGGCCCAGTTGGACTTCTGGGATGCCAGACGTCTTTCAGTTCCCAAGCTAAGGCCTCATAGAACACATTGTTGTTGCTGTACAGCCTTGGTCCCGCGCTGGACACAAAAATCACCCGAAGACCATAGTAACCCTTTTTGTCAATTCGACCACCATAGGATCCTGTTGTCACTATGATAAACAAATATAAACAATACCCAAATTCTATTTGGTCATGACATGTTCATAACAAACATTGAAGAAGAATAGTCACTTGGGTTTTATTCATTTGGATTTATTCATATTGTGTTCGTCCGGAAATTTTACAACAAAAAAAAACACATCGCCTTTTGAACGGGAAAACCCATGGGATACCCATTACCAGATGTTCATATTGCTGGTTCAAAGTCACATCTCTAATAATGCCATTGCAATCCCATCAAAAGTATTGTTCAAATTCTATCCCCTTTGTATGGAGGTTTCCAAAGTCATGGGGCCCATGGGGATACCCAAATCATCCTGTCCTGAAACCATTTATTTCATTGACAGAACCATTGTGTCGACTGGGGTTCCCCAGCCCATGACTGGAGAAACCCTCATTTGGTTTATAAACCCGGTTAACTATGGTTAACTATGCTCAACTAATATCATTGATTATAGTTATATATATTTCCCATAAACCATAGTTATCATCGTTTTCATGTTAAGTCCCCTTTGCATTCCTTGTGCCACATCAAAATGGGGAGAAGCCATTGGCGGCCTTTTGGTGACCTTTCTCTGCAGCATCAAGGGCACAGGGCTCAGTCCGGCTGCCAATGATGTCACCCTGCGTGACCCGAACGTCGAATGGATCAACAACAACTGGGATTTGTTATCGATATCCACAAATAAGTCAAGGGATTATTCAGAGAATGTTGGGATGTATATTGTTGATCATCACAATTATTCAGAAAATCCCAAGTGTATAAATTGCTGTTGTTGATAAACACATCCCCAATAGTTAAACATCACAATTATCCTCATCCCAATGAATAAATCTGGGGATTATATAATCAGAGAAACGATTATGGGTTGGTTTGCCATGGCATTTGAGCAGCGTGAAATGCTTGGTTGCGAACTGATTCTACTGGTTGATTCATAGCCATTCCAATAATTCAATAATGGACTGTAATGATCCAATTTCAATAGGTTAGTAGAACACCACTACTAAGATCTACTAAGAACAAACCAATTTGACACAGCTCCATTCAACCTCATTGACCGAGAGTGGTTGTGAACAAAATGTGTGCGGTGTGTGCATTTGCCACTCAAGGAACCAGCGGAAAAAAAACTCTGCGGCCTAGGGTACTTCATGGTATTTCTATGCAGTCACCAACAAAGAATTCAAGTTGAAGAGCCAAGCTCAGAAGAAAATTATCTCCGACAGTGCATGTGTTTCCCCACTTTGAAAGTAGTCATAAGTAGTCTAAATCACTAGAGGAGTATGCCATAGCGAAACATCCATGTCTGCGCTGAGTTCTCCGGCATCAAATAGGGCAAAGCCCCAGGAGCTGCGTGATGGCTCAGGCTCGCCTTCAACGGGACGACAAACATCTGCCACCAGCTCTAGAACTGGTGAATACCATTACCATTTGATGGTCAAAGATGAAGAACGAAAACACGATTTCACTATTCTATGAATGGGATATGAGGTTTAATGCCATTCAAGCAAAGGCATTCAAAACACCCATTGAGTACCATGAACAGAACCCCAAAATACAATGAACAAGACTATTCGAACAACCATCAAATCCATGAGCATTTTTACTACACCAATGTTCATGCATAGTTCATCCATATTTCATTCCATGTCATACCATTTGTCAAGAAATCAAAAAACTATAATTCCTCCATTGAAGCAGTTCGATAAATGGGGGATCCCCAATAGTTTATGAAAAATCCATGAAAATCCCCATCTATAAATGGATGATAACAAGAAAAAGGCCCAAAATTTTCAGGGTATATATCCCTAAATCATCCATTTCAATAGGAATTTCCACTAAAAACCCATCCAGCCGTTGGGGTAGCTCCATTTATGGAAACCCTACCCCCAAGAGCACAGGACACCTCCAGGTGTCACCGCTGGCCTCGAAGAGATCCGCCGAGGCCACGGGTGTCACGATCCGTGAGGCCGCGCGAGAGGAGGTGATCAACCCCAGATTTCGGGCACGGTCCTGTTGGCTTCAGGACCAAATACTACGGGATTGGGGAAAATGAGGATTTTTGGCACTGAAGTCCTTGAAATCTGATTTTTTCCTGAATATTATATATATATATTATTATATATATATATTATTATATACATATATTATATTGATTGAGTTACACACTATATAAGTAGACGTATTGATCAAGATGCTGAACAGTTTCCTGGTGAAAAAAACATCTCTAGGATTTAACCCATATATAGTGGATAGGGGTCTGTGTGAAAATATGTTGAGGTTGTACTCAATTCATGGTGAAATCACATAAATTCTACTGGGGTGAAATGATGATCAACTATCATCTGGTTATTTAACATAGCCATGGAAAATCACCATTTTTTTTTAATAGGTAAACCATCTATTTCTATGGGCCATGTTCATCCATTTTCCATGGCTATGTTGAATAACGAGAGGGTAAATGGAATGGGTACCCTATTTTCAGACAAGCCGGAATCAACTCGGAAAATCCCAGAAACAATAATTTCATCCAAGTGCTGGGAAGAAGCTGGTGGGTTGGGTGCTTCGGAATCCTTTTTTGGGTTCCCAGCAAACCTCTGGTGATTCAAAAACGCAAGGAATTAAAATTTCATCTTTTGCATCTGTTGCATCAAGTTGTTCTTGCCTTGCTAGATGGAAGAGTGAGGTCAAATGTCCCCTCATCATCCTCATCTTTGTCCTGGTTGGTTTCAGTTTCAACCTCCACCGCAAAAGAACATGTCATGATATGTTGTGATCATCATCTCATTTAGTGGTGTTGAACAAAAATCCACCATTTAAGACATCTTCAATAATGTCCTTTTGGTAAAGATAGAGGGGCCGGTTTGGTATACCATCTATCATCATTTACCTGTTAAAGGTTAAAGGGGTAAACCTTCAACCCCTCTATTAATCAACCAACCAATGGGAAAAGGACATCTATGTTATATATATATATACATATGTATATATATATAGACATATTATATATATATAACATCTTTTACTCTGAAACCACCAGTGTCAAACGCCAGGCCCCAGCTTTCGCCCTTGACCTGGCCTTGGGCTTGGAGCATTTGGCCACGAGAGTGGCAGTGGCTGTATCTGCACAGCCACTGCCCACACGTGTGAGGAGATAAAAGAGCATATGCCCTGGCGACGAAAACGCTGGAAAACGGCATCCTCAACATCCCAAGCGAAAATGGGTATCCTCCGGTCATGGACGTGGGAAATCCACTACAAAAGGGCATTTCAAAGTGAAAATCATCAACAAATAAGAGAATTAAAGAGAATTCTCATGGATTTTCTATTCGCCATGTTTGATTACCGATCCAAAGGTTAGCAATGAGACCTCACAGTTGTCATTTATGAGGTCATTGTGTTACCAAACACTTCTCTCACAAGTCTTCAGATGTCATTGTGTGGGTAGATTGCTGAAAACCAGAGACAGCATAAACGCACAATTTATATGTACATCAATTCATTCCAAAGTTCTGTTGTGCAAACAAAGGAGATAGGTATCCATGTTCTTCCATTTGAAACATCTACTGCGTCAAAAACCAGAATCATCATCAATCCCACACCGAATTCAATTCTACATACAATAATTACAAACAACGTGAAACAAACAGTTCGTTAGGAATTTGCTTGCAATTTCCGTCCAAATCGTTTGTGTCATTTTAAAATGGAAAACAATGCATTCCAATTTCCCACTGTGTGGCCTGGTTGATGCCAACACAGGGAGAAACCACTGAGCCCGATAGCCACGAATATGATGCCCAAAAAGCAAGTCTGGCGGCATCGCATGGTGAGTCGTAGGTTGACTTTTGACAAACCCAGCGGTCCGGCATGAAAACATTGCAGCGTTTCACATTGCTTGTTGTGAAACTGGTGAATCGAGCTATGTCGAACTTGCTCATCTGGTTGGTGGTTTTTCGCCACCCCTCTGAAAAATATGAGTTCGTCAGCTGGGATCATTATCCCCAATATATGGAAAAAATAAAACATGTTCCAAACCACCAACAAGTCATGCAAACGAAACGGGATTTGCATTGGATGATTCAAAAACATGACACAGGAAAATCATGGAAAATCGACGAATGAACATGAATGAACCATCACGTGCAAAGTCAGTGGCAAAACATTCAACGTTCATCACCGTTCATCATGGACAACAAATTCCGCAAATTTAGCGCCAAAAACTGAGTCTGAAACGATGTTTGGGCCCCAAAAACTGACCTCAGAAATTTGCTGCGCCGAGTCGCGAGGAAGTCGCGGTTTTCTGTTTCTGTTGAAAAAAACACGACCCAATATCCCTGCTAGTGACAAAACATGCCTTGCTGCTGCTCTGTGCTATGACAATCCGACGATCATCTCAGTTAGCCTTCCATGGCCTTCCTGAGGAATCGGCCAGGACTGGGAACAAGAACAACTGTGTCGTGACAGTTGCTGCTGCTCCAGTAGAGAAGATCAAACTCAGCTTTTGCTGGTTGTAACCTTTGCCGCAAATCGCAGTGCAGTTCTCATTGGAAAGCTGCAACTTGAAGTGAACTCCCCCCAACGCCACCTTGATTCTCTTCGAAACTAATGGATACTAAATTATACTAAATTAGTCTAGTGGCATCTAATGGGGCATGAATAAGTATGATCTTGTGTCAACCTTCGACTGCTCACATTTCATCAGGTTCCTGAACCCTCCCTGCCCAGCCTAAGCAGCGGTTTGCAAACATGGCGTAGGTGCTGACCATCAAGGTTAACCTGAGCAACGTGGATGTGGCAACTGATTTTGCAGCGGATGCGGTGTCCCAACGTCTTTCGGAACGATGTTTAGAGAACTTTTGGGGGGCCCTCAAATATTTGGTGCCTTTTCGTTCAGAGTTTTTAAGGATCAAAACTGCTCATGTCCCTCTGGGATGGACATGGTGTCAATTTTAAACCTCAGTGAGTGACCATGAACTGTCGCTTTTTTTCATGAACTGTGCTGTTCAAACTCATCCCGATCCCCTTATGTGAAAGATTGTGAAAGTAGTGTCGCGCCCCCTCTTCTTTCCCTTTTGAAAGTCTTCGATGCATGTAAAGATTTACGGGCGTTTACGGGGGTGGGGATTTCCTTGCCTCATTGGAAAGTGCAGTGGAGCACGGCGCAAGTGCTGCGGCTGCGTATAGATATATAAATTTAATTAAATTTAGATCCGCAGGCAGGGACTTTTTCTGGAACTTCCGCCGAAGCTTCATTTCATTGTGTTGTTATTTCTCTTGCCACCAAATCTTAAACTTCCGCCGACCCATTTGATTTCCGCAGAAACCTGATGTTGTCCCCGGATGTACCCACCCCCCGATCCGTTCATGACCTGATGCAACATATCCTCTGTGACCTTGCGACCTTGCCACTGTCTAGTTCTTGTGCCAACCTGCCCTATAGCATTCAAAACATTTCAAAACATTGAACTTTGAACAGCTTTGCATTCCTTTAAAATTTGTTCGGGGCAGTTCTGCGGAAATCTTACTCACCTAATTATGTCGAAATCTCTGCTAATTGGCCAAAATTCTCTTGGGGGAAAAACCAAAACATGTTCGGCGCCTGCTTTGTTTGCAGGAAAGATGTGCAAATGTGGCTTCATTGAAGAGAATTAGGTAGAACAGCACCATCTATAATCCATAAACACAACTCAAGGACTTAGTTTTCCAAAGGGGTTCCGCCGAGGTGTTTTTGAGGCCGAAAGCCTCAAACAAATGACGTTCCAACGGAGACAAAAATAAACATGCATTTTGGATGCATTTGATCTCCAGGTACTCAATCCAACGTTTATTTCAAGACGACACATCATCAATATCCACCCATCATCATCTACGACCCTTCAAGACATCAAGATGGCTGAAGTGCTTGCTTGATACAGCCATGGGAGTCAAGGGGCACTCTATATTGCCAATACACTAAGTGGAGACACGATCCATTCCATGAAAATGGCAGCTGCTCAAAATTGGCAACACTGAAATTCTGCAGACTGACTCTCTAAAACATTTTGCCCGCATCAGGCCAGCCAGGGCTGGGCATTGGAGTACCAAAAGTGACGTAGTCACAAATGCTTTTTGCTTTAGATCATGAACCTTGCCTTTGAAGTCCCATTATCAATGCTGCCATTCTCAAGTCAAGGTACGTCTGTTGCATGCTATTAGACACAATTTGTTACTTTGTGTCCTCTAAGTCTAAGTAGCTTACCATGTCATATCACTGAGTACAGTGGAAGTGTATGAACAAATCATGGTTAAATCTATGTGAGTATGGACGCGATCAGCATGTTTCAAACTCAAGTTTAAAAGGTTAGTTTTGAAGTGGAAAAGGTTAGTCTTTAAACCCGAGGCCCGGCTAGGTTGTAGGGGTGGAGCGGGAGAAACAAACTAATTCTGAGGAAAAAGGTTTGTTTGTGGGCGAAAAACAAAGGTTTTGGGGGGTGGGGGAACGTTAGTTTCTGGCTCCGGAAACAAAGGTTTGGGCTAGGGAAAGGTTTGCTTCCGGGAGGGAAAAGAAACGTTTACAGGAGAGGTCATCGGAACCATAGGGAAACTAAGGTTTCAACACTAATTAACGTTTCGAGGTCGAGAAACAAAGGTTTCCAAGCCGGAGAACATGAGTTTGTAAGTTTCCGCTTGCTCCCCGGAGCAGCAGCAGCACCAGGAGCAGTGGCAGCGGCAGCAGCAGGCAGGTTGCGCAGCAGGAGCCGCAGGGCCGCAGTAGCATTAGCAGCAGCTGCAGCAACAGCAAGAGCAGTCGCAGCAGGAAGACGAAGTAGAAGAAGAAGCAGAAGCAGAATAAGAAGAAACAGAAGAAGAAAAATAAAGAAGAAGAAGAAGAAAAAGAAAAAGAAGAAGAAGAAGAAAAGGAAGAAGAAAAGGACGCCGAAAAAGGAAGACGAAGAAGAGCAAGAACAACTGCAGGAGAAAAACTAGAATGGCCGACAGACAGTTTGAAAGGTCAGTGGCGATGCCGAGCGAGAGTTGAATGGGTAATGTGCGACTGAAACCCAAAGTTGCATGGCGAGGCCGACCAGAATTGCGCTGGATGGTGAATATGAAAAAGTTGCCAAAGCATGGCGGGGCCGACGAAAAGGTTTATTCGAAACAAGAGGGTACGGGCGAGGCCGACACGCACTGCAATTTGGGTCATTGGGCATGCAGTTCGATTGGTCATTGGCGATGCCGACAGAAAGGAAGGATGGTGAAAATGAAATTGTTGCCAAAGCATGGCGAGGCAGTTCGATAGGTCATTGGCGATGCCGACAGAGAGGAATGATAGTGAGTAATTATGAAACAGTTGCCACAGCATGGCGAGGCCGAAATGAAGGGCAGCCCGAAAGGTTAGTTTCATTACTTTCAAACTAACGTTTCGAAACGTCAGTTTTTTCAGACGAAAAGGTTTGTTCGAAACAAACGTTTTCCGTGTCCGTGAAAAACAAACGTTTCAGCTTGGCAGTCTGGCAGTTGGTTATTCCAACCCAAAACAAACGTTCTGTAGAATAGTTTGTTTCCGTACCTAAAACAAACGTTTCTGAAACAAACGTTTTCGCAAAAACACACAAACAAACAAACAAACAAACAAACAAACAAGTCGAAAAAATGTTTGTTTTTGAGCTTTTCAAACTATATAGTTCCGACGGAGTTTGTTTTGAGTTTCCAGTTTCAAACTAACGTTTCCAAAAAAGGTTTGTTTCGAGCCCTGAAACTTACGTTTTCGCAAGAGAAACGTTGGTTTTTGGAGGAAAATGTGTTTTCTCTTTCCACTACTTCCAGTCCCAAGCTTGGACAACACCAAAACATTAGTTTCCACCTGGAAAACAAACCTTTTCTGCCGTCTAGAAACATTTGTTTCAACCAGGAAAACTAACATTTCTCCTGTCAAAACGTTTGTTTCTGCCTCAAAACAAACTCCTGGTTGCATCCTTATTGATCTATGTGCATTCTAGCCATCTAAAGTGGCCATTCAAAACCTACAGTTTTTGTAATTAGGAACCTTCTCTATGATGATGTATGATGTAATCATGTCATGTCATTTCATATCTTACCATACTGTTTGTTTGTTTGTTTGTTTCCCTGCACTCAGAAGCGTCTGAGGCCTGTGTTCATATCATAACCGGTGGCCATTGCCGTCGGGCAACGACCATGCAATGGTCACTGCCACCATCCGCAGTAAGGGTTGAGCCAAGCTCCACGACGTGGAGGGATCACCTGGGCTAACTATGGGATGATATGGGAACACCCCATTCATATAATATATAAAACATAGGGTTGTATCAACCCTATTATATGATTATATGAAACTCTGTATTATAGCTATAGTTTCGAGACAACCCCTATTCTTTGATGGCCCAAAATAGCATCCTTTAGCTACTTATTCTGCCAAGTGGGTCAGACTTTGAGGAGACACGCACACGCGGGTATATGATGATGATGCTGACCACTAGATTTAGATCTGTATCTCGTCATGTACTGGTTGGTGGTTGAGCCACCCCTCTGAAAAATATGAAAGTCAGTTGGGATGATCATTCCCAATATATGGAAAGTCATAAAAGCCATGTTCCAAACCACCAACCAGTGTATGATCTCTCTCCAGAACACTCTTATCGGCGACAATAAGAATTTGCCTTGGAGCCATCAGATCAAAACGTATCTGAACACTGTAATGTTGTATGCAAAATGGTACGTTTTTCCCCCCTAGGTCTGAATTACCTTTAGGATTGAAACTATCTTCGCTTTACGTTCATCCGAGTTAGTATATAAGTGGATTAGTTCACCCTAGTTATAAGATGTTACAAGTGGACTAGACCTACTTCCCGACTGAATAATATAACTGGGGTGAACTAATCCACAAAATTCCACAAACGCGTTTCCGGGGTGAACCAGCAAGTATCATCTGCCATCTGCCATCCTCTGCCAAAAACCATAGAATTCATCGAGTTAGTTCCACCAACTTAGCGATTTCGTTTACGAGTTTACACGGGCCCTCGCTGTATTGACAAAGCAATATCACCAGGGTCGGTGTTGCTACCAGGGCATTAGGTGTTGCTACCAGGGCCCATATGCTGTCTCCATGTATGGCAACTCAATTTCTGAACAAGAATTTGTCATTCCATGTCATTTACAAGAAACGACATAGTGACATAGTGACATACTATATTGTTCCACTTCATAATCCTTTGTACATGTCTGTGTGATTTTTCATGTGTCTCCATGTCATTCCATGTTATCCTTTGGTAATTTAACATAGCTATGGAAAATCACCATTTTCAATGGGAAAATCCACTATTTCTATGGCCATTTTCAATAGCTATGTTAGTCATTACCAGAGGGTATCCTATATCATTCTTATGCCATTTATACATGCTCAGCTTATCACAAGGAGAAATACGGCCGCATCTTGAGACCCAAACCTCCTGTGGCTTTCGTGGCTTTCGTGGCTTCTGTTGCCGTTGTGAGCCCACCTGGTCTGAAGATAGGTCGATGGAGAATTGATGTAACATCTACCCCTTGGTAACAGGTTGCGATGGAAAATCACCATTTTTATTAGGTAAATCACCATTTCTATCCTTGAACTACAGTAGATGGGCCATTTTCCATAGCTACGGGTAAATAACCGATAAGGGTACCACCCTGGGGGATGGTCTGTCCAACTTGGGGTGCAGCAATGCTTATTAAAAAGGATGAAATCACCCGCGTAAGTTAGGATACAACATGGCATAACCCCATATAGACCCCACAACTATGAGCGGTTAATACTCATGTTCACTACGAGTAGGAAGATGGTAGTTTTCTTATATTTTTACCCATGTATATCATTACCCATAGGATCCATGGTGCTGGTATGTTAACATGACTGGGGTATATTGATGGGATCCATGTCACCATTAATATACCAGCACCATGGATCCGTCATGGGTTATATAATTCAGTGGGTTATACCTATGGGTAAATATATGTAAATATATTACTATGTTAAATAATATGGTAAATATATGTAAATATATTACTATGTTAAATAATATGGTAAATATATGTAATATATGATATATTTACCCATGTATATCATTATGAATTCATCACGACTTCCGGCAACATCTCCGGTGGTCTCCGGTCTCCGGAGGTCTCCGACCTGGAGTCAGGGCGAGAGAGATGGCCAGGACACTCAGTGCCACCAATCCGATGCCGCCAAAGACGCCGCGCACACAGAGCTCTGTTGGCCAACCAAAGGTCTGCCGGCACCCAGTGGTGAGTCATGTTTACTGTTTATAATAATATTTAGCATCATTCATTTATATTAATTTATATTCATTTAGGGGTCTTGGTAGCCGAACTTGGGGTAAGAATATTTGCTTGGAAGTCTATGTGGCCTTCGATACGTGTTTTTTTTGATTTTTTCGATTATTGAGGGGTACCCTGGTGTAGGAAACACACATGATCACACTTTGAGAATGAAGACGTCGGGATTTCATGGTCAGTGACCTCCAAAGTTCACAGTGTTGACAGAAGAATGAGTAAAATAACAAGACCATGAATTCTTCTGTCCTCGATAGGTCTTCTAAGTGACATGGCATACACTAGTCACAAACCTGCCCGAAGTTGACTACAGTGTGAGCCACAAGTTAAACTTGAGTCAAACCACTTTGAGATCTTTGTCTTTCAGACATTCTTGGCATTTCAAGTTCAAGTAGCCTCTGGTAATTTAACATGGCTATTGAACATGGTCATTTATAGTTGATTTACCTATTAAAGATGGGGACTTTCCATAGCAAACTGTTAGTTTACCCGAGGGTATTATTTTTTTCTCAGAACCAGACTCTAAAGAACACCGGCCGCGACGATGCGATGCCTGCCTTGCCAAGCAATGCTGCCACGAAGGCTGAGACGGCAGGGCCAACCACCACACCCAGCTGAGCAGCCTTGGGATGAAATGGAGGTTTCCTCAGTGGGGGTACCCCCAAATCAAGTCATGGATGACCATGGGCTTAGTCAATTTAGTCAGTATCTTAGTCAGTATTGAAACCCATGGTGACGACTGAACGGGATCCCCTGACTTAAGAAACGACCCTTAAAATCGATGAACATTGAAACTAAACTAACGGTAACTCAAACCATCTCAAACCACTGTTCTTGTATCTTTCTGGGCTTCCCAGTGGCATACCAGATGATAGTTTGTTTTGGCGGGGGAAAAGAATCAACCACTTGCAGCATCTCTGTCCCTGCATCGGAAGATGTATTGGATATCATCATTTGCCCATATTTGGTAATTTTGGGGAAATTTCCCGCATCTTCAGACACCAATCTCCGACCAGCAACAGCAGCCACTCGGCTTAAGGCAGTAGCTGCTCCATCGGACACAATATCGGTGACTGCTGCCTGACGACACTGGCGGGGTTCTCGAAATGGGGCGCCCCCTTCTGGGATATTCACGTCGCTTCGCGACGGCAACCGCCCGCACCGCATCGTTGGGCAGCCGCTCGTAACTGCCAATGATGTCGGCCATTGAGACCAAAAACATCCAAAAGTACTGATTGTCGGAAAAAAAAACGCGAAGAATTTGATAGCCATGTATAGCGGACCAACGCAGTTCAAAAAATAACGAAAAACATGAAAAAACGGCGAAATTGCTGTTATTTACAGTGTTTTTGCGCGGTGAGAAGCAGAAACCACTGCAAATACCATTGTTTTTGAGGGTCAGGTGGCCAAAAACACTGTAATTTACAGTGTTTTTTTAACCAACGTCAAAAAACATTGGTATTTACAATGTTTTCATTCACACCGTAACATAAAACAGCGTAATTTACGAGGTTTTTGGAAGTTTTGAAGCTAGCCGTCAAGCATGCAGAAAACAGAAAAAACACTGTAAAAACCAGTGTTTCTGCTATCACAAAACGACGAAAATCAGTCCGAAAACGGGTCCAAAAACTCAAAAATCCGCCTCCGGGCCCGGCCACCTGCGGAACCGCAAAAAAAGATGTTGCAAGCCAAAAAATTGAGGTCAAAAAGTTGAAAAACACGGGTTTTTTTCACTTTTCGCTTGCCGATTTTGGACGGGCGCGTTTACGAACAGGTGTTTTCCGTACTGTTTTTTACAGTGTTTTTTGAAGGCGAGCGTCACGACCTATCAAACACAGGAGGTTTTGGCCGAAAAATGGGACCCCCCCCCCCAGGTAAACCTGTAACCTTTTACGAGTGCCATCCGGAAGATCACGCCCCAGCACCTTCGGTACGGGCGGATTTCAGGGAAGCTCACTATGCCGGTTACTGAAAGATACGGCAATGTTGGTTTTTCCATGGTCTGCCCCATTTTGGGACAAATGTATGAACCCACATATACGTACAGATGGAGAATGGGGCGCCGGGGGACCCACAAATTGATAGGGTCTGAGACCATCCATATTGGTGCCAAATGTGCCAAACGTTGCAGATTCTGTACCAAAGAAGTCTGGGCAACAAAAAGATCTCAAAGGTCATTTTGGTGGTTATTTTGGTCATTTGACATCTGAAACTCGACAAATCATCGCACATTTCCAGGGTTAGCAGCCAATGCGTCAAGCTGCTTGAGCGACAGGTACAGAGGCAGCAAAAGCACCTGGGTCTGGATTCAGACATCACCAGGAATGTAGCAAAGTTGAACAAGAAATGATCTTTCAACATTTATTGGAAAAGAAACCTTCACATCTCAACCATCTTTTCCTATTCACATCCAGGACCCAAAGACCCACTCCGGGCTCCACACCCGCTAGAAGTCGTCCAAATAGAATGCCCACGATGCTACTTGAGATAGAGATCAGCAGCGAAGCAAAGGCTGCACCAGCTAGGCAGGCCCTGGATGGAGCTGCAAGGGTATCAATACCCTCCGTCATCAAAGTTGGTGACCTTGTGATTGGAAAATCCACTATAAATGGCATGTTTTAAGGGGACATCATCTGATGATTTCCGGAAGGTAATTTCAATTGAAGACTTCCCAAATTTAATTATTTCGAGCACTTGGATAAAAAAATGATTCATTTCAAGTCTTCCACTGACCCATCGTTCGCATGTCTTGCATGAGAAGTATAAACTCGCTCAAATCACACTCCAATCAAACCTGGGATCGGCGTCCTGAGCACACGAAGACGACCCAATCTGCTAGAAGCACTGATCAGGATGGGGCAGCAAATCATTTGAGCCACTGAGAAACACGAAGTGGCCTCAATGAAGTCCAGCCGTTTCTTAAAAAAATAACGAGTCACGTAGCACTTAAACAAGGTGCCGGACATGTACTGACTACATACCACTTTCATCCACTTTCATTCTATGAACCTTGGAACCATCAGTGATGCAACAAGCTGTTGCGTGTCGAGACTTACAACTTCGTTTCGCTCCGCGGATTTTTAAGTTTCACCAAGATACAAGGCCCACCTGCAAAGGGGATGCCCCAAAGCTCAGCAAATGCAGAGGAATTGTAGAGATAGCAATGCCTTCTCCGAGCATTTGCACGAAGACAGACCTTGGGAACTTGGACAATAAACTGTGTTACGCTATTACTGTAGGGCAGTATTGTCAGTATTACATAGTTTTTTCCCTCTGGTCATTTAATACATATTTAGTACTAGCAGCTAGTATCAGCCTGTTTAAACATGTTCAATAGGTAAATCATGGAACTAAATGGGTGATTTTCCATAGCTATATTATACAGTAATTATTTTCAACTACCAGATCAAGATGTCTATTTTATATATATATATAAATATATATATATATATACATATACATACCTGGATATTCATTGGTTACAAATTCCTTTCCAGGGCAGATTTTGGTTTGATTTCTGTCCATTTTCTGTAGATTTGTCCATTTCAAAATAAAAATTACCATGTCAAGAAAAAAACCGCACCACTTCATGTTTTCATGTTTCAGTCATGATGAATCTGCCCGGGTATTTCCGCCCTTTTGCCGGGTATTTCCGCCCTTTTCCCGGGAATTTCCGCACCCATTTTTACGCAAAGTAGAGTAAGATCAGCCCAAAAGGTACGAAATCCAAAATTGTAGTCAAAACATGACCATTTCCAGCTCCTTCACAAGAAAGCCAAGGGCAGAAATCTTGCAAACGGTCCAGTGGTATTCAACAAATACAGTATCTTCACCGCTTCCGCTGAGCGACATGGAGATAGGCAGCAAAGACTTCGCTGGGACCTCCGCCACGGTCCCAGCACGAAGGGACAGTCGCCTCTTCAGGCCGAATATCCAGCTGATGACAAGGTCAAGACCACTACGAGCTAAATCATCCCCAAACACATCATGTAATATGTATATATATATATGTATACATATATATATATATAGACTTCATTTCTGATATTTCTGATGTATATGTAATAATTATAGTATAAACTATCAACACACACATGCCGGTCAAGCCGCCACCTAGAGAATAGCTTTAATATAGTATACCGATTAACCGATTAGTGTCCTGGGACTCTATTGTGGGATTTTTTCAAAAATAATTAAGTATCTTGTGAATCATGGGGGTGTGGGCCTCTATTATGAGAAGTTTTTTTCTCAGATTCATTTTTTTCAGGAGGAGCTTTATCCACCTTTATGCACCTTCCTTTGGGAAAACTTGTCCATTTGCTTTAGAAAGCCATATCCATGTTAAAGCCTTGAAAATGCAAGGTTTCTCAAATAATTACTGTAGATGCCTTATTAAATCCTTATATATAAAAAAAAAACAGCACCCAATCAATTTTTCAAGGGGGTACCCCATGAGTGACCCAGATCCTCAATAATGTAATTGTTTCGATGGTACCCTATTGTGCAAAAACTTTTTTGGGGCGATGTTGTTTTGGATTTAAAAGGAAAATCAATTGAAGTAGATTGATGTCAATTGAAATCCTCACTTAAGTTGACTAACCCAAAAATTGTTGAGGAGGGGGCCAGAAAGTGGCGAGTCATTGAGTAGCCAAAAAATTGTTGGGGGGGCCACACTAATCAGTATCCAACATTACAAGCCCTGGAGAATCACCCCCTGCCTCCGCGTCAGCCTGCCATGGGGTGGGGTAACGGAACCAATGGCCACGAAGGTGGGCGCCAGCGCTAGCGCCAGTATGGCCAAGAGCCGCTTCAAGGGTAATGACATGTGCCTCTTTGGGCCCATGGCTCAAAACTTCAAAACGAGTCAGGGCTTCTACATGGTTTCTACATGTTTCTACATCTGTTGAAGTCTCTAAGAACCCAGGGATGAACGCTGTGTTGATTCGCTCTGGTGTTTTCATCATCTGCGAAATCAACCAAAACGAGTGCTAGAACAAGGCAGATTTGACGACAAGGCTGTCTGCTCGAGGCTTCAAATGGCCACTTGGGACACAGACTCTGTGAAACTGAGCCGTGAACATGAATGAACACGCCAAACATGCACATACCAAAAAAGTTTGTCAAAATCTCATGGTCGTCACCATTTTTCCCATGAAACTGGCAGTAATTTGGGGCTGAATCCCAACTGGCACAGAGGATCTCAGGTCCCAGCCATGCTGCCGCTACTTCCTGGTCGAACACGTTTTGAGCGTATCAAATGTTATGCCTGTTTGGATAGGCCCCGAAAAATCAGTGGGGTAATTTCCCCACATTTCTAATACATTTCTTGGGATCATGAAGGCTGTGCAAAGTTGGTTGTTCCCCCATATATGTTGGTTGAATCATTGTTTCAACAAGCTGTGCATATGGGATCATTAGGTCGCGACAAATCAAAACTATGCAGACTACAAAAGACTGTGAACAATTTTAAGGTCATCATATATTCAACTATTACCCTCTAGTTATTTAACATAGCCATGGTATAGATGGCCCATAGAAATAGATGGTTTACCTATTATATAATAGCATGGTGAATCTTTCCATGGCTATGTTAGTCATAACCAGAGGGTATACTCTGCACTAATATGTTGACCATCCCCCAGCTCAACTCACACCATATCCCGGACCCAAAATCCGCCTCTCGCAGGCCACTGCGCAACTGGCGACCGGCAGTCGTCTCCCATCCCCCCATTCGTCATGGTCCCAATGGAAGGTGTAAATCCCTACATCCACCATGGTTTCGTTTAGGGGTGTTGGTCCATATCAGGGGAAGGGATCAATCCCATGTTCGCAAAGAAACCCATTAATTAGCTTACAGTACCTCCTCCCAAAGTTGTTATTGAAATAGTAGGACTTCTGGGACAATTGACTCTCATCTTGCGTGGCCCCAACCAACCTTTGTCTCAGTCTTGACCAAACATGGCCGAACATCAAAGGCGTGCGTTCACAACAATGAACATTATTCAAACATCATGATGTAGCATGAACATGATACTGTTGCCTGTATTATGATTGTTGCCCATTTGTTATTGTTTCATTGTATACCATCGTTGCTCATTTGTCATTGTTTCTATGACCTGTATACTATATACATTGTTTATAATATAACATCATTGTGCAATATATTTTTAATTATAGTATGTGGGTCTTATTATCTACATGTCTAATGTTAAATAATGTCTATGATATATATATATATATGTATATTATATATACAGACCCGAATCATTGTTGGAAATCAGGATGCCACTCTGATCATTACAACTTGTACCATCATCAACATCAAACAACTGATGTTCATCCCCCAAAAACATGGTATAATATAGATAGGTTTGATCTATACCCATATGCCCATATGTACTAGAACGCAACCCCCTAGAGCAGCTAGAACAGCTTAAAATCCTACTAAAATAGTAATTTGCTGTTCTATCCTTTATGTGGCTTACCATATCTATACTACACCAGCAGCCATATCTATGCTGCTTTTTGCGCCGTGCCGCTGTCCCAGGCCGAAAACCACCGGGTCGATGACCTCTCCACCAGCATGCAGCATGACTCACGCGGCGCCAAGGTACGCGACAGGTGTGTATGTTATTATATATATATATACATATGTGTACTTACATGCACTTAGTGTAAAAATGTATAAAACACATTTGCAACGTACATCTGCATATAATATTATATGATGTACAATATTGCAAAATATATATATATATGTATATACATATACAGTTATATACAGTATATACACAGTATATTGCAGTATATATATATATATATATATGCATATAACATCTATAAAGCCCTGTCATACTTTGGGAAAACCATATGTCACCATCTCCTGTAATTGTGGCCCCTTGACATCGCCGCAACAAACATGGCATCTGGAGCTGCGGAGAGGTCATTGCCCCGAAGGCGATCCGAAGTGAGGTCAGCAGCAGACAACTGGTGGTCCGTGGCCACAAGGGCACATGGTGTGGAGATCAGACAGCATCTCGGCCGTGTGAACATGTCATGTAAAATACATGGAAATTCCCATGGTATCCCCAGTTTTTCCCCACCTGCCCGGTGAGGGTCTATAGATTTTCACAAGACATCGCGCCTCACACGGACACGGAACGGCACGGTTTGCCAGAATCCTTTAGACAGCCACTCTGTCGCGAGCTGGCCGAAGCCTATGCCAGATATAATGTAAGATAGAATGCGAGGAAGAATCTCAGATAACATGTTATATATATATATAGATAAAATGCCAGATAAAGTGTCAAAATGTGTGGCGGATGGAATGTCAGAATTTATGTCAGATAGAATTTCAAAACGAATGTCAGATAGAATGTCAAATAGAACATCAGATAGAATGGCAGAAAACATGAAGGACAGAATGCCAGATGAAATTGCAGAATATATGTCAGACTTATTTCAGATAGAATGTCAGAATATAATGTATATATATATATATATCAAATAGAATGTCAGAATTTATGTCAGATAGAATGTCAAAACGTATGTCAGATAGAATGGCAGGTAGCACGAGGGACAAAATGCCAAATGAAATGGTAGAATATATGTCGGACTTATGTCAAATAGAATGCCAGAATATATATATATACACACGTATATAAACATGTATATATAATATTATATAATATATATATATATATACGTATATCAAATAATATATCAGAACTTATGTTCGATAACGTGTCAGATAGAATTATGGCAAACTGTGTGTGAGATAAAATCTCAAATAGAATGTCGGCATATATGTGAAATAAGATATCAACTAGTTCGTCAGAACATATGTCAGATACAATGTCAGAATATGTGCAAGATAGGATAAATATATGTCAGATAGAATGTCAGAATACAGGTATGTCAGGATATATGCCACAGTGGGGATCACACAAAGTGAAGTAATTGTATAGAAAATGAGTGGGAACTCGTAGAAACTCTATAGGTAGTGTCAAAAAAGTATCGTGTACAACTGTTCATGCCTTTGAACAGTAGGCAGTTAATGTAAGTTCAACTACAGTAGTGACCCCTCATCCTCAGAAGTCTGTGAACAAAAGTGAAGAGCAGTCTATGCTGTACACCAAGAGATGCTGCACTGAGTGTCCAGTCCACACCTTTGGTGTGACTTCCCATCCGCAGACAGTGTTGAAAATCCACGTCCATCCTAAGAACTTCAAGCAGTTCACTTGCACAGTTCGACTGTGGCCAGCTCAAACATACAAGACAGGCAAAACAGTGGTCTGGCATGATCTGCTTATGCGGGGCCATTGTTTGAATAATGCAAAGCGCCATAGAATGGGCATGATTTAAACAAAAGCCCCCAGCCCGGAGCCTTCACAAAAAAAGAGTTTAAGTTGACCAAACCAGGTCTGTATCATTCTGTTTCTCTCTGAGTTTTGATACCACTGATACGACGACCAGGTGTAATGCTCTGCCCCAAACAACGACCATCCGGCTTGAAATGTTTGAAATTGACATCATATTGAAATCACAGTCCATTGGCAAACAAAAACAATTTCAAACCATGTCAAACCATGCAAGCTCATGAAGCTTAAATCTTACTACAGCAGCCAACTCACAGTCCAAAGTCGGTCAGACTACCTGCCATCGTTTTCAGGCTGCCATCGGTGACATGCAGAAATCATCGACGCAACAAACAAGTTGCTGATCATAGCATGCAAACTGCAAAAATCCAGTCAGCAAATGATTTTGCAACTGGCCTTTGTTTCCTCAACATGCCCTCCGGTGGCCCAATAGTTGGGAACATCATAGGCAGCTACAGTACCAACCATTTACCAACCGTTCACCCACCATTTATCCATTTACCAGCCATTTATTCAGTGCCCATTGGAAAATCCCACCACTATAACCCCCATCATGGTAATTCATCATAGTTTAGGTGATGATTCTCCCCGAGATTTGAAAATAATTGGTATGTATATTACACTAAATTATATTGTATTATATCATATTATACGTTATTATCTTATATTTATATCATATTATGTATATATTATGTATAGTATGTATGTAATGTATATATTATGTATATATTATATCATATTATATTATATTCATAACATATTATATATGTATATATTATATTTACATCATATTATATTTATATCATGTTATGTATGTATATATATATATATCTTGTATATATTGCATTATATTTATCACATTATGATATTATGTATATGTTAAATTATAATTTATGTATATATTATGTACATCTGATATCATCTTTTGCATATATTATGTGATAATTTATGTATATATTATGTATATGTATATATTGTGTCAATATATTATACTATATGATATGATATGATATTATATTAAATTATATGATATTATATTATATTAAATTATATTATATTATATTATATTATATTATATTATATTACCACCTCCCCGCCCCCCCCCAAAAAAAAATACTTCGAGTTATCCCCACCCTGGCATTTCAAGTCATATATTCGGACATATATTTTGACATTTTACCTAACATTCTATCCGACATCTATTATGATATTCTATCTTGCATATCTTCCAGCATTTTATCTGGTATATATTTTGGCGTTCTATCTGGCATATATTCTGGCATTCTATGTGGCATTCTTGCTCGCATATATTTTGGCATTCTATGTGGCATATATTCTGGCAGTCTATCTGACATATATTCTGGCAGTCTTTCTGGCATATATTCTGGCATTCCATTCCATCTGGCCGCTGAGGTCCAGCGGTGCCCACTGGGCTCGGAAGGTCCCTGGTTGAGGTCCAGCGGTGCCCACTGCGCTCAGAACCTTGCGGTTGAGGTCCAGCCGTGCCCACTCAGATCGGAAGCCGGCAGTTGAGGTCCAGCAGTGCCCACTGCGCGCGGAAGTTGGAGAAGAGATTGGCGAAGAGTTGGCAAGGCGGAAGTGGACGTGGAAGTGGAGGCAGAAGGAGGAGGACGAGGAGGAGGTGGAGGAGAAGGAGGAGGAGGAGGAGAAGGAGGAGCCGGAACAGCTGTGATAAAATCTAACAACCCTCACCTGGCAGGTGGGGAATCAACATCTATCAGCAATTTTCACCATGTGTTTGATGGTTAAACTACCCGCCGGACCGGAAACCGTTCCCATAAAACGCACGTTTTTTAAAAAAATGGTGATTTTACCACAGTGCCGTGCTGATTTGATGATTGGAAATCCTGGAAAAACTTGGGGCGCGTTTTTTGGCTTTTTAGCGTCATCGCAGTAAACGATCCCAGAGTAAACGATCACGTAGCAACATTTAACGTAGTAAACGATCCCAGTGATCTCAGCAGAGTAGAAATATTTCATGTACGAAGTACAAGCAACGTTAACATGCCCCCCACCCACCCACCCCACCCCCACCTCAGCCCAACCCACCCACCCCTATGAGCAGCGTAGCAAACATGTAACGTAGTAAACGATCCCTGGGATCTCAGCAGCGTGGCAATATTTCATGCACGAAGCACAAGGAACATCAAGGAACGTTAACATTGCCCCCCCCACCCCACCCCACAATCGCGATATTCAAAAACGTGCGTTTTACGGGAACGGTTTTCGGTCCGCAGGCTTAAACTACTGTACGTATATTAAACTCCGATGGCGGTCAATTCCCCATGAAGTTTCGTAGCAACTCTACTAGTTCATAATTACAGTTATGAAAGGCCAAACACTGGCTATGATCAAGTGTAGTATCTGAATCTTATCTGCACAGGTCATCATTCCAACATTCACCTGCCGACGTAGGCATTTTGTATCGAGATTGCAGAAAAGTGCCCTCAGCATTTGCGAGGGTTATGAGCCCAAGCGGCCAATGAATTCGAATGGCAACCGAAGATCTTCCTCTGTGCCTCCAAATCCTTTTTGGTCCCAAGATGCTCAGATGGAACATACTTTGCAAACCCTTCGGCCTTTAGATCTAGATGCTCGAAATACTCCAGTTCCAAATGACCATGACTTGGATTCCTCCCCTAGACCCTTGCAACAGTTGCCAAGCGGTGAGCAGGGGCAGGGAGGTGTGGAGCAAGTGGCATCTTTTGAGACTCCAGGCAGCATGCGCGGCAATGGGGGTCATGATGGTGAAGAGGCCGAGGTTGAGACCAAGGATGGTGAGCGGGGCTTGGAGACGGTGCCTTGTCTCGATGGAAGGGATGGAACAACCACACGAGCATGGAAAAGAAGAGCACAGAGTAGTGTTGCCAATGGTGAAATGAAACATGAAGAAAATGGGGCATCAGAAAGTCATGAGAAGAAATTGGAGGATGATCTAGGGGAGCATGTACTTTTGCATTTCCAGCAAGAGACTGTGCGGCTGCAGAACCAGAATCAATTGTTGGTCATGGAGATTCAGCGTATGAAAGAGGAGAGGGAGAACCAACAAAGACTGGCTGTTCCGTCGTCTTGGAATGGGGATGTCAAAACAACTGCAATGTCACCTCCTAGAAAGACTCCAGTTACCAATGAATCACATGCATGGATGTCACCTCAGACCTTCAGATGTACTCCAAATGGAACTAGAGTACCTAGTGGACCACCACCTCCTGACCCACCGCCACTTCCTGCGTGGCCTCCGGAGCTTGGAAACTATGAGATTGCCGTGGAACCTCCACGAAAGCTGCGAGGTGTCATGGGTGATGCAGGCTACAGGGTGCGGGAGGGAGCATGTTCGCCAAGGTCAGCTAGGCACTTTTGGTTGGAGCAAGAAGTAGCGTCTTTGAAGGAGAGACTGGAACATGAGGCATCAAGGAACAGGTCGTTTCAAGGTGCATACTGGTCAAAACATTTTCAGACAGAACGAGAAAAGGCTTTTGAGAATCATGAAGCAGTGTCATGCATGCGTCGGAATGCTGGGTTGGATAGTGCTGGCATGGGGATTGGAGTGCATGCGCATGGTGAGCAAGTTCATCGAGATCGGGCTAGCATAGCATGTGAGTTTGGAGCGGAACGTCTTCAAGATCGGGCTAGCCTTGAGCAGGCTCATGGTGATCCACGTCTTGGTGTGCGGGCCCACTTTGAGCATGTGCTTGGGGATCAACGTCTTGGTGATCGGGCTCCCTTAGAGCAAGCGCTTGGTGATCAATGCCTTCCTGATCGGGCTGGCAGCATGGAGTCGATGCATGGAGCTGTTCCACAAGCAGTTCAAGCTGGTGCTACCCCAGGGCAGGGTCTTGGTGATGTATTTCAACCAGCTCGGGCTTGCAATACCCCTGGGCAGGGTCTTGGTGATGTATTTCAACCAGTTCGGGCTCGCAACACCCCTGGGCAGGGTCTTGGAGATCTTTCAAAAGAAGCGTTGGATGGTGGCCTTCTTCATAATCGAGCTCTACGGCATGAGCGTGAAGTTGTTGAAGATGGAGACTTGAAGAGCGTCCCCATTCAACTGCCCTCTCTACCTGCTCCTGAAGGTCGTGACGCTAGCTTGGAAGCTGGGGATTGGCTCATTCAGTTGGAGCCATTGATTGGCGATTTGTCAAAGCATGCGGCCAGCTGGTGGAGGAGGGTGATGGAATCAACTACAACTACATATGGCCGGTGGCTTCATGCGGATCCACTGTCCAGGCTGAAGATCACGGCACCTGAGAATGGCTCTTTGTCCGCTGGTTTTGAGCGGTTGGATCAAAGGGTGACAAGCCTTTTGCTGCAGAGCGTTCCCAAGGCCATCAAGGATGAGATCATTGCCACCAGAGAGCTTTCCACAACTGCCATTCTTTTTAGAGTGATGCGCACCTATCAGCCTGGAGGACTTCTTGAAAAATCACGGCTGCTGGAAGATTTGACCACTACGCCAGTCACAAAGACCAGTCAGGATGTGGTTGCAGCGCTGAGGTTGTGGAAGAGGAAGGCATCCAGGGCATCAGAGCTTTGTGCACAGCTTCCAGATCCACTGCTGCTCATCAGAACGCTGGATGGCATTGCAAAGCCAGTGGTTGAGAGCTCATCCCAAGCCAACTTTCGCATAGCAACGTTTCGCATGAACTACAGCTTGGACATCAGGCCGTCACTGGCAAATGTATGGCTTTTCTATGACCTCCTTCTGGCTGAAGCGGAGGTTGCAGTGCACTCTACATCAACGGCATCAACAAGTGAGGCCAAGAACTCCACGAAAGCTGCAGTAAAGATTATGCAAGGCTCCACTACCACAAAGACCACAACAGCAGGAACGACCACGTGGCCTTGCAAATTTTGGCTTTCGGATGGAGGTTGTCGACAAGGTCAACGATGTCGCTGGCCACACCCATGGGAAGGTGTCTCAGATCGCAGTTTGCGATGTTCCAACTGCAGCTCCAATCAGCATCTTCAAGCAGAATGTCCTTACAAAGCACAGGTGAAGCCACCTGTGGGGGGAGAAGGTGATGAGAATGGAGGTGGAAAAAATCCTGACAAGGGAAAAGGAAAAGGAAAAAACAAAGGAAAAACTAAGACAGAGGCTCAGAAGGGCAACAAAGAAAACACGTCTCAAACTGATGGCAAGAAGGAGGATGGTGTGAAGACAGCTGGAAGCATTGTTGAGGAGGATGTCAAGGAAAATGATGCAGCGACAGCGTCTGGGGGAGGTAGCGTGAGCAATGGGAAGAAGCCTGATGGTGGAGGCAACAGCAACAACACCAATGAGCTGCTTCAGGAGGCAACGAAGTTGCTGAAGTCTCTTCACCTACCCTCGGCCAAGATGATCATGCTGCAGGAGATTGGAGATCCTCAACAAGGCCCAGCTGACTTGATGCTTCTGGATAGTGGGGCCACTCACGCTTTGAGAAGAGCCAAAACTTGGAGCGAGTGGGATGATGCGGAGCACACGGTGGTGGCGTTAGCTCAGGGCACAACGACTAGCCTGCGCATCAAACATGGCACAGAAACGCTGCTCTCTACACCGGATGATGGTAGCTTTGGTAACGGCATTTTCCCGATGGGAGCGTTGACCAAGCTGGGCTACGAGATCACTTGGACCGGGGGAGACTGCAGAATGAAGAATGGCCATGGGGAGAATGTGGAGGTCACAGTTGTCAATGGTTGCCCTATGATCAATCGCCGGTTTGGCATGCAACTGATTGATCAGCTTGAGAATGAGAGCAGGTTGACAAGAGCGAGGAGTGCATTGGTGAGGGCGCTGATACAACAACCCACGCTGCTGAAAAATCTCCCAGATCTGGACTCTGAGACGCTGCTGATGGTGTTCATGAAGAAAGAGTTCCCGGACCTTCCTGATACAGTATGTCGCAAAGTGGTCCGGAGATCTTTGGAGATTGACAGTGAGCAGCTGCCTTGGAATAGATGGATGCGTCGTAGAATGCTCCGAGCTCAGCGAGTAATCTTGCATCTCTACAGTGGCAAGGATCAAAAAACTTGGCTACAACTTGAAGATGCCAACACTATGGTGGTGTGCCTTGACCGCGCCATCAACCCCAAAATGGACATGCTGAATGACCATGTCATGATGTTTCTGATGAAGATTGCGGTGAGTGGCAAACTTCATGCTATCTTTGGAGGTCCTCCTTGCAGAACGGTTTCTGCCTGTCGCTATGCAGATGACAAGGGACCGAAGCCTGTCAGGAGCGAAGAAGAGCCTTTTGGGTTGTCCACTCTAACACCTCAACAACGTGAATGGGTGGAGGATGATGTCACGATGATGTTTCGCATGAAGTTGCTCTACATGACTGCGGAGCACCACAAACCAGCTTGGTGCAACAAGGTCCTCTTTGCCATGGAGCAGCCTCAAGATCCCTGTGAGTACAGATCTCAGCAGGATGTCAACAAGTACAAGTTCATGAGTGTATGGCGCACGACGGCTTGGAAACACTTTCAAGAAAAGTATGAGTTGGTGATCACGTCTTTTGAGCAAGGAGCTTATGGACATGTAAAGCCCAAGCCAACCAGCTTTGGCCACAACATCACTGGCTTTGAGCAGCTGCATGGCGCCAAGACTCAACGTGAAACTGGTCATCAAGACACTTGGAGACATCAATCGCTGCCACAGAGGATTGCTGAATCTGCCACGTGGTCCGAATGGGCTCCGGGCGTCAAAGCAGCATTGCTGGAAGGTTTAAGGAGAAACCTTTCCCAGCTGAATGATGGGCGTTGTCACCTTGGGGCACTGGGCTCTGCGGAGGAGGCACCTCGGGACTCCAATGGTGATGACGTAAAGCCCAAAGAATGTGGGGCTCAACTATGCCCACTCTCAGAAGTCGCCTTGGCGAAATGGAAATCACATATTCTTCATGATCATCAACCAATGAGGAGAGATTGCAAGGTATGTGTTGAGGCTGCAGGTAAGTCCCGACAGCATAGGAGGATTCAACATCCAAGCGCATACTGTTTGGCGATAGATCTGTCTGGCAAACTCAAGAAGGGCAAGGACCAGTTTGGCACTTCAGGCTCATATGTCTTGTTGGGTTGCTACACCTTTCCAACAACCACTGATGACATCCCTCTATGCGGCCCTGGTCAACCACAGCCATCTGAAGATGCTCCGCTACCAGCACTTGGTGAGATGGTGGATGAGGACGGAGTTGACGGAGACGTGGAAGATGGAGAACTCCCACGACTTGAAGTCAATGAGGAAGAGGACGTGGGGGATTGGGATCAAAAAGCAACGGAGAGGGCAAAGGTGGCGTATGACAGCTGGATGAAGGTGGTGGAGCAATGCAAGCAAGTCAAAGTGAAAACCTTGACCTTTGTCGAGGTGGTGCCATCGAGAGCCACTGGTCACATCATGGAGGGTTTGAGCAAGATCTACTCCAAAATACGCAGCCTTGGTCTGCCTGTGCTGCGGCTTCACGCCGACAGGGCGAGAGAACTGACATCCAAGTCAGTGCAAGCATGGTGCCACAGTCGTGATATTGTGACCACCTACACAACAGGAAGTGATTGGAAAAGCAATGGGAGGGCCGAGAATGAGATCGGCATTGTCAAGCGGCATGCAAAGGTTCTCATGAGGGCTCACAATGTGGCGGAGGAACTATGGCCGATTTTGGCCAGGCATGCAGGAGAACGGCGTTTGCGATGGCAATTGCAACAAGTTGGATATCCGGTGCCTGAGCTGCTGCCTTTTTACACCAAGGTTCTGGTGAAAAGAAAGTCTTGGAATGAACGCTATGCAGCATGGAGGTGGGAACGAGCTCCTGGGCGTGTCATGGGCCCTGATCCTTGGTCTTCCTTGACATCTGGTGGCTACTGCGTTCAATTGGAGGATGGCAAGTTTTTGGCCTCAACTGACGTGGTGGTTGAGAACGAGGAGCTGGGCAATCATGCTGATGTTGACATAGTAGTTCAAGAGAGGTTTCATGCAGCTCGAGACCAACACCTGGCTGAAGCTCCAAGAAGGTGCCTGCGATACAAACAAGGCGTCCCACAAGTTGCAAAAATCGAGTTGGGTTCCAACTCGGGGGAGCATGGGTGGTCAAAGTATGAACAACAACATGGACAACAAGGTGATGATCTAGAAGAAAAGCGACTCCTATGTATGCACAAGGAAATTTCCACAGTTTTGTCTGAGGAGTGCTTCTTGATGGATGATATGGATGTGGAGCAAGCATCGTGCATTCCTTCACTGTCTATGTTGGCACATCAGAAGTTCGATGTGGAACTTCAACTACGAGCTTTGGACCTTGAGAAAAAGCACATGGCTGAGGAAGAGAACTTTCTTGTCACAAAGACAGTCACTGCAGAGCAAGTGTACAATGAGTGGAACGACTGGAAAGAGGCCATGATGAGTGAGTATCGGTCCATTGTGGAGGAGAAACGGGCAGTGCGCCAAGTTTCACGAGGCGAAGCTCAACAGTGGGCTTGTGATGGAGGAGTCAAGTATGAGGAGCTGCGGAGCAAGGTGGTCTTCACGAGAAAGATGGGTGGCAAGAGGAAAGTGAGAGCATGCATCTGTGGAAACTTTGAGGATGAGGTGGCCACAGCGACCTATGCTGGAGGTTGTGATGCATCACAGATCCGATGCGTCGCTCGTCATGCGGCATTGAAACGATGGGCAATCTTCACCACAGACATAAAATGTGCTTTCCTCAATGCTGAGAGAAAAGATCGATCGAAACTCATCGCCATGACCATCCCCTCCATCTACGTTAAGCTTGGTGTGGCTACGTCTCAGGATGTGTGGTTGGTCGATGCAGCTATGTACGGCTTAGTTTCCAGCCCACGTGATTGGGCTGACCATCGGGATCAGGTGATTCCAACTATGACCTGGCTGAGAGAAGAAGCTGGCAGGCGTTGGAAGGGTAGCTTTCAAAGAGCGGCTGATCAACACTTGTGGCATTTGAGCGAGAGGTGTCAGGAAACGGGGGAGGAAAAAGATCGGGGCATCATGACAGTTTACGTCGACGATGTTTTGCTGGCTGCTGATGAGAAGACAGCTCAGTGTGCTTTGCAGGCGATTGCAGCGGTTTGGGAATGTGCTCCAGCTGAACGGGCCACTTTGCAATCATCAGTGTCTTTTTGTGGCTTTGAGATTCAGCAGAACGAGGATCTGCATGGAGGTGGTTTCAGACTTCATCAACATAGCTATGAGGAGGAGTTGGCAAAGAAATGGAATGTGACTGAAGTCCGACGTCAGTTAGACTTCAAGTTGCCCACTCCTGAAGAAGAAGCTGAGGTTCAGCGCTCGGAAGATGCAGAGTTGGTGAGGAAGGCTCAGGCATGCACGGGTGCCTTGCTATGGCTTGCCACAAGAACCAGACCAGAGATTTCAGTGGGGGTCGCAGCTATGTCGAGGCTGTGCACGAAGATGCCTGAACTTACCATATCCATTGGCAACAAGATCATTGCCTATCTTCAAAGGCCCACGTTGGGTTTGATCTATGCAGCGACTGTTGGTCCGGTTCATGGTGCACGAGATCAACTTGATCTGCCTAGATGTGAACGCACTGTTGAGGCTTTCTCAGACATCTCCTATGCTTCAACAAAGGGCTATCGATCAGTCCAAGGCCAAGTGTACTTCTACGCTGGCGCTCCAATCATGTGGAGCACCAACAGACAGCCATTTCCAACACAGTCCACAGCGGAGAGCGAGCTTGTTGGTCTCTGCGAAGCTTTGGTGGGTGGAAGGGCTACAGCTAGTTTGGTAGCTGCAGTTTGGAAAGAATCGGAAGAGGTGCTCATCAAAAGACTTTGGGGAGACAATGCAGCGGCAATCAGCTTGGCAACGGGAGAAGGTCAGGGAAGCTGGCGAACGAGACATCTTCGCATCAGAGCGGCGATTTTGAGATCAGCACTCTGGCAAAATGAATGGCATCTTGGTCACTTGAAGGGGCGTGAGCTTGTGGCGGACTCCTTCACCAAGATCGTTGATGGTGCCTCTTTTGAACGAGCGTTGCAAGATCTTTGCGTTGTGGCTGATGCGAAGAAGTCCAAAAGTGAGATCATAGGAGGAAGTGACAAAGCAAGGGCGAAGATCGCTATGCTGGTGGGTGCTACGATGCTCTCTGGCGCAGCTGCAACGGAGGAGGATGAGGAGAACGAAGAGCAGTCCTGGTTTTGGACCATTGGCTTAATCCTGATGAGCGTGGGAGCAGTCTACATTTTTAGCACGATCGTCCGAAGCGGCATTTGGCTTCACAATCGACTGCTGGGGTCATCGGGTAGCTATGATGGAGATGGAATCAAAGGACAAGCTGAACCTCCTCAACTTAGGATGTTGCAGCATAGCAGCGGAGAAGAAACAGCAGAGAGGCGTGGTAGAATCAATCAACAGCGGGCCACGTATGCTTCGCCGGTGAACATGTCAGAGATTCAAGAGATGGTGGCGCAAAGCCATGCAGATCAACATGATCCACACAACAAAATGCATGGTCGTGACGTGGCAAACTGGTCTTCCAGTGAGGATGATCACAAGCCTCAGCGACCTGTGAAGCTTCACACAAGTGATCAACTTCCAAAACGGCGAAAGAAGAAGGGAAAAGGCGGCAGAGCCAAACAAGATGATGATTTTGATGAGGCTGCGATTGAACGGAGTTGGCAGTCCATGCTTGGAACGACCAGGAATCTTTTTGCAGCTTCAACGTTGACAAGAGGGCCACAGTCGGGCTATAGCAGTGCGGCAAAAGGATCGTCATCAAAGGGCATGGGGTCTAGAGCGGGATCCAACAGAGCTGAGGTTGAACAGACTGCGTCATCATCATCATCATCATCATCATCATCATCACAGCAGGTGTCTTCACGATCGGGCCTCAGCATTGCCGGGCAGAGTGGTGTTGCCGGGCAGAGTGGGCAAAGTGGTGATGCCGGGCAGAGTGGTGCTGCTTCTGCGGCGGCTGGTTCTATTTCCTCTAGCTCGAGGACACGATCGGGCACCAGCAGTGCGGCTGCAGCTGAACATGAGCGGGGCAGTAGTGTCTCACATCAAAATTCCTGGAACGAATTCCAGAAGAGTTATAGCGGTAGGGGCTGGGGCTCTGATCGCATGCGTGCCGAATATTGGCACTACAGGGCCACTGGCAAGAAACCTTTGTAGGGCACATAGAATGTACAAACATGCCTTGAGCCTACATTGAGTTTTTTCTCCCGAAAAAAGGGGGAGTATGAAAGGCCAAACACTGGCTATGATCAAGTGTAGTATCTGAATCTTATCTGCACAGGTCATCATTCCAACATTCACCTGCCGACGTAGGCATTTTGTATCGAGATTGCAGAAAAGTGCCCTCAGCATTTGCGAGACAGTAAATCCCTACAACGTGCCCAGCCCGGTGATGCTTGTTGAATTCTCCAGGCCATAACTAGTTCGTTACCCTCTGGTAAACTAACATAGCTATGGAAAATCACCATTTTCAATGCATTTTCAATAGCTATGTTTGTTTACCAGAGGGTATCTCTACCATAAACCCAAGAGTTCAAGGCTTCCTCCGGCCTCTTGGTCCTTGCCTTCTTTCCTGGAGGACCTTAAAAAGACCACGACTGCATCACGACTCGGGATGCGAATGGAAAAGAAAACTTGGGATTTCACATGATTTTTCATCATGTGGCAGTGTGTCAAAACCTTGTACCCCTGGTGAACATCAAAATAGCTGGTAAATGGATGTTCATCCCCTAATAAACTGTATCTATAGGTATTGACCCATACCCATGTGAATTGACAATTCTGGATAGTTCTGGAAATGATCCATTCTTGAAGAGTCAAAGTTATGTTCTGAAAATGTATGGTTGACAATTCCGCAAATTGGGCATTGAAACCAGAAGTTGGAAGCTGTTCGGTAATCAAGCGTGGGAATGCACGATCCCTGGTTTTTCATAGCTAAAACAGCCACCTACTAAAATGATGCATCTCCAAGCACGCCCAACGATACCCCCAAGAAAGTTTTTGATACCAGCCTGATCAGCATGGCAAAGTCACCATGAGAAAGGAGAGGTTGTGGAAATTCACAGAATTCTCATTGATGATAATAGTTTTTCGAGATCATCTAGACGACTATAGAAGCAAAACATGAAGCTGGAACACTCCCAGTGGGGGTCGCTTAAAATCGCGGATTCCCAGGTCACCATGGGTTTCAATACAAATTTTGCAACCGTCCAAGTGGATGATTTGGGGGTACCCCCATGACTTATGAAACCCCCAAGGCCAGGCTACTCTTCGCCTTCCCTGACTTTGGCATCGCCTCAGCACGTGCTGGGTGTTTGAGCCACAAAGATGGGGCAAAAACAACTGGCTTCGTCCGAAAATCTAGGGGAAACTCCGCAAAATCCCTTGGTTTATCATATTTTTCCTTATTAAAAGTGGGATTAGGATGACGATTATTAACATTTATTAACATCCCATGTTTGCTAATTAGGGTAAAGAAACACCACCTGTATTTGACATTGGACAAACCATCCAAACCAAACATGGGGAAAAAATGCAAAGACACCTGCAAAAACACTGATGCTGACCAAGTTACAACCGAACAAATGAACGTATTACCAATTGAATTCATTCTTTTGATTCCACACGTGTGCCATTGCAATCATTCCATGCGAATAGACTTTCCAAGGCAAGCCACGTCTGACTCCTGTTCATCTTTCAATGCACCAATGCTTGCGCAACGTACCATTCTGCTTGACATAAACACCAACTCAAACAAACACAGATGAATCTGGCTGAATTCGTGATCACTCACCACTTTGAAATAACGTGATTTTGGGATGATTCTACCATGAATCCAAATGATCAACGATTTGGCTGCAAGTCAGCTTGAGTTCCCAGGCTGACTTGGCAGGTTTGGCTTCTACTTTTGGATTGTCCTCAGGGCGCAAGTCTGTGGGGCTCAATGCGTGCTGGTTGATTTCTATATGAGTCAAGCACAACAGCAATCCAACCAAGTTGCTACACAAGGACAGCGCGACTGTAGAAAAGTCCGTCACTCAGTGGTGATTGTGTATTGTGGACCCAATTCATGTGGTTCCTTCCCCACCAAACAGTGGATGTGGACAACTGACGCCCAGATCTCGCTTGGGAAAATCTATAGCTGGACCATTCCACCATCAATGGATTTTCCCAGCACTTCCCAGTACTGTTAACAGCCTCCGTTGGCTTCGGCGATTTCCCATGGATGAAACTGGAGGCTAATCCAAGCCATAAAAATCAGCACCAAAAATCAGCGCAGTGACCAAGTGTTGATTTCTGAGGCGGCAACCATGGCAACCACCGCACACAGCTCCAATTTGAACAGGTCCTTAGCACGAAATCCCGAAACGCAACCTCTAGCTGCTGGCATTGGGGCTGGGTCTCCCATCCAGTCATCCCACCCAGAAACGTCCAGAAATCGTGGTTGAATACGGATGAAATCACATGCAAAGGGGACCGTAGAATGGGGGTGTGGCTAATATGAAGACCTGATGATTTATTTGGTCATGCAGAGTCATGCATCAATATATCATAATTATTCAGAATTATCAACCAGCTGGTTACCTGAGACCCATTACGTGAACACCAAAATAAATTGCAAATAAAGGTTCATGGCAAGAACCCATGCCTCAATAGCTATTGACGCGTTGAAGTTTTCAGAGGACTCCAACGTTCTTTGCAGCGGTAGGGAACAACCTCCAATCTTTTCATAATTGATACCCTCGGGTAACATAGCTGGAGAAAAGCGCCGTTTTTTATAGGGAAATTATCTATTTGGTTTCGTAGCTATGTTAGTTTACCAGAGGGTACAACAGAAGTCCTTACAGCAATAACCCTTGACCAGAAGTGCTGCCGCTGAGGAAGGACTCATATTTGGGATGGCATGGAAAAGGGGCCCTGGGGTCTTCCCCACTTTGGATACACCCATCTTGATCTGGGCTTGTCTGAAAATTTAGGGGAGAAATCCCCAAATCCCGTTGCTTATCATCATCGTCCAATTTTCACGGGCCATTCTGGGTGCTATCCCCCATTCTCAGACACTTCCAACTTCCCTTACAGTATCACTTGGCTAAATCCCCATGTTTGATAGTTCAATGTCCATCTGGCTGGTTAGAATCTCATTAAAATTAAAATCCCATGAACTCCATTTTCAGACATGTCTATCTGTTGTGTTTTTCTTTTTTCTGCCCAAGGTACTTGCACCTGTACACCTCGGTATTCTTCGCCGCAATCGTTGCTTGGTTTTCCAGCAAAAAGCACCTGCAAAATCAGGGGCTTATTTGGAGGCCAATGAGCTTTCAATCCTGTACCGTAGCCTCAAACACCCAACGACCATGACCCCAAGTCATTTTTATAGGTCCAAGTCACGAAAGCAGGGTTCTGTTTGGGTATCTAAAACTGGGCACGGATTTTGCTGCGGCATAATGCGGTTAAGCCAATGATGTTTTCTGCTTGGTGTTTCTTCGAAAGCCTCCTGAAAAATAGACGAAAGTCTATTTAAGGGGATGATGTGCCATCTCTATCATCGATCATATGACTAGACCATCAATCAATGGATTGGTTTAAGGGAAAATCTACAGGAAACCATAGATTTTCCCAGTAAATATGGGGTTTTCCAGTATTTTTTTCCTTAAACCAATCCATTGAATCAACGGTTTGACAAAAACCACCAAATTCCAGGTTTACGGCGGGTCCACCATAGTACACGATACTGTATTCACATTCCTGGCATAATCATGTTCACCGGAAAAAAGGGGGTTCCATACTGAAACCTTAGTATACTGAAGAGTCCACATCTATATGCAACATATACTGCAATATATATATATATAAATATATATATATACATATGTATGTATGTATGATTGTATGATTATATGATTATATGATTATATATGATTATATAATTATATAGTATTAATATATATATATATGTATGTAATGTTGGTACATTGAAAGATGAGTTCTTCCAGATTTATACCACCTCCCGAAAAACGGCATGCGGCCATAGGCATTCATCGCCTCCAGTAAGGCAATGGCCAGTGGCTCCTGAACGTCCACTGTGCAACAGGTCTCTTCATCGAAGATGGAGTGCTTCTGCCTGAGGAGCGCAATGGGGATGCCATGGGAGGAAGGGAAAATCCTCACCGGAAACCCATGGTTTTTCCATGTTTTTTTCCAATGAGATATGGGAAGTTCATCCGTAAATGTTCCGTACAGCGATCCATTGAAATACCGTCCCCACGGTTCCAGGCCGATGGGAAACATGGGACAAACAGCTCAATCCAGTTTTTTTTGGCTATAAAATCCATAGTTACGACATGCTCAACACACCGAATATCAATGGAATTTCAACCATTCCCCACCAATGACTTTGCTTTTTAATTTCCAGATGGTATCTGATTTTTGGAAGTAGTTGCAGCAATCCGATGAGCCCCACTTAAATATTTCAGGCCTTTCAGAGGCTTAATGAAGCTTGGTTATATGATGATATATGTTAAGAAAAATAATGATATATATATATATATATCCTGGTTCACTCGCTACAATACTTAGATTTGCTTGAACCAAAACATCATAAACATATATATATATATAAACATATTCCCTCTAGGTTCCAGAGTGTTCAAAAATGTGTTCCACAGTGTTCCGTCGTCGGCCATTTCCCATTGGGAAAATAAGCCCTTGATAAACTCAGCGAATCCCTTGACTTCATACAGGATAGCCTCCAGTAAACTAACACTTTGCTATGGAAAATGGATGAACATTATAAAATGGACCATAGAAATAGATGATTTACCTATACTATAAATGGTGATGTTCTATATGTTAGTTATTGTTAGTTGTTAGTTTACCAAAGGATAACCCTCGAATCAATAACTTTGGCACGGCGCTTGGCACCAAGAAACGTCATCTTCTCATCTGCCCACTTCATAAACTGCCCCGGCAGGGAGTCGTTGGAGCTGTTCTCATTGAAACTATTCACCTGCGCCGATGTCAAACGTTGAATCCACCATTTTCCAAAAATCCCCAGTTTTTTGGATGTGGGATATGGATGGATATGGGGATAGATTTCCAGAAAAAAAGTGGTTGGACACAAACAAATTTCTAGGTGCTATCCAAAAAAAAACACATCCAAATATTTCCCATGATCTCCAGCACAGACCAACGATGACCAACGATGACCAACGCACCAACCTCGTTGCAGAAGGTCTTCGCAAGGGCTTCGATGTCAAACAGTTCCTTGAAACGTTGCACGGCCTTGGCTCAACGGTCTCTGACTCTCATCTTTCTCACAATCTCAGAGTGCTTTCCGCTCTTTTTGGAGAAATCCATCAAAAATAGATCGTCAAAACATATGAACACCATCAAAACATTAAAAAATAACATTAAAAAAAAACATCAAAACAGATAAACACCTGAGTGGCATTTGCAGTATTTGCAGTAGCTGTTTTTTTTTCCACAGTTTGACATGGCGCTCCACAAAAACACAAAACTCGTTCTGCCTTCTCTGCACTGGGACCATGCAAACGTCCGAACCTGCGGCGACTTCCCGTTCCCAAGTAGTTTGTGATTACCCTCTGGTAAACATACAAAAAACTATGGAAAGTCACCATGTTTAATGGGTAAATCCACTATAAATGACAATTTTCAATAGCTATGTTAAATTGCCAGAGGGTAACATGAATGCATCAGTCAAGGTGGTCCAGTAATAAAGGTAGGATCATGGGTGGTATCCAAACACCTTTTGTCACAAAAAGCACTGCATACTAATATTGAAAAAAAACTCCAAGGGTCCGAGAATTCACATCAAATCTACACCGATCTTTAAACACTGTGAACAAACACCTGCGTCCGAAGCAACAAATTGGAACAAAAAAGAACCACTGAGCATCGCACCTGTTGCGGGCATGTTCATCCAAGTCCTGAGTGGGTTTGTAGCGTGGGACTCATCCAAATCGTTTAAGTCAAAGATGTTCATTTCAACATGTATAGGTGGAATTAGATCTGACTAGTTAGTGGATGATCATCATATTCAATTCATCAATATTCATCATGAGTAATGTGGTAAACCCCAGAAATAAACCATTCCCAATATCATCACAAATGGTTGGTATAAACCCTCCAAAATTGGAGGTTTATTACTGACTATAAGGGTTACCCGCCCCCATATTCTCCGTATTGTTTCACAACCAGGCTTTCCTGTGGATTACCAGCAAATACTGCAACGTTAGCAATATGAAAAGGTTTCATGAGTTTGCTAAATCTAAGTCACCTAAGTCATTACTATTAATAAAACAGAAAAAGACCAGTTGTTTCAAACAGACTTTATCACCATTCTCTAAAAAAAAACACTAAACATACACAACTGTTTCTTTCACACCACTGGATGACGTGCATAAAAAAAACACCACCAAGGTGCCGCTCGTCGGATATCGTCTTTGTTGAGGCCCACCAAACTACCCAAATCGGCCGTCAAGCGGTTCTCATAGTGCGTGGGGTTACCTTGCGGTGCCTGCGACCCTGGGATGTTTTTGAGGTTAAAAAACGAGTAGAGATCATGGTGCACATAGATACATTAGATTGTATAATATTGTAATATACAATATTGATGCTGCTTACTGTATATTTAGTATTACATAGTTTTACTAAATATTTATGGGTAGTGTAATTTGCATATATACATACATACATTACATTACATCATACACTATATTAAAAAATGCATGATACGAAATTACATAATATAAACATATATATATACATACATACACGTTGTAAAGTACACACGCCTATTAACTTATATATATATACACATATATACACATATACACACTCACCTTTATATATCTACATGCTCTATGTTTGTATGACACGCGCCCAAACCATCAAAACTTCTGAATTTTGGTAGTCAGAAAGAAGACTCATCAATCACGAGGTACAATGTTTGTGGATTATACGTGTATATATATATATATGTATATGTATGAATATATATATATACAGTATACATATATATATATATATATATATATGGATCACCAAATGGCACCAAACTAAGCGGCGAAAATGACAGAAATTCCGCAGTGAAGCATCGCTCGGTACATACTGTGTCTATCTGTGTCTTGGAGCCCTGAATCCTTACCCTCTCGCGAAAAAAAAACAACATGGAAGAACTTCCACCATGTTTTGATGGATCAATTACCATCATTTGCCACAATTTACTACCTTGATCTACCATGAATATGTATGTATATATATATATATACTCATAATATGGATTTCAGGTATCGCTCTGGGTATCGAGGGGTATCGCTTCGGGCATCGCTACGGGGACCAGAAAATGTGTGATCTCAGGTGTATGTTTCAAGTGACACGAAATTCTGACAAGCTCCATGTTGCAATTCTACTCCTGGACAGTGGCTTTGGAGAAGCGTCCGTGACCGCACAAGGATGCTTTTTCAACATATCTCAGCACGGTCACTATCTGAATCAACATCATCACCATCACCATCATCATCAGCATCATCACCATCATCAAGCTCATGATGCGTTATGAATTAGTTTCTTGCATACCTTATAGATCAACATACCCCAATATATCAATATTGTTTAATGTAACTATCTCATATATACTTGACGACAGGCCATCTTGCAACTACCCAGGAAGACCAGCCCACTGCGACTGCTCCAGTGTCGCACTCTGACATCAAAAGATTGGAAAGTCATGCGCCCAACAGGAAGCTTCAATCATAAACAAAGTCTAAAAAGAGGTATCGCTACATAAGGCCCCCTATCGCTACACACAGTAAATCACATATTTTGAGTAGTGATGGCGGATCGTAATTGAAGCCTTTCATAGCGTCTTTTGACCCTTGCTCATATGTATAATGTGTATACATATATATATATATAGATATACACATACGAGTACATTGCTTATTTGTGGAATTCCATGTTGTCTTCAGAGAAGTGGTTGTGTCTGAAAATAGAGCGCCCCCGATTCCATGTGGTACCCCATGTTAAAACACACCCTTCCATTATATATGGTTGGCTTTACACCCACATGTTTACTTGTTGCCGCAATTTCGTTTATTCGTTTCCTGTCAGCCCAAAACGTTTTCGATAAGCTTTCTTCACATATTTCAGATTCGATTTCTGACCATTTCCACAATCTACCTGATGAAATACCTATTTTTCAGGGTTAAATCTTTTTTTTCATGGTGTTGGATAGTTGAATTCATAGTTTTGATGGTTATATAGTCAAATTATGTCAAATTCATATTTCTGATAGTTTTTCAATACTGGTTGATTTTATGAAAAGTACCCAACATGTTCCTATTTTTTTTCATGGCTAGTCCCCAAGATTTTTAATCTTGGAAGATGTCCAGCGTCGAGAAACCATCGTCACTCACCACCCCACGGCTGAGATGATCGATCGCCAGCATCTTGATGGCCATCACCTGGCCAATGTCGCCACGTGTCGAAAAACCCATGCGAAAAACAGGGAAAACATCTGGAAACCATGGGACAACTGTGTTGTTGAAGTACATGGGATAGAAATGTTGCGTTTACTATTTCTATGGTGAAACTGAACTATGAAATGATATGAAATTATGGGAAGACATGTTTAACAGAAATACAATTTAATTTAACCATGTTGAATCACAAACATGCAGGAAACTTATGGTTCCAATCGACTCACATTGGGAGACGGGACGGATCCCCGAGGGTTTTTACAGATGTGGAAAGCACATGACCCATGGTTTCAATAGGAAAGCATAGGAACATGATCTACAAATGGTTTTCTACATTTATGTAAACGTTTATATACAGGAGGACAGGAGGGTAATCATGATAGCCAAAGTCACATGATGCAAGCACTCAGGCTTTCGCCTTATAGTCACCCACCATCGCTCGAACGAGGCCTTTGAAATCTTGACCTCAGCATCGCCAAACTTGCGCATTGCGTGGCAGTGAAATCAGTTGATAAACATATATTATACAAAGATCTATGGTGAAGTATATTATATGGATAATGAAAGGTAGACTATAAATATATATGTATATACACTACAAACTGTCAAGCTAAAAGCTGGAATCATACCTTTTAGACGTTGCCGCTCCAACTGGATGAATGGAAAGCACATCACCATCGCTTTGCTTTGGTTGGTAAATAGTGGCATCCCTGTAAAATGAGTTATTATAAAAATCTGCAAAAGAAAACAGTCAGGTTAACAGTACACCCCCTATATTAACCAATCAACCGTCATTTGTCAATTACATCCTCATATCTAGGATAGTTTAAAGCCTCATGAAAAAACTCGTGAATCATTGATTCTCAAATCATAATCCCATTAAAAGCTCAATTCACGGGTTAAACTCATGGTCCACGTATCGCATATATCATCTTACATCTACCTAGAAATTCCCATATCTTTAATTCTTAAAATCCCATATAAAAGCCCTACAAAGGTGGGCTTTTAGTTGAGATAGCCAAATTGGTACAAACAACTCAACTATAACCAGGTAACAGGTCAGTCGCTGGGAGGTTGGCCGTCCCTGAGCATCTGGCTGACTCCCAGCAGTTCCAAGCCGACTCGTTCAACCACCCGGGCCTGAACTGCTTGGCAATCCAGGAAAGCTTCGGCTACCTGCAGCGCCCGGCTGGACCGGCTGGACCGGGTGGGTCCGAATCGCCAGCCAGGAGGCCCTGATTCGTGATTCGTGAAGCTTTTGGTTTATGTCCACCCCATGAATACTGCATATATATATATATATACTGATACTATCCAACTAAACCAGTGAAACAGATACAAGCCGACTATGGTCACAAACTGAATACTATTGTGTTGGCGCCTTGTGGGCTTATTCTAGAAAACTGCAATCTTGAAAAAATGCAACATGTAATGCAAAAAAAAAGCAAATGAAAAATGCAAAAAAATGCAAGGGCAAAAAAACAATGCAAAAAAAAGCAAATGAAAAATGCAAAAAAAATGGAAGGGCAAAAACACAATGCAAAAAAAAGCAAATGAAAAATGCAAAAAAAATGCAAGGGCAAAAACACAATGCAAAAAAAAATGAACAATGCAAAAAAAATGCAAGGGCAAAAACACATTGCAAAAAAAACAAAGGAACAATGCAAACAAAAACAAATGCATTTTTCATTCGCATTTTTTTTGCACTTGTCATTTTTGCCTTTCTCAAACTTGCATTTTTCATTTGCATTTTTTTTGCAATTGTCATGTTTGCCTTTCTCTGAGTTGCATTTTTCATTTGCATTTTTTTTGCAATTGTCATTTTTGCCTTTCTCTGAGTTGCATTTTTCATTTGCATTTTTTTGACATTGTTTCTTCATTTTTTCAAGTTGAAACTATTCTAGAACAAGCGCAATTCGACAGCACAATATTGAATACTATACTATACTTATATCATGTTATATCTACCATACACCCAAGAGTTGGTGTTTTGCAGCAGCTGCGGCTTGGAGGTGGCTTGGGGCCTCTTTCAGGTACCGCGCTGCACCTGGCTTCTTTTCATGGCCATAATGCACCTTGGCCGCAAGATCTTAGTGTGAGTGTCTAATGGGGTAACCCCAAATCATCCAACGGACCATTTTAGTATTGAAACCTATGGTTTTGGGCATCTCCCATTTTGGGAAACCCCCACTCTGCAGACACTCTGCAGACTCTGCAGAGTCATAGTGGTTCCAAAAAATCTGATGTGAAAGGTGCCAAAATCTTCCAAAAAATGACTTCCAAGGCATTGCACCAGTAGCATTTGACCAACTGCAGCACAACTCTGAGGTCTCAACAATTGATCGCATTAGCCATTTGAGGTGATTGTCCATGGGCTGAGCGAGCATTGATGGGAGTCGACTTTTTTGTTCGGCTCCGTTGACTCCGTTCGACTCACTGCAATTAGTTTCAATGACTCGTTTATGTTCGTTTATCACATAAGTCACCACGTCTTCATTGGCAGAATCTCTCTTCTACTGCAAGTTCTCAATCGGAGGTTGATGGGGGTTACCATGATGATCAAATCACTGAGTAATCGAGGGTGATTGCCATCATAAGTCATACTTGAATTCCCATTGAAAACATTGATATGTCTTCACGTGTTTCATCAAAAGTGTTCAATGCCCTCCGACGATCAAACATGGGTTGCTGGAAAGGCCCCAATTTCGATGATTTTCCCAGCGAACTAAACCTGCATTGATATCCACTGCGCCCCCCGACGGTTCCATTGAAGGCGCGAAGGCCATTCTGATAGGCGGAGGCCAAGAAATTCAGGGAGTATTGTCCAGGCCTCAGTGAAGCCAGAGAAAAAATTAAGCAACAATAATGGGATAATTAATGGGTTATTAATGGAATAATTACTGTAATGGATTATTAATGGAACATTTGATGGTTTGATGGTTTACACTCTGGTGTCATCAAACGTGGCTAGCTGGACAATCCCCGAACTAAATAGAAGTTCAAACGGGGGACTTTCAATTGCCACGTTTGACTACCGGAGGGTATATCATATGGCTATGGACCTATGGATCAAAACCAAACGCTACCCCCAGTGAACCAACATAGCTGGTAAATCGATGTTCATCCCTCGAATTTTTGTCAGAATAGGTTTGGAATGGGTTTGATCTATTCCCGTCTTGCAAAGTAAACCATAATCCATTAATAATCCACTAATTTTCCCATTATTAATGAAACATATGATAGTTATCTCAGTGTTAACCATTAATAATCCATTCATAATCCATTAATAACCCATCATCAATTATCCGACGTAAATAAATAAATAAATCTATATATAATGAAAGTTAAGGTTACAATGTCCCAGTTTTAAGGTAACAATAAGCCTCCAAAGAGACCCCCCAAGAACGTGTTAGAGCGCCGTGCTAATATATATATATATTATATATAAGCTGTAATTAAAATGGTTGATATCTCCATATATTTCAAATCAATCCAATGGACATGCATTAAGATTCCCTCCAACAGGGTGACCCTGCCATGGGGGCTTGGAAGACTACGCCTACGCTGAGATGAGAAATCAATTGAGGTCATCATCATTGGATCATTGGTGTCACCAGCTGGACTATTTTTATCTATTTTGGGCTTTGTTCCTACAAAATGCGGTGGCACTTACCATGCTGGAAAAATTAGCTGGAGTTTTCTTTTGGATTCACAGTGTCATTGACATGAAAGCAAATTTTGAAACTCAGTGGACATGGTCACAAGAGCAGAAGACACATCTCACTGCACCACCTCGACCTTGGCTTTGCTTCCAGTTTTGCTTCCCCATGGGTACAAAATGTGCTCGGATAAACCACTTTTATCACTCTTGAATATGAACTAAAGTGGATAATAGTGGATTATGTTGTATCGTTTTGTATCATATCCACAATTGACAGTCCGTTACAAACCAAATATCAGCCTCGCATGGAGTTGGGGAATTGGGGAAAAGGCTAAACGTGTTTCTCTCAAGTCTATGCTCCAGTTGAAAAAATCAGCTGATTACTCAACATATCAAGATCCACATCCATATGTGGATGGGTCAAAACATGTCAAAACGCTGTAGTCCTTGTTTTCATACCAAAATAGCTGTGTGATGGTTGGATGCTTCTCCCCTATTTAAAATATAGGTATTGATTCATAGCCATATTATGATCCTTCCATTCTGGTGATTCTTCGTCAGCCTGGGTGTTTGAGATGCCGTGCATGTCGCGGAACAAATACTTCTCCACACCCTTCACATGCTCCTAAGCGGGAACTAGTACACAGACTGACGGATGATACGGGTTCCGACCAGGCGTCGTTATATCCAATAAACAACAATAAACCAGGTAGCCAGTAGCATAACACCGCATACCCACCTGTAATGATCAGGATTTTGGATGATTTTGGTCTGTCCTTGAAGACCTTCTTCACTTCCTGACAAAAACACGAAGCTGCAGGAGGCCCTATGAGCGAATTATGTTTCAGATATCATGGGATATGCATCTCCTGAAGCGCTTTCTTCGGTCATTACACATTGTGAAGGCTCCCCTTGTGTGTCAGACTGTGGGCAAGTCTTCTTGTGATGGCTTGATCGTTTTTGATGTGGTACTGAAACGGACTTAGTTTGGTGCTGCATTTGAGTGCCCCTGGCCACTGCCTTTTTAAGGTGCTTTCCGTGTCAGCCACAACGGGTTTTCCGTGCATATTGGGGTGTAATTCCTGGATAGCGGCACACCCATTGCTCCGGGTGGCATATGGGATGGACATCCAGATCAATTGGACAATTGGCGAAGTGTAGTTCGGTATACTGAACCAATTTCTCCTTTGTTCTAGTATGTTGTGGTAATGATTGCAGAAAGCCGGTATTTTTAGGTGAACCCCGGTTTTCACCCCAAAAAAGATGGGATTTATGGATGTTCGATTCATCTCATTCATCTCCCCAAAATATATAAATATGGTATCTGGATGAACTACAATAACTCACTGACCTGAATAGTTAAGCCATTTCGGGATGATTCCCCTATACATTCACCATCATTCCAGTGACGTCACACTGAGGTCGTTATAATTCAGTGAGATTTTTAAGCATCATATCCTCATTATATCCTCATTATACCCCACTACAAGCTCCATTTAGTTCGCGGATTTCCCATCTGGCCATGTTGAAAGTTATCAAAGGGTAATCCCATTGCCAAATGGTCCATCCCCAATTTAGTTTTCTAAAAGGGGACTTTCTCAAAAGGTGATACCACCAAATCATCCAAGTCATTAGACCATTTGTGTATTGAAACATATTGAAACCTACGGTTTTGGGCTACCCCAATTTTAGGAAACCAACCAAATTTGATCATTTGGGTACCCATGGATACCCCATGGATCGGGATGATGTGTGCTGACTCGCCAGTGATGGTGCCACGCCTCTTGGCTGAGTTTCTCATCCTCTTTCGTGGCTTCTGCTGGCAGTGGCACCTCCAGTTCGGCTGCTTGCAGCGTCCAACCACTGGATACCCAAAACAAGAACAAGGCAGAAACTTGGATAAATATGGGAGGAAACTAGATATACAAATGCCCAAGTAAACCTCAATATGACTGGTATATTTTATACATGGGAGAAACTTGGATAAATGGGTCAATCATGGTCAATCTATTCTTATAGTAGCATGTTGTACAGTAGCCAAAAATGAGATGCTTTTCAGCCAACAAAGTCACGATTTCATCCCCTTGGGAATGGAATGCTGCCTTACGAAGAGTGAATAAAATCTGCTGAAATTTCGAGCAGCCGCCAGAGCCTCCTGAAACAAACCATGATTCTGAACTGTTGCGTCAGCTTCTGATTTTTTAGGAAAAAATGCAACACATCTCTAGCAATGAAATGGCAACCATGGAATCCAAGGTCAAAGTCAACACCACCTTGCACAAACAAAATTAGAACTGGAGGATAATTCCCCATTCAACATGAATTTTGGGACCAAAATCTAATTTTCCCCATTAACATGGCTACTGGTATTTTAAGAGTTTGCTATTGAAAATAATCATTGTGAATAGGTAGATCATCTACTATATACCGGCCATGTGGAACCATTTTGCACAGCTATGTTCATTTTCGTGGGTTTGTCTGAAAACAAGGTCTCTTTGAATTTCATGTTTAATCATCATCTTCCCCCCAAAATACTTGTAATTTTGTGGTAATGTTGCTAAAACAGTAGGATCCACCCCAAATTTACAATTTTTCTGGGTTGCATAAACCATCAAAATATGGTTGATGTTTGCTTTACCAACATATGTTCGACCATATTACCCTCCGGTAATTTAACATAGCTATTGAACATGGCCCATGTGTAGTTGATTTACCTATTTAAGATTATCATTTTCCAAAACAAACTGTTCGTTTACCAAAGGGTATAGCATATTTACCAACATATTACCAACATATTCACCAACATATTCCACCATATTCCTTATTTACCACATGTTACCACCATATTTACCAACATCTTCCCATCACGGGTGGCCCAAAAAACAACAAACACGTCGCCACGTCGAATCGCCTGAACAGCGGGGCTCAGCAACAAGTTCACCAAGGCAACGAGGCGGGGACTTCCTCAGCAAACATCAAGCCATGTCTATAATCAAGGATATTTATTTGTTAGCCTATGTATTTATGTAAATGTATGCATGTATGCATGCATGCATGTATGTATTTATTTATGTATTTATGTATATGTATTAATGTTTTTGGAATTATGTAAATGTATTTCTGTTTATGTATTTATGTTTATGTCTTCATGTAAATGTAAATATGTAAAAGTATTGAAAATTTATGTATATGTATTTATGTATTTGCATTTATGTATATGTATCTATGTGTATGTATTTATGTATATGTATGTATGTATTTGTGTGTGTTTATATGTATTTGTGTATATGTAATTGTGTATATGCGTTTATGTATATGATTTTATGTTTATATGAATTTATGTAATTATGAACTTATGTTTATGTATTTATGTTTATGTATATATATATAATTATATAATTGTATTTATCAGCAAAGCCCAAAGTGTGGGAATTGTATCCCCGCGAGAAGAAAGAGCAAAAATCCGTGGATTCTCACCCATCATTGGTTTTCTCCGCTAATTCTCCCCCCTCTGGCGGATTCCCGCATACCTCCGTTATGGGCCTCTTTTTTGCTCATGTCTCTGTGTCCAGGCGTTGCTTCAGCAAAGTCATGTACAAGTCACATGTCCGATGTATAGTGGCCTTCGGGCTCACTCTGCTGATCAGACTTTTGGTTCGTAGAGTTGCTTTACGGCACAAGGTTGTTAAGGTTGGGTTTTGGAAAAGACCAGGGTCTGTCAAAGGATTATTGGCTATCGTACAATTGTTGAGAAAATATGTTTTTCTTTCATAGGAGACTGCTAACTTAAGGCTTCAGTCCTCCAACAGTTGGCGCACCTCATCGGCAGACAGGTTGGCAAGCTTCTGCACAACGCTGTCTGGCATGTCTTGTGGAAGAGACGCTATCTGCACAACACTGGCTGCAGCGCGGCGCAAGTCACTGCAACTCCAAGCTTTGCTTTGGAGCTTTTGGGGCTGCATTTGACAGCTTGCAGCTAAGAAAATGGCTGCGGACGCAGGAAAGTTGCAGAAACAGCTGCGGTCTGCCCTTGACAGCTCTTGCCGGGAATAGGGTTTCGTGCCGGAAAACAGCTCCCATGTGGCTTGAGACCCTTCCCAAAAGCTCTGGTTAGGCTAAATTCTATCTATTAGGTTATATCTTTTTTTCTGACTATTAGTTAAATTTTGTTTTTACCTATTAGGTAAAACAACTGTTTTACCTAATAGTCAGAATGATCAAATAACATTTTTTTCTTTAGGTTGTTTATATGAATAGCCTTTTTTCTTTTACGTTTTTCATGAGTAAGCTACGTTTTTTCCAAATTGTTTCTTTGAAAAACAGACTTTTTTTTATCAACAACCTCAAGGATGCTCAGCATTTTGTCAATATAATTGGAAGCAAAGATTCGAAGAATGTCAAAACAGGTTGAAAATGGTTCAAGATCTTTTGTGAAGCCTTGGGAGTTTCTGGATGCCCGTGGTTTCACTGGTAGTGATGCTTGGCTAGATCAAATACAAGAGCATCAGCCTAGGAATGGCACCTATGTTGTGGCTATCCTGCACATTTATGGCATGTGTGTTTGATAGACCTGGTTGGAAACCATGTCATGGGCCTTTGGTGGGCTTATGTTGGGTCACTCGGTGGCTCTGCTGGGCCTATGTTCGGCCTATGTTGAGCAAAAAGATGCCGCCAATTTGGGCTTATGTTCAGCCAATTTCAACCCAGACCTAAGAAAAATTAGGTCTGGGTTGAGGAAACCCATCCTTTTTAGGCCATGCCCCAGCCATATTGGGCCTATCCTGTGCCAAGTGGGGGCATGTTGGGCCTATCTTGCAGCAATTGGCACATCCACTGCTTGAGCTACACGTCGCAATTTTACATTGTATAAAATTAAATTTGACATGACGCATGTCTTTGCTTAAAATGCGGCTGTCCAGCAACATGCAAATATATCAGTGGACTATTTTGTTTGGATGGGCCAACCAACAAGGGATGGAAACACAAAGCAACATATACATATATATATATTATATATTCATTTATATGTTTATTTATCTAGATCTATATGTTTATATCTATGTATAAACATGTGCTGCAACAATGGCAATGGGTAGTTTTTCTGGGTGCCAAACCAGCACAGGATGAAAAACAATATATCATGAGTTTCAAGTTTTTGAAACAAACTACTTTGACTTAAAACCACGCAAGACCAAACACCCAAGATGATAAATCAACCATTAAAAAAACAAAGACTGAACATATAAATTGCAAACTGCAGTGTTTTGGAAATCAATGAAAAATCAAAAGAATACATTTAAATTCATGGGTGGTCATGGGTGTGTGCGTTCATGGGCGCTCACCGGTGTTCATGTTTGTTTGATGTTTTTTCCCCCATCCATCCATTTATTGACATAAACATAGGTTTTAAGTGGAGGTCCCTGAGTGATTGTTCAACCTTGGGCTGGATTGTTTTTGATTTTTTTCGCAATACATTTATATAAAGGTTGGAGAACCCCAAGTGCTTGGCAAACCCTGGGTTTGAAAAACGCTTTGCGAAATCACTTTAATGATGGGCAGCAACAATCTTATAAACCAAAACATGCAAAGGTCTGGATGGCCTTTCACTTGTAGTGGTAGAAACAAACCCATCAAGTGCTTGGTGACGATTGGATGTATTCAAAGTTTCCTTTGTGTGCAAAATTGGGTATATAATGCAAAACACAAAATTGTTGTTTTTGCTTCATGCGCCGCCTTTGGAATGCAACAGCTGTGCCTTAGCGAACCTGACCCATCACTGAGGCGAGTCTCCAGCCTTGACATTTATATTCATGACAATTCGTGACAAAACATCAAAACCCCAAGATTTGCCAATGACTTGGGATGATCAGCCTTTCTATTTCTGAAGGCAATTAAACGCACATTTTACCTATAATTTGGGGTCCCCAGCCTTTAAACTTATTGAAAAGTAAGGCCAACCCAGAGCCAATGTATCACTAAAGGATTGTTTTTCCGGAATCTGTGTTTGAAAAAAAGGCGTTGCAACCCACAGTCAGTCAATCACTTGCGCATTACTGGATGTCAAATTTATGCCCTGAAAAAGTTGATCCAATTGTTTTGCATGACTTGGGGCGCTTCAGCCATCAATTTCATTGGTTTAAAGATGGAAAAATCTATCCAAGGAAGTGTGTGTTTGACAGTTTTTTCTCAAAAAAAAAATCTTTGGGGGAAAAAACTGTTTTTTCTTCAAAAATTACTTTACTTCGTGTGATCCCCACCATGACATTTATACATTTTCTTACTGGCAAATCTTCTGGCATTCTATCTGACATATCTTCTGGCATTCAATCTGGCATTCTATCTGGCATATCTTCTGGCAAATGATCTGGCATATCTTCTGGCATATCTTCTGGCATTCTATCTGGCAAATCTTCTGGCATTCTATCTGGCATATCTTCTGGCACTCTATCTGACATATCTTCTGGCATTCAATCTGGCATTCTATCTGGCATATCTTCTGGCATATATTCTGACATATTTTCTGGCATTCTATCTGGCATCCTATCTGGCATTCTATTTGGCATTCTATCTGGCATATCTATCTGGCATATCTTCTGGCATATTTTCTGGCATTCTATCTGGCAAATCTTCTGGCATTCTATCTGGCATATCTTCTGGCATATTATCTGGCATTCTATCTGGCATATCTTCTGGCATATCTTCTGGCATATCTTCTGACATTCTTTCTGAAATTTTTTCTCACTTTCTTCTGCACATTCTTTGTCCCATATCTTCCTACATGAGGTCCGGCAGGGAACACTTGGCGTGGATACTCGCGGTTGAGGTCCGGCCAGGGAACACTGGGCGTGGATGGTCGTGGTTGAGGTCCGGCAGGGAACACTGGGCGAGGATGGTCGTGGTTGAGGTCCGGCAGGGAACATTGGGCGTGGATGGTCGTGGTTGAGGTCCGGCAGGGAACACTGGGCGTGGATGGTCGTGGTTGAGGTCCGGCAGAGAACACTGTGGATCGCGGGTCGCAGTTGAGAAAGGACGACGAGGACGACGAGGACGACGAGGACGGCGAGGAGGACGACGAGGAGGAGGAGAGGAGGACGAGGCAGGAGGAGGCGGAGGAGGAGGAGGAGGAGGAGGAGAAGGAGGAGAAGGAGGAGGAGGAGGAGGCAACTGACATAAAATCTAACAACCCTCACCTGGCAGGTGGGGACAACGGTATTTATGGAAAAATGGCAAGTGTTTTTCTGAAAACAACAATGTTTTTTTGAAAAAAAAACATGTTCTTGGTCAAATTGTAAGGTATCGAGGTGTAAGTTTGGCGTAAGTTTGCATCAAACTTACACTTCATGGGGTGTAAGTTTGCACCAAACTTACATCAAACTTACACTTGTGAAGTGTAAGTTTGATGTAAACTTACACCCTTAAAGTGTAAGTTTACTCCAAACTTACACTGGTAAGTGTAAGTTTACACTTGTAAATGTAAGTTTGATGTAAACTTACACTTACCAGTGTAAGTTTGGAGTAAACTTACACTTCAAGGGTGTAAGTTTACATCAAACTTACACTTCACAAGTGTAAGTTTGATGTAAGTTTGGTGCAAACTTACACCCCATGAAGTGTAAGTTTGATGCAAACTTACACCAAACTTACACCTCGATACCTTACAATTTGACCAAGAACATGTTTTTTTTTCAAAAAAACACTGTTGTTTTCAAAAAAACACTTTCCCTTTTTCAAAAATACCGTTGTTCCCCACCTGCCAGGTGAGGGTTGTTAGATTTTATGTCAGTTGCCTGGTCCTCCTCGTCCTCCTCCTTCTCCTCCTCCTCCTCCTCTCGTTGTCCTCCTCGTCCTCCTGCTCAACTGCGACTCGCGATCCACAGTGTTCTCTGTCGGACCTCCACCACGACCATCCACGCCCAGTGTTCCCTGCCGGACCTCAACCACGACCATCCACGCCCACTGTTCCCTGCCGGACCTCAACCACGACCATCCACGCCCAGTGTTCCCTGCCGGACCTCAACCGCGACCATCCACGCCCAGTGTTCCCTGCCGGACCTCATGTAGGAAGATAAAATGTCAGATAGAGTGCCAGAAGATTTGCCAGGTAGAATGCCAGAAAATATGCCAGAAGATATGCCAGATAGATATGCCAGAAGATATGCCAGAATATATGCCAGATAGAATGCCAGATAGAATGCCAGAAGATATGTCAGAATATATGCCAGAAGATATGCCAGATAGAATGCCAGAAAATATGCCAGAAGATATGCCAGATAGATATGCCAGAAGATATTCCAGAAGATATGCCAGATAGAATGCCAGATAGAATGCCAGATAGAATGCCAGAAGATATGTCAGAATATATGCCAGAAGATATGCCAGATAGAATGCCAGATAGTATGCCAGAAGATTTGCCAGATAGAATGCCAGAAGATTTGCCAGATAGAATGCCAGAAAATATGCCAGAAGATATGCCAGATAGATATGCCAGAAGATATGCCAGAAGATATGCCAGAAGATATGTCAGAATATATTCCAGAAGATATGTCAGATAGAATGCCAGAAGATATGTCAGAATATATGCCAGAAGATATGCCAGATAATATGCCAGAAGATATGCCAGATAGAATGCCAGATAGAATGCCAGAAGATTTGCCAGATAGAATGCCAGATTGAATGCCAGAAGATATGTCAGATAGAGTGCCAGAAGATATGCCAGATAGAATGCCAGAAGATATGCCAGATCATATGCCAGAAGATATGCCAGATAGAATGCCAAATAGAATGTCAGAAGATATGTCAGATAGAATGCCAGAAGATTTGCCAGTAAGAAAATGTATAAATGTCATGGTGGGGATCACACGAAGTAAAGTAATTTTTGAAGAAAAAAACAGTTTTTTCCCAAAGAAAATGAATTTTTGAGAAAACACGGTCAAGCACACACTTCCTTGGATAGATTTTTCCATGTTTAAATCAATGAAATTGATGGCTGAAGCGCCCCAAATCATGCAAAACAATTGGGTCAACTTTTTCAGGGCATAAATTTGACATCCAGCAATGCCCAAGTGATTGACTGACTGTGGGTTGCAACGCCTTTTTTTCAAACACAGATTCCGCAAAAACAATCCTTTAGTGATACATTGGCTCTGGGTTGGCCTTACTTTTCAATAAGTTTAAAGGCTGGGGACTCCAAATTATAGGTAAAATGTGCGTTTAATTGCCTTCAGAAATAGAAAGGCTGATCATCCCAAGTCATTGGCAAATCTTGGGGTCTGGGGATGTTTTGGGGGACACTCCTTAGTGATGGGTCGGGGTCGCTAAGGCACAGTTGCTGCACTCCAAAGGCGGCGCATTAAGCAAAGCCACCTGGATTTCTTCTACAGCCAATCCTTGCAGAGCATTTGGTCAAATATGTTTTTGCCCACCACTACTTTTTACAGGTAAAACCCCACCCAACCTGTGGTTTTTGTTTATAAAAATTATTGCCGCCCAGCGTTCACACAGATTTCACAAAATGCGTTTCTCTTGAGGTTCTCCAGCCTGTGGTTTATTACCCATCCCGCCCAAAGCTGAACAATCACTCAGGGACCTCCATTTCAATCCCATTGTTTCAAGATCAAAAAATTGGTGGGGTTTTAAAAATAATCAAACAAACAAACAACCAAACAAGCAAACAACCAAGCAAAAACACATGAACACCAGTGAGCACCCATGAACGCACATGACGCCCCAGGAGCACCCATGAATTCCAATGTAATGTATTCTGCGATTTTTCGTGAAATCCGTTTTTTCCACACCAATGCAGCTTGCAAATTATATGGTCAACCTTTGTTTTCACAATTGTTGATTTTCCATTTTGGGCGTTTTGGTTTTGCACGTTTTTAATTCAATGAAGTTCTGTTTTAAAAAATGTTAAAAAAAAGTTTATTTCCCTCCACTCTGTGCTGGTTTGGCGCCCAGAAAAAACTGTCCATTGCCAGTGTTGCAGCACATGTTTATATGTAGATATACATGCATCGATTTTAAAAATACGTAAATAGATAAAATGAAATAAACAAATAAATAAATAGAAAAACAAATCAATATGTAGGAAAAAAACATATATACACATACACATACATTGTTCTCTTGTTTCCATCCCCCGTTGGCTTGTTCCATCCAAACAAAATATTCCACTGATATATTTGCGTGTTGCTGGACAGCCTCATTTTAAGCCAAAAAATGCGTCATGTCAAATTTAACTTTATACAATGTAAAATTGCGACATGTAGCCCAAGCAGTGGATGTGCTAATTGCTGCAAGATAGGCCCAACATACCCCCAACTTGGCACAGGATTTGCATTTGTTGATTTCATTTTTCTTCTTGTTTTTGGTTTTTCATCCTGTGCTGGCTTGGCGCTCCCAAAAACTATCCATTGCCATTGTTGCAAAACCGTTTTTTTTCTTGTTTCGGTATGTCTGAAAATGAGGTGACCTTTTTTCCCTTCAACGTAACCATTTTGGGGTCAAAAAAGGACACTTCATGTTGGGACATACCAATTTGCTCATATATTGTTTTGGACATGTGTTTTTGTTGCTTCCATTCTGTGTTGGCTTGCCCCATCTAAAACATATCCGACTGAAATTTACAGATTCACTTTAGCACAAAAGGCTCACTTTAGCACAAAAGGCTCACTTTAGCACAAGAACTCACTTCAGACCCGCATATATCAAAAGAACGCGACATACATCATTCACAAAACAATAAAGAAACATTTGAAAAACTATTTGCCAAAAAGACATGTAATTCAAAAATTCCAAAGGAAACAAATATGGAAAAAGACTGTGTCTTTAGTTTAAACTGTTGAAAATATAGTTTGGTGAAAGAAAAACAAAGTCTCAAACAAGACAGTTTTTAGGTTATTCGGCTAAATAAACTATTTAGGCAAACAGCCAAACAACCTAAAAGACAGAACATGAAATAACCTAGATAGAATTTAACCTTAAAAACTAAAATAACCTAATAGGCAGGAATTAGCCTAACCAGAGCTTTTGGGTTGTGAAGCCACTTTGGAAAATACGAAAAATTACGAAATACCCACTCCAACTCCGGCTTTTCTCACACAACTTTCTCGCACAACCTCCGCATATTCTCACAGAAAGTCCGCCTATTCTCGCCCACTCTCCGGTACGTATTTTCTCCGCTTGGTAAAATGAATTTCCCCGCTGTGTCTTTGAATTTCTCCGCTATGTTTTTGAATTTCTCCACTATGTTTTGAATTTCTCCGGTTAGTCAGTTTGGAAGTTCTTTTGTCAGGAATTTTAAAGTCAATCCTCGGAGATATGGGTTGGAAAGGCCGACTTCCACCGTTCAGGCACTGCCAAGTGCTTTGAACCCCGCATGTACATACAGCATTCCAATAATTTCGCTTCGGACCAAATATCTGGCTCGAAGTCCATCTGCTGAAACATCACAGGTTCTTCGTGGCTGTTTGCAGGCCCGAAGTCTTTCATGCGTTCCCGTACCTCCACACAGTTGTCCCAGTGAGCTTTGAGGCCTTTCAGCTCGCTAAAGACTACTTTCTTCCCAGCTGCCACAGGTGACGCCATTTGCCAGAAGCTACTACAGCCCACAATCTTTTTTTGCTGCCAACCTAAAAGCTGCAACACCAACATGTCATGCGGCAGAAAATTGCTGCCAAACTCGAACCATGTCAAACAAATTCCGACACACTGTGCTTTCTCATATCAAGTTTCCTCTCAGTCATGGGCCCTGATACAAGCATGTTAGGAGGACAGCTGCCAAGCACAGCCGTAGTTCAAGTGAACCAGCACCGCTGAAACCAAAAATGCTATTTCAAGTGCATTCATTTTCAAAAGCAAATTCTCACACAACTTTTCTCAAGTGTGGGAATTCCAACATGAGCACCAAAAAGGGAAAAAACAAAATGTTCCAACATTCCTGCTCTTACGGCTTAGATGGTATGTATATGTATTTATGTATATGCATTTGTGCATATGTATTTATGTATATGTATTTATGTATATGTATTTATGTATATGTATTTATGTATATATGTATCTATGTTTATGTATTTATGTATATGTATTTGTGTATATGTATTTATGTGTTAATATATGTATATGTTAATGTATATGTATTTATGTATATCATTGTATAGCTATATGTACATCTATATATGTATCTACGTTTTATGATCGTTGATGCAGAAACACATCAACCGTCGCAGCACCAAATCAGAAACTCAGATCCAAAGAAACCTAAGATCAGCTGGGTCATTCTCCCACTTGGTTCATCCACAAACAGGGTTGCGCCCTGGCCACCCCAGATACGTTTGGGGCTAACATTGCTATAGATTCATAGAGGTAAAATGACCAAACCCCGCCCCCCTATCATGGCTATCACGGCCCCCTATCATGGCTTGGAGCACTCGATTCCAACTGGTGCAGGACTTCGATTCCTTCCCAAGGCATGCTGGCAGCCACGTCAAATCCCCTAATCTTCAATCAGCATCCTCAATGAATCAGGTAGTATAATGTAGTATAAGTCCCCAAAAATTAACCAATCAACCAGGCTTTGAGTTTTGCCTCACTTGTCTTCTTCTCAAATCCACAAGCGCATCTTCACCACCAGCTCCAAGCTGCTGGTTGGCGCAGCCGCCACTTCCCGAGAGCTTCTCGGCTGCAGCCATGGTGGTGTGATCTCATTGTCACTCTCCTCATCCTGGCGGTGTGATCCCCATCATGGCTATCCATCGGTAAATGGATCCATAATTATACCAAACAACCAGCTAAGGTATGGTATGAAACATAGGTTTTGATCCCCATATCGAAGAAGACACCCGAAAAAGGCTGTTTCAGTCACGGTAAGCACTTGGCAGCATGGAACTAAAAACATATTAAGAGAACGCTGGTTCTGTGCCTCTTCTTCATCTTCTTCGTGGGGTTCATCTTCCTCAGACTCAGTGCTTTTGATATCCTTGGTTGCAGCTGTCAAGAGACTAACTGAATCCCTGACTCTTCACAGCACCCAGATTTTAATTTTCATTGACATGTCCTTGACTAAGTGCACCTTGATTGAACATCGCAGGTAGTAGAACTCAGAAGCCTTTGAACCTTGCTTTTCTCGACACCCAAAAAGCAGGAACGTACAAATGATCTCCATTTCCACAGCTTAGTTCAATCTCCATTTGTTCAGTTTCAGCATGCCTAAGTTCCCATATCTTAAAGTTCAATTGGTGTTTCTGATCTGCAAACTTCGCAACTTTCTGTGCGCTTGTGATGCTTGTGTTATCTTGGTCTGAAAATAGCCTCCAGTTTCGATGGATTACCCTCTGGTAAACAAACAGTTTGCTATTGAAAGCCATAGAAATAGTGGATTTAGCCATTAAAACATATTTTTTTGGGCTATGACTGGCGACTCCAGTGGCTCCAGGGGTATCCCCTTGACATCCCTTGACCTCCAGGTGTCCCGTTGCATCCCCGTGTTCAGATTGATCTGCGCCATGCCCACCAAGTCGATGAGGTAAGGGTGGCCTCGCGCATGAAACTCCACCTGGCACGTCCGGCGCCGGGCGCCGAGCGGGATGCGGGATGGATGTTGGGAAGAGGATCATGGATTGGGAATAAACGAAGTGTTGTGGGGAAGATAGATGATATTCCCCATGATAGTTTATGGAATCCTATGATTAAGGCATTATCCTATTATAACTATAATTATGATATATGATATTCCATTTTTGTTTATTCAATTGATAATGGTATATTTTATGGAATATACCAATATACCATAATGTACCAATATACTATTGGATAACTAATGGAATATACCAATCATAATCAGTTACAATAGGATAATACCAATCATAGGATTCCAAACTATAATGGGAATAGGATTGGATACCAATCATCGGATAGTGGAATATACCAATCATAATGGGGGAATAGTATCCTTAGGGACTTGTAAAAATTATAACATGGGATTTCACATTCTATGGGGGGTTCCATAAAATGGGATCTCCAAAATGGATGATTTATAATTTATAATACAAGAAATCCTACCAAAAAAATAATGATATGAGGGTACTCACATTTTAGGAAACCTCCAAATCAAGGATGAGAAAATCATGGAACACTTAGATACATATGCTTCTTTCATGCTTTTGCAAAGGAGATGTCAAGAATTTTGGGGCCGGAAATGCCTGACTTGAATTCAGCTTGGTGGGGATGGGTCATTTCCCTACTTTTCACCATCCTCAAAATATGGTGTTATGATTAAACAGCTGCTCTGGTTGGGTACTGATACCATCAAGGTACATAGCTGGTAAATACCTATATATATGTGTGGCCAGGATGGGGGTGCTGCCCGGGGAAGTGTGTTTTGACTGCGCAGGGCCAGTGTTTTATGCATTATATATACATTATATATACATTATATATACTGTGTATATATATATATATATACATTATATATAATGTATATATATATATATACTGTATATATTACTGTAATATATATTATGGGTATGGATTCATCCCCCCAAACGGCAAAATAGATGTCTGCACCTCCGTTCGACCCTCACGTCGTGCTGCTTCGATGCGCTCCTGCGTTCCAAGGAGGATGACTATACCCATAGGATCCATGTATGGTATATATGCTAACATAAAGGGGGTATATTGATGGTAAATGTTACCATATATAGCATACATGGATCCTATGGGATATATAAATCACTAGTGTTCAGTCACCAAATGGGCTGATGTTTGTCTTTTTCTAACAATGTCAAATACCATTTTGAATTACACTGATGTTAAATCAGTTACATGCATTCAAATATTATATTGGGTTAAATCACCATTGATATAGTGAGTGATCTTGTATCCTGTAAAGCATCTGCAACTCAGCATCGAACCTGAGTCTCATTGTCGATCCGAACCCAGCTTCCCAAATCCACCCACCAGACCTCGAAGCTCGGCGCATCAATTTGTAGTGCAGTGGCCGCCCAAAGGCCCAAAGTCCCCAAGCTTCCATATCTTGATACAGGGGCGTCCCCATACCAGCTTTTATTCCAAGTAGTTTGTTTATTACATTGTTTAATGGAAAACAATGGATATAAATTCGGCACCACTTGACACACATTTCTGGTTTACTCGCAGTGTTCACCATTTCTCGGCACCTGAGGCTCCCAACACGTCGTCCCTTGGCCGGGGTAGGGGCCTCTGTGGTCTTGTCATCGGCTAAAACTCGGGACTCACCTGGTACCGAAGCTGAGCCGAGCTGCCAAGCTGAGCTTGGGGAATTTATGGGACACCATAGGTTTTACCATAGGTTTTGCCAGTCATAAAGTTAAAGGTGTCCTGCAAATCTTCGCTTACAGGGAACATCTTGTGATCTCCATCACCCATTGCCAACCAGCAAGGGTTCCGTCAAATATGCGGCGCCCAGTTCTGATTTCAAGACCCAAATCGACAACACGCTCAATCCCCCCCCAAAAAATAAACATCCGCTATCCGCAAAGGAAAAACATAAGAAACACTGGTCAAGTGACAAACAGGTCCATGTGAGCGGCCACTGCTTGCGATACACGTCCTGAAGAAGCTCAAAACATGAACTTTTAAGGACATGTCTTTTTGCTGAGCCGAAAACATGATCAAAACAATATCAAAACCAATACCAATATATCAAAACCATCGCAACCAGCGGTTTTGAAGCATGTTGAAAGCACGAAAAATTAGAAACTGATATCCTTTTAGAGACAGTTGTCGCTTCGGACGTCGCTCCTGCAGCAGCTGTCATATCCTTCTGCGGCAGGGCGTCCGCAGCTGTTGAGACAGGTCTTCTCAACAGGAACTTCCTTGCGGTCAGCCTCAACCGCTGGAAGCTGATGTCACGACTCTCCGTTTTCCGATGTCTGAAAAACTCAACAAGGATATTGAAGGATGATATAAGGAACCCTGCTGTGTAACCTCTGTGTAGGTAAGGTTCAAAAGATTCTCTCAGAGTGCAACTCAAAACGGGTATGACTGGAACAAACAAACTATTGTTTTGACTTGTCAGCATGCCATAGTACTGCATTAATCTTCTGAATAGCTGCAAATTCTGCCTCAACATTGAACTGAAGAGCTCAAGGTACCAAATCGACCATGACTAATCTCAATGCCTTGATTTTGTTGAGGAAAAGATCTCTGTCTCTCTCTCTCTATATATATATGTATTATACCATATATATATCCATACACAGGAAACCATGGTAAACATTCTCCAATATACCAAAAATCGTGTGTTACCGATATACCTCTTCTTCAGCATGACCAGTACTGCTACTAAGTTCTTGGCTTCCAAGAAATGTGGGTCACCATCACGGAGCGGGCATTCATCCTGCCACATGTCGACAATTGTGCAATCCCCCAATACACTGCACATCCTACAGTTGTCCTCGTTCGTATTGTGTGATGCAGCACGGTGTATGTATATCACATTTTATGTACATATATATATATATCATATATATATATATTATGTACATATATATATATATCATATATATATATATATATTATGTGTATATATATATATATATTATTATATATGTACATATATATAGTGACGGACAATCACTTAGAACGTAATTTTTTTCCATTTTTTTTTCGTACTTAGAACGTAGCAAAATTTCATCACTTAGAACGTAGGGAAAATTCATCACTTAGAACGTCAAAATATCACTTAGGCCCATTTATCACTTAGAACGTAAACCAACACTTAGAACGTGCTAAGTGATTGTCCGTCGCTATATAAACTATTTTTTCGATTTCAAAATCAATTAAATTTCCTTATATAGCGCAATTAAACATATTGCCAAAAATTGGATTTCGAAGCGGACCCTAATAATAAATTTAGACCCTTAATAAAGCGGCTATTTTTTTCGACTTCAAAATCAATTAAATTTCCTTATATAACGCAATTAAAATATTGCCAAAAATTGGATTTCGAAGCGAATCCTAATAATAAATTTAAACCCTTAATAAAAAGACTAGTTTTTTCGATTCAAAATCAATTAAATTTCCTTTTATAACGCAATAAGACTATTGCCAAACACTAGAGTTCGAAGCGGACCCTAATAAATTTAAACCCTTAATAAAACAAAACTATTTTTTTCGATTCAAAACCAATTAAAATTCCTTATATAGCGCAATTGAAATATTGCCACAAATTGGATTTCGATGCGGACCTAAATAATAAATTTAAACCCTTAATAAGAAAAACCGTTTTTTTCGATTTCAAAATCAGGTAAATTTCCTTATAACACAATTAAAATATTGCCAAAAATTGGATTTCGAAGCGGATCCTAATAATAAATTTAAACCCTTAATAAAAAGACTAGTTTTTTCGCTTTCGAAATCAATTGAATTTCCTTTTATAACGCAATTAAAATATTGCAGAAAATTGGAATTCGAAGTGGAATCGAAATTATGTCTAGGTTTCCTATACGGAATTAGCTGCTGAATCCAACACTTAGAACGTCAGAACCCCTAAAAAGCACCAAAAGGTATAGTGTTCCAGAGATAAAAGATCACCAATATTTGCAAATCATATGGGAGGGAAAAGCCAAATGGTACGAAATTATGTCTATGTTTCCTCGGAATTAGCTGCTGAATCCAACACTTAGAACGTCAGAACCCCCAAAAAGCACCAAAAGGATCCAAAAGGTAGAGTGTTCCAGAGATAAAAGATCGCCAATGTCAAATCATATGGGAGGGAAAAGCCAAATGGTACGAAATTATGTCTATGTTTCCTACGGAATTAGCTGCTGAATCCAACACTTAGAACGTCAGAACCCCCAAAAAGCACCAAAAGGATCCAAAAGGTAGAGTGTTCCAGAGATAAAAGATCGCCAATGTTTGCAAATCATATAGGAGGGAAAAGCCAAATGGTACGAAATTATGTCTGTGTTTCCTACGGAATTAGCTGCTGAATCCAACACTTAGAACGTCAGAACCACCAAAAAGCACCAAAAGGTATAGTGTTCCAGAGGTAAAGACCGCCAAGATTTGCAAATCATATGGGAGGGAAAAGCCAAATGGTACGAAATTATGTCTATGTTTCCTACGGAATTAGCTGCTGAATCCAACACTTAGAACGTCAGAACCCCCAAAAAGCACCAAAAGGTATAATGTTCCAGAGATAAAAGATCGCCAATATTTGCAAATCATATGGGAGGGAAAAGCCAAATGGTACGAAATTATGTCTATGTTTCCTACGGAATTAGCTGCTGAATCCAACACTTAGAACGTCAGAACCCCCAAAAAGCACCAAAAGGTATAGTGTTCCAGAGATAAAAGATCGCCAAGATTTGCAAATCATATGGGAGGGAAAAGCCAAATGGTACGAAATTATGTCTATGTTTCCTACGGAATTAGCTGCTGAATCCAACACTTAGAACGTCAGAACCCCCAAAAAGCACCAAAAGGTATAGTGTTCCAGAGATAAAAGATCGCCAATATTTGCACATCATATGGGAGGGAAAAGCCAAATGGTACGAAATTATGTCTATGTTTCTTACGGCTTAAAATGTCAGACCCCCCAAAAAGCACCAAAAGGTATAGTGTTCCAGAAATAAAAGATCGCCAATATTTGCAAATCATATGGGAGGGAAAAGCCAAATGGTACGAAATTATGTCTATGTTTCCTACGGAATTAGCTGCTGAATCCAACACTTAGAACGTCAGAACCCCCAAAAAGCACCAAAAGGTATAGTGTTTCCAGAGATAAAAGATCGCCAATGTGCAAATCATATGGGAGGGAAAAGCCAAATGGTACGAAATTATGTCTATGTTTCCTACGGAATTAGCTGCTGAATCCAACACTTAGAACGTCAGAACCACCAAAAAGCACCAAAAGGTATAGTGTTCAAGAGGTAAAGATCGCCAATTCAATATTTGCAAATCATATGGGAGGGAAAAGCCAAATGGTACGAAATTATGTCTATGTTTCCTACGGAATTAGCTGCTGAATCCAACACTTAGAAAGTCAGAACCCCCAAAAAGCACCAAAAGGATCCAAAAGGTAGAGTGTTCCAGAGATAAAAGATCGCCAATATTTGCAAATCATATGGGAGGGAAAAGCCAAATGGTACGAAATTATGTCTATGTTTCCTACGGAATTAGCTGCTGAATCCAACACTTAGAACGTCAGAACCCCCAAAAAGCACCAAAATGCATAGTGTTCAAGAGATAAAGAACGCCAATATTTGCAAAACATATGGGACAGAAAAGCCAAATGGTACGAAATTATGTCTATGTTTCCTACGGAATTAGCTGCTGAATCCAACACTTAGAACGTCAGAACCCCCAAAAAGCACCAAAAGGATCCAAAAGGTATAGTGTTCCAGAGATAAAAGATCGCCAATTCAATATTTGCAAATCATATGGGAGGGAAAAGCCAAATGGTACGAAATTATGTCTATGTTTCCTACGGAATTAGCTGCTGAATCCAACACTTAGAACGTCAGAACCCCCAAAAAGCACCAAAAGGATCCAAAAGGTATAGTGTTCCAGAGATAAAAGATCGCCAATGTCAAATCATATAGGAGGGAAAAGCTAAATGGTACGAAATTATGTCTATGTTTCCTACGGAATTAGCTGCTGAATCCACCACTTAGAACGTCAGAACCCCAAGAAGCACCAAAAGGTAGAGTGTTCCAAGAGCTAAAGACCGCCAAGATTGGCAAATCATATGGGAGGGAAAAGCCAAATGGTACGAAATTATGTCTATGTTTCCTACGGAATTAGCTGCTGAATCCAACACTTAGAACGTCAGAACCCCCAAAAGCACCAAAAGGTATAGTGTTTCAGAGATAAAAGATCGCCAATGTTTGCAAATCATATAGGAGGGAAAAGCCAAATGGTACGAAATTATGTCTATGTTTCCTACGGAATTAGCTGCTGAATCCAACACTTAGAACGTCAGAACCCCCAAAAAGCACCAAAAGGTATAGTGTTCCAGAGATAAAAGATCGCCAATTCAATATTTGCAAATCATATGGGAGGGAAAAGCCAAATGGTACGAAATTATGTCTATGTTTCCTACGGAATTAGCTGCTGAATCCAACACTTAGAACGTCAGAACCCCCAAAAAGCACCAAAAGGATCCAAAAGGTAGAGTGTTCCAGAGATAAAAGATCGCCAATATTTGCAAATCATATGGGAGGGAAAAGCCAAATGGTACGAAATTATGTCTATGTTTCCTACGGAATTAGCTGCTGAATCCAACACTTAGAACGTCAGAACCCCCAAAAAGCACCAAAAGGATCCAAAAGGTATAGTGTTCCAGAGATAAAAGATCGCCAATATTTGCAAATCATATGGGAGGGAAAAGCCAAATGGTACGAAATTATGTCTATGTTTCCTACGGAATTAGTTCCTGAATCCAACACTTAGAACGACAGAACCCCCAAAAAGCAACAAAAGGATCCAAAAGGTATAGTGTTCCAGAGATAAAAGATCGCCTATGTTTGCAAATCATATAGGAGGGAAAAGCCAAATGGTACGAAATTATGTCTATGTTTCCTACGGCATTAGCTGCTGAATCCAACACTTAGAACATCAGAACTCAGAACCCCCAAAAAGCACCAAAAGGTATAGTGTTCCAGAGATAAAAGATCGCCAATATTTGCACATCATATGGGAGGGAAAAGCCAAATGGTACGAAATTATGTCTATGCTTCCTACGGAATTAGCTGCTGGATCCAACACTTAGAGATAAAAGATTTCACAAGCCTTTCCACTATCATCAGTGACCTAGACACGTTCTAAGTGTTAAATCCCCGGTACGTTCTAAGTGATGAATCTTGATATTTGGATGTTCTAAGTGTATGGTTTTCGACGTTCTAAGTGCAAGGCTTAGAACGTAAAAAAAGCAGTAATATTCAGATTTTTCCAAAATACGTTCTAAGTGATTGTCCGTCACTATATATATATATATATATATCACGGATGCAGACCAAATGGATTATTAATGACATGATGGCAAGACTCAGTTGTTCGTTGTCAAGTTGTGACCAGCATATATGTGACGTGGAGGTTGTATGGTTACTATAGCCGTTGATGATAACATGTGACGACTTGTTTTTTTATCTAAATAATCAATCCGAGGTAGATAAAACATAGATCAAATATGAGATGTTTCAATGATATTCCCATATTTGATCTATGTTTTATCTACCTCAGATTCCATAGTTAAATAGGGAGTCCCATTCCAAGATCAGATATTCCCATTCTGAGTGAGGATTCTTGGAATGGAAATGGGACTCCCTGGCGCCAGGACGGCCAGTTTGGAGGTGCCTCGGCGGGTTGGCTGGGCTCGAAGTTTTGGTGTTCCATATGAGCCGATTTGAAAAAAGAAGAATTCTTATGAATTCTTAAACTTGTGGTGAAACTATGGGATACCATCCAGTAAATTAACATAGACCCTGGCAGATGGGGGTTGGAAGACTAGTTTCCAATAGAAATTGATTGTTTTCAGGGTCTATGTTAATTTACCAGAGGATAGTTTCTGCGGTCATTTTTGAGGGATTTATTTGAAGAACATATTTGAAGTTAAAAATAACCTGGAATAACCAACCATGAGGATCATCGTCGCGACGTCACTGGAATGATGGTGAAGGAAATTTCGGCTGGCGAAAAAAAATGTTTCGTTCAGATAAATATGGTTCTTACAGGTGACACAGTGAGTTAATTATGTCGAAATATCTCAGTTATAGAAGCGGATATTAGATGTTGCATGAACATGCATGAACCATTTCTGAGCCATGTCCTGCTTTCCAGAATCGTTAATACAAGCCTCCAAAGTCCTGATTCCAAATAGCAAAGTGAACCAAAATGAACCATCAGGTCATGCAGTTTCAAAACTGATTTCATTTGGTTGTTGGCCCAATTCATGTGCCATGGCTTTTGCTCACCGTATTCTCGTGTCCCTTATCTTTTTTGGGTCCTTCATATTCCCTCCTTAATACTGATAATATCTGATAATGCTGGATATAAACTCTGTCGGGCATGTTATGACGCGACCTCACAAAGACATTCAACGAGGACGGTTGCCGTGATCAATATCAAGATGGGGATGAAGTGAGAAAACTATAGTTTTGGCGGTTCTGAGTTTCTTTTGCGCGCTACTGGACTACTGGACGCAACACCATACCAATTGGACTAGTCTTTCTCAAAGGATCATTTCAGATCATCTCAGAATATCTTAGATTATCTTAGATTATCTCAGGATATCTGAGAAGAATCAGAGCTGCTGAAATTTACATGGACACCTTGGACATAGATCTCTGAGGTCAACACACTTCGATGAACTCCACACAGGTCTGGCGGTTTCTGTGAGCGACAAGAAATGCAGATGTCACCACGGCAAAAAGGAGACCCTAGGGTAAATTCACAGAACGACCTGGAACATTCATCATTTGTAGATGGTTGAACTTGAGGAAACACTTGTTTGTTGTCCACATGGTTCTTTTTAGTTTACTCTAGATTCTAGGGCACCTAAGAAAAAGTCCTTGAGCCACTGAAAAGGATGTTTGGACATTCCCTAATATGTGTATACATGTTTGAATGATGGTTTGGCTGTCCAAGAATGTTGCGATTTGAATGGAAAACATTATGTACATCCTATGCCATTTTCAGACAGAAGTTCCACCTTTTTGTCTCTTTGGTAATTACATTAATTAAATTTACTATTTTGCAGCAATATGTTTTCATATGGGCCAGACTTTGGTGAGATAAGCAACAGAAAAGCTTTGCACCTGTGAAACCAAACCAGATTGCTGACGTCTATTTGTTTCCCATGGTGATGGGTACGACCCACAATAGTCATGCTTGATGCGGCATGAGTCTTACTTTGCTATAAAGCTGACACCCACAATTCAACACAACATATAGCTTTTCCTTTTCAGACCAGGTCGGTATTGAAGTTCCGTTTACCGACCTAGCTATAGTTTCAGGGGCCCACCTTATGTAGTATTCCCCCCTTCAACGAAACCGCAAATTGGGACCAATAATGTCCTTTTTGGTAAAAATAGAGGGGCCGGGAGCTGGTTAATCCCATCTATCATCAAACAAACCTGCTGTTAAAGGGGTTTCTGCAACCCCCTCTATTAATCACCCAACCAATGGGAATTTGGGACATCTACAATGTGAGGCCCCCCAGTTATAAGTTGGTTTATAAGCCCCAGTAACTATAGTTATAAGTACCATAAACCATAGTTATTGGAGTTATGAACCAACTTAGCTATCGTTTGGGGGCCTCACATTGTATGATTGGGACAACTCGACGATTCGACACAACTTTGCGGCTCAAGCCTTTGCGGTCGCTGCTGTGGGATTGACAAACCTGCCACGAAGCGAAGAGCAGACGGATGGTGCTGACATTTTTGCTCTTCACGACTCGTGGCAAGATAAGATAGTGAGCTGGAAATTTAGGGTGGCAAGTGGTAAGCAGTTGTGTAATTTGATTTGTGTGGAGAATGCGCATAATATTAGCTTTGTACCATTCCAATGTTAGATGAGGGGTGCAACATCCTTGTCGTGACTAAGGGAGGTACCAAATGACTCTGAAAGGATCTGATGTGGGACCAACTTACTTCAAACTCCCACAAGTTTCTAAATCATCAAACTAAGGTAATGGAGAATTTCCATTTCGAATAATTACTATACGAATCTTTATATCTATCTATCTAACTATCTATCTATCAATCTATCTATCTATCAATCTATCTATCTATCTATCTATCTAATCTTATCTATCTATCTATCTATCTATCTATCTATCTATATCCTTTCATCGCATGTCGACCCCAGATGGAAGGGATATTATGTATGTATGTATGTATGTATGTATATATATATATATATATATGGGTAAATTATAACGACCTCACTGTTCTCCCGAACCCTGGAATCATGGTTTTTATAGGGAAAATCATCCCCAATGGCCGAACTATTCAGGTTAGTGAAATATTATAGTTTACCTAGATATACATATATATATATATATGTATATATACCCTCTGGTTATTTAACATAGCCATGGAAAATCACCATTTTTAGTAGCTAAACCAACCATATATATATATATATTACTGGTTGGTGGTTTGGAACTAGCCGTGACAGCCCAAGCCCTTACCAGTAGTGCGGCCGTTTCTTAACTGATCGCTGGGCGGTTCTGGTTCCCCCATTTCTTGCCATGTCTTCGAGCTACCCCATGGCCATCGGTACGACTGCTTCTGGTTCCCAGATTGACATCGTTTGTTCCATCAAGGTTTTCGACATTGAGCATTCAGCACACCTCATGATAGGAAGGGACGGGACTTCTTTTCTGCTTGAAGGTTTACTGAGTGATGAGTTTCACTCCTTCACTGTTTGGGGTGGCGTTTTGAAACAGCAATATCCCATTCCTGTGATTGTTTCTACACGTGACACTATTATCATGGGCCACCGACGACCTTCATGGGACTCATTGTTGTCCGTGGTGGACCTTTGCTCAGGGTTCGGAGGTTTGGCACAAGGTGCAGTGGCATCTGGTTTCACAGTGCAAGTTGCCGTGGACCAGAACCAACGGATGTTGGATCTCTACTCCAAGGTTGGAGAGGCCCATTTGATCTGTGGGGACGTGGGAGACAGAAATGTTGTGAGTGAGATTTGGCGCCATTCCAGTGGTGCTGCAACCGTTACCTCGGGATTCAGTTGCCAGCCCTTTTCCACTTTGGGCGATTGCAAAAGCCATGAGGACGACAGGTCTAGTAGTCTCACCAAAACCCTCAAAACGGCGTACTACTTGCAATCTCAGTTGATCATTTTGGAATGTGTTGCCCCAGCTTCACAAGATGGTTTCGTTCGCAATGAGTTATCCCATTTCATGAAATGCACTGGTTTCCATTGCACACAAACTGAACTCAAGCTTGACCATGTATGGCCCTGCCGTAGACATAGGTCGTGGTGGATCCTGTCATCCCCAGACATTGGACCGGTAGAGCTGAAAGCCTGGCCAGTTCTGCAGAATATCCAGGAAGTGCAACAGGTTATTCCAGACATTAGATTGTGGGCTTCCAATGATGAACATCAACTTGCCCTTGATGAAATCGAACTTGAGGCTTTTGGGGTTAATGATGAAAAGCATTTCAAATATTTGCTCAACGGGAAGGGAAAAGCCCCATGTGCTCTTCATGCTTGGGGATCTCAGACCAGAGCTTGCCCATGCGGTTGCAGGAAGTCGGGTTTTTCACATGCTCGTTTGGCCAGCAAGGGACTCCATGGATGTCTCACTCGCAGTGCTCAATTTCCAGATGGATCGTCCGTCATTCGACACCTGCACCCAAATGAAGTGATGTGTTTAAACACGTTTGATCCTGTGATTGATTTTGGAACCGACGTTCGTCTCACCCTTTCGGCAGTCGGCCAGATTGCTTGTCCGTTGCAGGCATTATGGGTCTTCGGTGCCATATTGGAAAGACTTGATGTCATGAGAAATTTTCCTTCATTTGACTCAAACACCCAAATCCAGGCTTACAGGTCATGGCTCCTCATGAGATGCAGACAGGTGTGGCCAACGGATGCATGTTTGATTCAAGATCAGAAACTTTGCGACATGATGATGTTTTGGAAGGAACTTCAACACCTTTCGCTCCTTGAACTGGTCTTTCCACTTAGATGGGAGGGGAAAATTGATGGCACTGTCAGTATTGCTTCCATTCTGGACTATTTGATCCGAACCCATATGGGAGTCAAACCCACGGTGGTTGAAATTGATGGCAAGTCTGAAGAAGAGGAAATTCCAGTCTTTGACTTTCCTGCCATTGTTGATGACCCCAACACAGTTGGTTGCATGTGCGCCGACTCATGCACGGTGGTATTCAAGGGCAGTGCTGACCCGCCAATCCGGTTTCAACTCAAGTGTGGCTCAACAGTTGAGCAGTTCTTGCAAGCCCAATTTGGTCTCACTGAGCATGTGGATATTGATTACATTTCCCTGAATGGTAAGTGTATCAACCGTGATCATGTGCTTGAGGTGGGTCAATTGATCGTCATTCATGTGAGTGAGAATGTTCCCCCAAGAGCCACCCATGAGATTGCTTTCTCTCCAACTGCGATTTGGTCTCAGCCGGCAATTGAAACACCCATTGCTTCTGTACCGCAGAAAGTTTCAAAATTTGATGTGGGTGAGTGTGTCACACCAACCATGGTTCTGCCTGATGATCAAACTTGGCTCGACGCGTCTGCCTTGCAAGGCCTTACGGGTGACCAATTCCTGAAACTGCAGGTTCCATGCGTGTTGAACGCACAACAGCTTTGGTCGCTGCGTCACCAATTCCTGCGCACATCCGACAGAATTGCCATCCTTGAGAGCCAGATGCAATTTTGGGCCGACGATGAAATCAGGTTTCACTTGAATGCCACAGTACAAGCATGCCAGGATGCCCGTGTCAAGGCTGGAGGTACCTTCCCTGAGATTTGTATGATTGACCCCCTGGTTTTCTCTGCGTGGGTTCAGAACAAGGGATTTGATGTTGCTTTGTGGGCAAGAGATCATCCTGAAATCTCTACCAAAGGGGTGCCTATTGTAACGGTTGTCCTCCTGGATGGTCATTGGGTACCACTGTTCATGTCCCCGGTGAAAGGAGTCCTCAACGTCCATACCTGGGACGGAATGAATGCCTCACATGATGGTCTTGAGGGGGTTATCACTGCCCTTTCCGATGCTTTGGGTTTCCAAGAAGCAATGATCTTACGTGAGCACCGATTGTTCTTCACTACTGAGCTCTGTGGGGCTTTGGCCATTGCTTTCATTCGGCACGTGCTGATTGGGACGCAACTTCCGAGTGACTGCACCGATGCAACAGTCATCCATGCGCGATTGAAAGAGGCATATACCAAAGAACTTGTAAGATGCCAAATTGCCCGTCGCCCATGGATCTGGGGTGCGGGCGACAAAACCGCAGGAACCCGAGTCGCAGCTAATGATCTGCAACTGGCGGTGAATATCACACGTGATCAAAGAATTGATTTGATTAATGAAAAGGGTTTCGCCATGGGTGATGATGAAGTCAGGTTTCACCTTTTGAACCTTGTGGATAACCAGCCAAATGCTTCTCTGCCTATTCATGAAAGGAAATTTGTTTCCATGGAACCCCTGGTCTTCAGTTGCTGGGATTCTATCGGGCATATCATTGCGAGCCAGTGGTGCTTGAAGAACCCACAGATCTTTGCACATGGACAGAATGTGGTCACTGCTGTTGCGGTTGATGATCATTGGTTACCCTTGTGGATGGTCCCTGACGGGCAAACCCTCCAGGTTCACACATTCCAATCAGACGTTGACTTCACTCCGGTTGAAGCCATCATTTCCACATTGGCCGAAAAGCTGGGCTTTAGTGCTCATGTCATCCACAGGATCCCACAAGGACTGCCGGAGCATATGATGTGTGGGGCCCAGGCCTTGACCTTCATTGCACATGTGATCGTCCACATGCCCCTGCCTGAAGATTTGCAAGAACTGAGGACTGTTCATACCAACATGAGGGCCTCATTTGTTGCACACCTGTACTCCATTGAATATACACCCAGACCTGTCGTGTGGGGTAATGGTACGCCACGGGAATCCGGGCAACTCCCTATAATGCCCGAGGAAGACCAAGCTGCTCTTGACCAACGACGACAAGATAGGAGTGCGATGTTAGTCTCACACAGCTATGCTATGGGCAATGATGAGATTGAATTCCATCTCCGACATATTCTTGAATGCCATTCTCAGGGTCCTCGTGTGGTCGGACCAGTACGCAAGTTTGCCATGATTCCACCACTTGCACTTGAAGCATGGAAAGATGGCGATCAGACACTCATGCAAGATTGGTTCAATATCCATTGGATTCACAATCCCAGAGATACTCAGGTCATTGCAATTATGTTGGTGGATCAGCATTGGGTCCCATTTTGGATTTCACCTCAAGGAGATTCTGCGCACTGCCATACTTTGGGGGATTTTGCAAATGATGACCAAGTTGTCACTCAAATGTTGGGGGACCTTGCCCACTTCCTTGGTTTCACTGATGTTATGATCCACCGAGTGCCACATGGTCTGGATGTTTCACGGTTGTGTGGAGCGATGTCCATCAGCTTCCTAGCACACATCGCACTGGGAACGCGCCTGCCAGTTGATGTCCACCAGTTGCGCACCAGATGTTGGAACATGAAGGAAATCTTTGCTGAAGCTATCCAACACTCCGATGTTGTGTTGCCCACCAAGTGGGGATGGGGCGCCCCAGGGGAATCCAGGCTACTCCCTATAATGCCTGATGATGAGGATACATTGGTGTCTGTACCCATTGGGCTGGGGGACAAGTGCACGTACAGGTTTGGTAGCATGCGAGGTATGAGCCATCATGAAATGAAATTTCACCTTCAGAGGCTGGCTACTATGTTGCCTTGTACATTTGCCCTGGGCATTGCCCTTGACAGTTTGTATCATGTACATGCACTACTTTGCTCATTTTGGACATCGGAACGCCATTTTGGGGGATTTGCCGTCCTCTTTGATTTTCACTGGATTCCGATTGTATGTTGCAAAATTGGCCAGACGCTCTGGGTATGGATTGAAGAAAGTCCTGTTGCCAAGTTCCTTTGTGATTCCTTTTTAAATTGGAATTTCTTCCTCATGCCAGCCAGTGACACAATCTGTTGCGGAGCTTACACTTGGACTGTCCTTGCGTGGGCAGGCGGGCTTCACGCATGTGTCGATTCATGCATCCGTGCATGGCTGCACCTTCACTATGTTGGGGAAGGGTCTCCCAAAGCTGATGCCCTTACCGAGCGCTGGGGTTTTGGTCCTCAAGGACAGTTGACTAAGTCACTTGTGCAAGAGCTTCTGAAACATGGTATTCCTGAAAATGTGGTTGAAGACCGGGCTTTGGCAGCCATTCGTTCCCTTGGTAGTGAACAAGTCGCTACTGCCCTTGCACACAGACAGCCATGGAAACAATTGAAAATCTTGGGTACCAATTCCAAATTTCAGTTTGTTTTGCCCAGTGAGCTTGCTGTTGCTGTTGAGTCCAATAAAGGCAAAGCCGTTGGCTCGAAAGGGAAGGGAAAGGGCAATCATTCCCTCTGCCCAGTGAACTTGACCCAGCAAAACTTCAGGTCATTGAAGGCACGTTTCACTGTGCAGGTAAACCCATTCCCCAATTGAACATGAAACAAATTGGACCTGTGAGCAGCGGTTTCATCCTTACTTCACTTCATGATGCTGAGCCCTACCTCAGAGCCGGAACCATTGTGTCTCGTGAACCACTTGCACTTTTGATCCTGCAGAAGGCAGGTACTGATGTCCAGACTGTGCTTCCGCACACGCCAGTCACTGTCCCATGCCGATGCACGGTCAACAGCGAACCCGTTTTAGCTGATGTCCTCGTTGTACAGCTTGGAACTGGTATTGTTGAGAAGGCCAGTGGTAATGCCATGGTTACGGTTGAGACCCCTGAAGTTGCCACCCTCAAAATCATGGTTTACAAGGATGAACTGCAAGGTGATTGGGACGACTTCTGTGCAGCTCCCATTCGATGTTTAGTCTCACTCTTGCCGAAACTTAAGAGATGTTTCACCACAAACTGCCAGTGTCAGGCATGGCACAATACCGAAAACCTCCCACTGCGAGATCCAATCCTTGATGTGTGGCGCCGCCAATTTCTCCGGACTGGGTTCAAGCCGTGCCCGGCATCCAAAGCTGAAATCTTCTCGGTGTGCCTTAGGATTCCTATGTGCATTTTGGAAGCCCTGCTTGCAGCCAGTGGCACTTCAGGAGCCTATTGTGAACCAAGGACTGCTGACGGCAAAGAGATCTTGGGAGATTACACGGTGGTGTGGACCCAGAAGCATACACCACAGGAGATGCAACATCTCATGCAAACCAATCCAGCAGTGACAGGATTGGCACGCTTAGGTGAACGCCGGGGGTTGAGAGTGCATGTGAACCAGGCAAAAGCACTTCACCAGCAGGTCCGACCAGACACAGTGTTCCTTCCGAATGGTCCTAAGAACTTGTATACTGTTGGCCCGTTTCCCTATGGAGCGGATAGACAGGCGGTAGCCAAAACCCTGCAGCAAGCTGGCTGGGAAAGCCGGCCACTCCAGCCAACGGCCCCTTGCCCGGGCCGTGGTACCATGTGGTCAGTGCAAGCAACGGATGATCCAGAGCATCCAATTGTGGTCACCACTTGTGGTGAAATTGTCATCACACGTCAAAAGCCGGAACAGCAATTGCCAGCCAGAAGTCCCACTACAGTTGGTTCCGCGGCCACTTTGGCCCTGTGCGGTGCTGACAAAGCCTCCAAGCCGGACCAGGATCCATGGGCCACCAATGATCCCTGGAAGCAGTATCACCCTGCAGGTAATGCCATTGCCACTGGACCAAATGAAGGTCTACAACAGATTGAGGAACGTATCCAATCGGCTGTTCTCTCCAAGTTGCAACCTCCGATGGAAGATGACTTGCCAGATCGAGTCCACGCACTGGAGGGCCAAGTGCACCAATTACTTGCAAAACAGCAAGGGCTTGAATCACAGTTTCACGATTTCAGTGGGCAACACTCCCAGCAGATCAATGCCTTACAGAACCAAGTCACGGCACAAGCACAGCAGTTGCACGGACACCTTGAAAGCCAGAACCAGAACATGCAATCATTGTTCGAGCAACAGATGCAGCAGATAAGAGGCCTGTTGGCCAAACGTCCACGTGATGACAGCCTGGAATGACTGCATGGCCAGGGATTTGGGTTTAAGCTTTGCTGCGGTGTTTCACTTTTGTTGGCGTGGCTTGTTTTCCGAATCCTGGGCCTCATGTCTGCTTGTTTCACAATTTTGAGGGGTTTGACTGTGTGTCAAGGTACGTCGCTCCGACGAACTCCACGTTTATGGCCGTATGTTTTTGCCTTTGCCTTGATGTGTAGAATTGGTGAAGCCGCTAACCCAGGGCCTGTCAATCCAGATTTTGTGCTTGGGGCATGCAACCCATCCGGGTTGAAGGGGAAAGCTCCTTATGTTGTTTCACAGCTCGCTCATGGGGATTTGTGGGCATTTTCCGAAACTCATTTGTGCAGCCAGGCTATACATGCCTTTCGTTCCAGTTTGCATTTTGCAAGAAGCCCCTTTCCTTATTGCATTGGTGGACACCCCGTCCCTGCGCAAAACAACCGTGTCTTCCATGCCGCTTGGAGAGGTGTTGCTGTTTTATCCAAATTTCCGACACGTGAAGTTCCACACATGATGCCGACATCCATTCATGCTTCATCCCGTACACTCATCACCACTACCCTGGTAGGAGATGTGTGGCTTACTGGAGGCACTGTTTATGGTGAACCAGAGAGTAGCACTTACCCGCACTATAAGGTTCATAACGAAGAGCTTTTACACCATGTTGCAGGACATGTTTGCCACTTGGCCAGTGGTCCGCGTTTTCTTGCAGGTGATTGGAATTGTGAGATGGGAGCACTGCCAGTTTTTGACGTGTTGGAAGCAGCAGGTTTTAAAGATTTGCAGGATCTTGCTCACGATATGTGGGGCCAGCCGGTAGCCCACACGTGCAAACACAGCACGAGGAAAGATTTCTGTTTCGTGTCCAAAGAATTGCAAGTTTTATTGAAAGCTGTTCATGTTTCACACGACATTTTCCCAGACCATGCTGTGCTTTCTGGTACCTTCGCAGGTTTCAAGCAATTGGTGCCTAGGACTATTTGGACCACACCGAATGATATGCCATGGCCGGCACATTGGGAAGTAGATCCAACTTTCTGGAAACAGTGTGACTTTGACCCTGACACGAAATACCAATTGCTTTGGCAACATATTGAAGATACTGCATGTAAGAGCCTCCCTTTTGAGGTTCCTGACAAATCCAAAGGTAGGGCTGCCACAAGACTTGTTCAGAGAAAACTTGCCGGCAAAGTGCCCCCGCCTAAGAAGGCGAGGCCTGGGGATGTTCAGCCTCACTATGTGTGTGCCTCTTTTCGCCATTCGCAATGGCTTAGACAGACGCGCCGGTTGCAGGCATACATGCGGCATGTCCAAGCACAGAGCGAGCATACTGAACATGCTAGGCAAATTTGGGGTTCCATTTTGAGAGCCACTGGGTTCTCTCCTTCCTTTGTTGAATGGTGGCCCCATAACTCTCATGTTGTCCATGGCACCGTTTCAACTATTCCGCTGGTCCCACCGGAGTTTGCAGTTGTGCTGAATATTTATGAGTCAATGGTGATGGCCTTTCGAGCTTTTGAAAAGGAACTGCACCAAGCTTCTCGTGCGTATGCTAGGCAGCGGCGGGATATGGACCCCAATGTGATTTTCCACGATTTGAAAACCTTTCAAAATCGAGGCATCAATGTCCTGCTCAAACCGCAGCAGGCACAAGTTGAGCAGGTACACCCTCAAACATTGGAAATCGTTTTGGATAAGCCAGTTGCCTTTGACCTCAGCAAACCTGTTTTCTGCTCTGGGGCGCAGCTTGACATCATACATGCTGAGGCAGATGCGCTGTGGGTCAGCCAGGTAGATTCAATTGAAGTTGGTTCCACTGTTTCACAACTGCAATGCAAAGGAACTGACGAAGAGCTTTTCAAGATGTTCCTTGAAACATGGAAGGTGATGTGGGATCGTCATCGTGAGGTTTCACCAGGACGTTGGGATGTCATTTTGCAATTTGCTCGTGACAAGCTCAGGCGTCAATCTTTGTCTTGGCCAGCCATTGATGTCAATGCACTTGCGTACTGCATCCAGCACAAACGCAAGACCACGTCTGGGGGGCTAGATGGCGTGTCCCTGCACGACCTGCAAGCGTTACCGGTTGCTGCCCTCCAAAACTTCATCTACATGTTTGAACAAGCTGAAGACGAAGGCCTGTGGCCAGCCCAGGTTATCGCCGGCCGTGTCTCCTGCTTAGCCAAAACTGCTGAACCCCAGCATGCTTTAGATTTTCGACCCATAACCATCTTTAGCATCCTCTACCGTTGCTGGGGCACCTTTCATGCGAGGCATGCGATCCGTGCCATTGACCAGTGCCTGCCATTAGGCCTATACGGTAGTAGACCCCAAAGATACGCAGGTCAGATTTGGTCACAGATGCTTTGGTCCATAGAGATGGCGTATGAGCTCTCCACGCCATTGTGCGGGATCATTGCGGACATACAAAAAGCGTTTAACTTTTTGCCTCGTGCAGTGGTCATTGAAAGTTGTGCCCTGTTGGGAATCCCCTTTTCACTGCTGAGAGGTTGGTCAGGTGCTCTTTCCCTGATGTCACGCCGGTTCCAGGTGAATGGAAGCATTAGCCCCCCAGCCTACAGCAACTGTGGGCTCCCTGAGGGTTGTGCTCTTTCATGCTTGGGAATGATGGTTATTGACATCCTGTTCCATGAGTGGATGGTACACTTCTTTCCTCTCTGCCAACCCATGTCATATGTGGACGACTGGCAGGTCATTGTTGCAGATCCGCACAGTTTGCCTGGGGTGTTTCACTGCCTGGAACGTTTCACTGAGGCTCTTGACTTGCTTCTTGACCAGCGTAAGACGCATGTCTGGTCTGTCTCAGCTGATGGTAGGAGTTTTCTTCGCACACAAGGGTTTGGCACAGTGGCATTTAGCAAAAGTTTGGGTGCCCACGTACAATATACACGCCAGCACACCAATAAATGCCTCATGGACCGCATACACAAAGCAGGGCCGTTGTGGTCTAAGTTGAGACTTTCTGCTTGCCCTTATAGGCAAAAGGTCCGTGCCATCAAAAGCGCCGCTTGGCCCAGATGTTTGCATGCAGTAGCAGCCACCACCGTTAGCACTGCAACGTATACTTCTTTACGGGCAGGCGCGTTGAAAGGGCTCAAGTCAGATGCGGCGGGGGCCAATGCTACGGTTCACCTTGGCCTAATCGAGGACCCCACCAATGACCCGCAGGTGTGGGCAATCATTCAGACTTTTCGTTTGGCACGTGATTGTGGGGATCAACATAGGGTGGAAGAGGTTTTAGCAAGTTTGGCTTTGGGCCGCACTGACCTACCAGCCAACAGTATCACGCATACGTTGCTCACCAGAATCCAGAGCCTGGGGTGGCACGTGAATGAAAGCGGTCATATTGTTGACATGGTGGGAAGCTTTTCACTCTTTTTGATTTCCACTGCAGAACTGCAGTATCGTGTTGAAATCCACTGGCCTTTGGTTGTCCATGCTCTAACAGAGCACCGCCCGTGTTTCCAGGGCTTAGATCGTGTCGACCCAAGAGACACGAGAAGCTGGCTTAAGTCCTTGCCTGTCTCAGACCAAGCTTTGTTTCGGAAACTCCTCAATGGTACTCACATAACCCAAGATGGTAAACAATATTGCCAGGAAAGCAATGATGATGGGTGTAGATACTGTGGGAGCAGCGACAATCGTTTTCACCGTTTCTGGCTCTGTGAACATTTTGAATTTGCGCGATCCGATATTCCGCCTCATGTGCATGATATGTTGCCTGATCTTCCAGAAGCAACTACGTGTTCAGGGTGGTCCCTTGCGCCTACCACCCAACATGAGTGGAACAGCTATTTTGCCCAGCTTGTGCCTACACCCATCCCTAAGTTTGATTTGCCATGTAAGTTGAACTTTTTCACGGACGGTAGTTGTCATCTGCAGCACTACCCCAACAGGCGTTTTGCGGGTTGGGCGATCGTGTTTGGAGACACAGATGCAGTGCATGATTATTCTGGCAGTACGATCGTTGACTCAGGAGTCTTGCCAGGTCTGTTGCAGAGCTCTGTCAGGGCGGAGATCTATGCTGTTCTTAGAGTCATGCAAATTACACGATTTTCACCCCAACCCGTCATGATTTGGAGCGATAGTGAGCTTGTTGTGAAACGGTTTCGCAAGTTGCTTCTGGGGGGTGTCCAACAAAACTCAGCTCATTCTGACCTTTGGAATGAAATGTTTGAATGTTTGCAGGATAGGGTGGCAGCCACTGCCATTACTCATGTTTCGGCTCACAGGCATGAGGGTTCTGCTACGAATTTCCTGCAGGAATGGTGTTTTAGGCACAACGCGCTGGCAGATAAGCAAGCTGTCAGAGCGAATTTCCATAGGCCACAACATTTCTGGGAGCTTTTTGATCGACATGTTTGTGCCTGCATCAACATTACTGAGATCAATCGCATCATCCAGAGAGTTTTGCTTACCATTAGCAGGGAGGTTGTACGCCAGGAAAGTCCTATGCAGGATGACCAGATGCCACAAGATGCCACATTGCCTCCGCCTCAGGTTTGGAGACCGATTCCGACGTTTCACCCACCTGACAAGGCGATTCGATGGTACGGTGACCCGTTGGTAAGAACCATAGCCAGCTGGTTTTGGCAAGTGGTGCATGGTAGCAGAGAAGATTTGATTTGGGTTTCACATTTTCAGCTCTATGTGGACTTCATGTTGACGACGGGTGAGCCCGGGCCGGTGCACCAGTCCAAGTGGAGAAACGGCAAGGACATCCAGGGCATCCGCCTCCTGGGGTTTTCCTTTCGCCAGAGAGCACGTTGGTTCACAAAATGTTGGAAAGAAATTTTGAGACATGCTGGAATTCAGGTTGAATTTGCATACGGCAAACCGTTTTCACAAGTGGTGCAAATGTATACAGGCTGTGCAGCCCTACCGTGGCCTTTGGAGAGACTTTCAATTGCTGATGAGTGGATGCTCAGCAAGTGTCACACCACATTTCGAAGACAGGCCCGAATCATAGATTCTTTGCCCTTTGCCGATGCCGATGACCGATTCCAGCCTTTTCTTGTTACAACTACGGTTGCTTGAGCGCCCAAGACGGGCAGCAGTCGAGACTACTGCTGGCCGCAAAAGAAAATGGGAAAATGGTGGTTTGGAACTTTTTTTTTGCATATATTGGGAATAATCATATCCCAACTGACGAAGTCATATTTTTCAGAGGGGTGGGTCAACCACCAACCAGTATTTTTTATATGCGCATGGAGTTTCATGCATTTTCGATGGTCAGCTTGGATTCACAAAAAAAAAAAGGTCTTCCCGTGCACGTCGGATGTGTGAAAAAACTCTCCAGGTCCAACGGGTCCAGGTGGGCGTGGCGCCACGGCGCTTGGCGTCGTGGTGATTTTTCACGGTTTGCGAACTGGAAAATGACTATGTTAACATATTTTTTAGTCGATAAATCATGATAAATCATCATGTTTAAGATTTATCATTGGGACATGGCTTCCATAGCTAATCCCTTCCTCCTAATACTAAACCCCCCCCCCTAATACAAAACACGGCAGGTAGTTTTTAGTATTAGGGTGGTATTTATTATTAGGGAACCAAATCGAAGTCATGTTAATTAATTAATTAAATTTCCTTATATAACGCAATTAAAATATTGCCAAAAATGGCAGTTCGAAGCTTACCCCTAATACTAAATTAAAACCCTTAATACTAAAAACTATTTTTTCCGATCTCAAAATCAATTAAATTTCCTTATATAACGCAATTAAAATATTGCCAAAAATGGCAGTTCGAAGCTTACCCCTAATACTAAATTAAAACCCTTAATACTAAAAACTATTTTTTCCGATCTCAAAATCAATTAAATTTCCTTATATAACGCAATTAAAATATTGCCAAAAATGGCAGTTCGAAGCTTACCCCTAATACTAAATTAAAACCCTTAATACTAAAAACTATTTTTTCCGATCTCAAAATCAATTAAATTTCCTTATATAACGCAATTAAAATATTGCCAAAAATGGCAGTTCGAAGCTTACCCCTAATACTAAATTAAAACCCTTAATACTAAAAACTATTTTTTCCGATCTCAAGATCAATTAAATTTCTTTATATAACGCAATTAAAATATTGCCAAAAATGGCAGTTCGAAGCTTACCCCTAATACTAAATTAAAACCCTTAATACTAAAAACTATTTTTTCCGATCTCAAAATCAATTAAATTTCCTTATATAACGCAATTAAAATATTGCCAAAAATGGCAGTTCGAAGCTTACCCCTAATACTAAATTAAAACCCTTAATACTAAAAACTATTTTTTCCGATCTCAAAATCAATTAAATTTCCTTATATAACGCAATTAAAATATTGCCAAAAATGGCAGTTCGAAGCTTACCCCTAATACTAAATTAAAACCCTTAATACTAAAAACTAGCCCCCCTAATACTAAACACCCCGGGATGAATTAGTTTTTAGTATTAGGGGGGAGAACCCACAAATGGTAGGTTGATTTTTGAATTGTTTTTTAAAGGGGATCAATTAAAAGTCAAATTGGCCAAACTGAAATTTTCGGAAATTGGAGATGGATGCCTGTTTTTAGTATTAGGGGGACGTTTAGTATTAGGAGGAAGGGATTATGTTAAACTTCCTAAATGATTAATTATACCCTTACCTTCCAGTTACCTCTGAGATAGGTAACTGGAAGGTGATTTTACCTCATGACAGCTTGGGGTTGGCTACCTGTCTGATAGGTAACTGGAAGGTGAGGGGATGTCGGGTTGCAATATGAACTACTCCGTTGCAACATGAAACATAAACCATGGGTTTTGCAGTTTTTTTTGTTCATGAATTATCTCGCGCTTGTATCTACCATGTTGCCATGTTGTAGAGCTACAAGCTAATCTCCCCTCCCCGTTATACGGTGTATGAACCCATCACCATAGAATACTTTTTGGAATCCATAGATATATCTACCATAAACATCCGTAAACCAAACTGAAAGCCTAGAACCAAAAGCAACTTTGCTCACAGAAGGGGCCTCACCTTCACTTTTGAAAGCAACTTGGAAAACAAAGATCGAACTGACTCGGTACCTTCTGGTAAACTATTACATAACTATGGAAAATCACCATGTTATAGCTGGGTAAATCCACTATTTCTATGGCCATTTTCAATAGTTTTTTGTATGTTTACCGGGCCGGGTACTCTTTGGAGTTCAGGATCGTCAATGGTCTCCCGGCCGACCAGCTTGATAAGCCGCACAAGTGGGTGCCAGCTGAGCAGTGTGCCTTTGTGAATCCGCCCGTGGCGCCTCGGTTCGCCATGGTTTGTCGATGGCCCACAGAAATAGATGGATTACCTATGAAAAGATGGTGATTTTTTCCATGGCGAACTGTTAAATAACCAGAGGGTAATTTGTTACATGCCCTCTGGTAATTATGGTGATTCATAGGGATTTAGCCAACAGACATCGGGATATGTATGGGACATACCATGGAAATAGCCTCTGGTAAACATACAACAAACTATTGAAAATGGCCATGGAAATAGTGGATTTAGCCAGCTATTATGAAATGGTGATTTGGCCCATAGTTTTTTGTATGTTTACCAGAGGGTAACTATAAGGACAGAGAAAATGATGGTTAGTAAGGGGAGTCATGCCCAAGCCACATTTCAGTTGGTGGTGAATTATCATGAATTATTCAGATGAATGGGACTAGCTACAAACATACTGCAAACATGGCTGAACAATGAGAAAGAATGTTGGAAAGACATGGAGAATAGATGACCCTTTTTCCAGTTTTTTTTGATGAATACATGGGTGACCCCCATTGAACAACCAATAGGTATCGCTGTGTGAATATGTGAATTGAACAACATGGATCAACATGAGGTATCCCTCTAAAATCCAATGCCCGACCTCATTTTGAATCAACATGGCCAGTGATGTTTTTTTTTCGAGATGTGGCCCATTTGCAAACTAGTCCATGTGTCAACCCATGAGCTCGACGAAGTGTCAAGGTGCCGTATTACTGGGATCCCTCTTGCAACAGCAACAGAGTCTCTTTGGGCTGTTGGGCGGACGCTCGGAGTTTGGGGGTGCTGGGGCAAGGGATGGCAAGGGGGAGGGATCCCTGGATGGTTAGCAAGGTGACTAGTGTCAATACTTTCCTCATAGTTGAAACTACACTGGTTGGTGGTTTGGAACATGTTTTTTTCCATATATTGGGAATAATCATCCCAACTGACGAAGTCATATTTTTCAGAGGGGTGGGTCAACCACCAACCAGTGCAAGTCACCTTAGCTACAGGTCATGTTATTTGTGATTTGGCAACTGACGACACACGTATCAAGCCTGAGGATGGAGTTCACAACGAGTGCCGTTTCTGTGGGGAAGAGCCTTACACGGGAATTCACTGCCCTTCCGATGCCATCGTGCCATCCCACAAGAAGTGTGAGTTCGACAATCCACCGATCAATACCTACTATTGGGAGCCCGAATGCACCAATGGTGCCTTTGGCTGCAAGGAGAGCTTTTTTTTGGGCTGATGGCGTCGGTTTTGGGGTTGGAGTGCAAAGATTGCACGGACTCATGCGAGACTCTATGTATTGTTTTGTTTGATTTATGTATATATGATATAATATGTATATGATTATATGTATATATATATAAGTTATATATGGTTGATCTTTCCATTTCATGCCCTACATGGGTCTGTTCGGTGCCCAAACATCCCAACTTTGCTGATTGCTCACTCCAAAAGCTCATTGAAGACCTTCTCTATCGACCCATCACGGAGGGAGGCTGTGCATGTACTGCTTTCATTCGTGCATTTATTTTACATGCCATATGGATCCAGCCGTAGCTTCTTAGGAAGTGTTTGGGCTATGATTTCAGGGGTCAGCCATACCTTCTCAGACAGTGGCCATGGATCCATAGGGATGTATACCCAGGTCAACAGACATATATGCTAATAAAGGGCTTGTATTTCCTTGGATGTCTTCAAAATTTAACCTTACATATAGAACTTTTGTGTTTGCACTTCTCAACATGTGTGTTTGCATGTTACACTTAGTTACAGTTGCTCGACATGTGTGCTTACATTTATGCATGCTCGATGTATGTGCTTATATTGGACAGTAACTTATCATAACATATCATAATATAATTTATGCCACAACAAATGCAAACAAATGCAACACTAAAAATTCATCAATAAATGCAAATATACAACAGCAAATGCATATGATTTTTTTTTGTGAAAATCATGTTTAATTTTCACAAAATAAGATCTTATGCATCTGTTGTTGCATTAAATTGCACATATACTTACTGTCTTACATATATTACATTTATGCTTACATTTCCCAGCATTTACGCTTTATGACAGTACATATGCAGACACATTTGTCTTTATAACACATGTAAACACATGCCAAAACAAATGCAACATATGCCATATCTATCATATCAAATGCAAACAACTGCCACAAACAATGCCACATAGAATAGATGCAGAGCTTTGTCTCAGAAAAATGCATCAAATGTGCATCTTATGTTGGAGGGTCCAGACCGCTATAGAGTAGTGCTTTTGGATGAAGTTGAGATATCTCCTATTTCGCTCAACATCTCTTAAAGATGATGAAGATGCTTAGAGTTGTTCAGCCGGTTTCCTGGATAAAGCTTGTAGTGGTCGTTGCTCAATCAACCTTTAGAAGTTAGATTAGTTTAGTATACAACTGGATTCTTTGCCAAAGAAACTAAGATTTTTTTAAAGAAAAACACTACACAACATGTGTTTGCAGGCTATCCTTAAGATATAAGATATTGACGATCTTTGACATGATTGGTTTTGGGTGTCTGTAACTGTTGTTTGGCATTATGAAGCTTCAAGCTGATCCAACAGGTCACTGTAGGTATTGCAGGTTGGCAAGAGGTCTCAGTTTCTTCGCAAAGCAGTTATACTCTTGGGTAATTTAACATAGCTAGGGACAATGGACGAACATGGCTCATTTAGTTTGATGATTTACCTACTACAAGTGACAAGTGGTGACTTTGCTGTGTTAGATTACCAGAGGATTTTTTGGTAAGATACATGGGGCTCAAAGGTTCACCGTCAGAAGATCGATCGTGCAATTTGCTCTATGTTCCTCTCCACACTGGGGAAGATACAGATCACGAATTTTACACCCCATGTGTCAGGGTTGCTCCAGCCTATAGAATTATAGCTGAATCATAGCCAGAAATTGGTCATTTTACCGCATTTTGTGCTCTTAACTCTCAGTTTTTGCCGAGGCACCTTAGGCTGTTTGGCGGATGGCAAAAATTGGGGTTGTCGCTGGTGTGGCTTTGGAGATTACTCATCTGTGACATGCCCGTCGTCAACGTGCACATTCGACAATGAGCCGGTCACACCCTACTATTGGGAGCCCTGGCATGGGCCAATGGGGTACCGCAACGAACATGAAATGGGGGCTGCATGGGGTTGCAACGATTGAAGATCGGGATACAACAATTAATATAACCCATGAATACCCTATATAAATATCCTCAATCTGGCCGGTAAATGATTTTGATACAATTGTAGGCTGCTTCCCAGGTTGATCTGCAATGGGCTGCTAATGGGTATCAAAGTATCAAACCACCAGATACAGCGACTCTGCATATTCAAAACGGTCGCCTCCCACGGTCCCAAGGATTCTCTGTGTGAGATGGGTATGCTCGGATGCACCGTGGCTGAAGAGTTGCATCAAGTTACGGAGAGAACCGTGCCATCAACAATTTTCTCGAACAAAAAAAAACTGCAAATCTGAACTTGGCTTAATTTGTCACCCCTAAATCACTATAGTCACTATGGTTGGGGGGGTCTTCACCACCGTTTTGGAGGGAAACGCTGTCGAACAAATGCCTCCCCTGTTCTCTCTGTTGTATCGAGGTAATGCTGATGGAATCCATGTGCAATGCCGATTTTGTGATCACAAGCCCTTCAACTCCGTGCACTGTCCTCCCTCCGCGCGACCGAACTACCAAGACGGTGAATGCTGGTTTCCGCAGGGGACAGCTCAAAGCTACAAGTGGGACAAGAAATGCATGTGGGGAATCCTCGGTCGCTTGGCAGTGCCGCGCCGTTGCGTCGGTATTGTGTTTCTCAAAATGGGGACCACGGGTTTCGGGAACATGTGGATATTTTGATGAGCCATATTCTGTGATTGGTACAGTGAATGTCAGTTTTTTATTCGACATGATTCGACCATAAAGAATTCCAACAGTTTGGAGTGGAATGATGACCCCACACATTCCTACAAGGTGGGGCCCCCGTTTATGCTAGCCAAGTTGGTTTAGTTCACGTGGTTAACGTTTGGGTTTATGGGGGATATAACGTAATATAACATGATATATAACATGTTATAACATGTTATAACTATAGTTAATGGGCTTCATAAAGCAACTTGTAACTGGGGGCCCAGCTTGTACCTTCTGAATTCCATCGTTTTTTGGGGACCCCTCTTGATCTGATCGAGTCAAGAGCCACTTGCTGCCAGGTGACGATGTCGGGATAAGAGTCTAGCACTCCACACAGATGTTGAAAATGTGATGTGTCAAGCAAGATTTCATTCAGGGGTAAAACGAAATCCTTTTGACTCACCTATCCTTTATTGATATGTCGCACTCTCTGACCCATTATGTATATATATATATATATGGCTTACTATAACAAGATTGCCTTGATTCAACAAATATGGTATTTTCATGTATTTTCATGGTCACTTATTTGCTCACCAAATGTCCGGAAAAAATGCAAGAAGATGTGTCAAAAGATATCTCGAAAGATATATCGGAAAAAACAGTCCAGAATAAATGCCAGAAAAAGGTGTCAGAAGATATGTCAGAAGAATGATAGCAGATATGTCAGAATATACATATATATATGTCAGAAACCATGTCAGAGGATTTGTCAACAATTTCAGAAGACAGGTCAGGACATCTATCTCTCTCTCTATATATATATATATATATATATCATCAGAATGCATGTCAGGTCAAAGAAATGGTCAGGAGATATGTCAACATTGGAAGTTTGTAACAGGGTGATGGCACAAAGCAAGGAGGAACTCGCCAGGTTGTTGGGCGGATGGCGTGCATCCGCAATGCAGACACTTGGCACGTGGTGCACTAGAAGGTGGTGTCCCAGGTCGTTGGCTAAGTTGGTGTATCATTGCCAAAACTTGAGTTTATGGTAGATCTATCTTCATAATTCATGTATGTATATATATATATATTATAATATATTCCATATATATTTACATAGTTACTATGGTTTATAAATCATCTTATCACTGGGGCACCACCTAGTACTGGATCCATGGAATTAAGAACGTATGGGAAGAATTTGTTCAATACCATAATGGCTAGAAACTACATATTTATATCTTGGCATATCTTAGCTCAGTGGTTAAAATAGACTCATGAACCTCCGAAGACTCGCATTTCATCCGCAAAAAATGTTGCCATGCTGAAAGGAGAAGCATCTTCAACGTGTTCGAAACAAAATTCCAACAGTTCCAAGTTCCATGTCAGCTTTCAGGGTGCATCAGACAAAAAACATTTGAATGCAACCACCAAAAGATCCAAAAGACTGGAGGGTCACACTGACCCTGCAACCAACACAACAAAAAGACCAAGAAACTCTGGTTGGTGGTTTTGAACATGAATTTTTCATGTTTTCCATATATTGGGAATGTCATCATCCCAACTGACTTGAACTCCATCATTTTTCAGAGGGGCTCAACCACCAACCAGAACTGGTGTTTCTAAAGTGTTCAAGCCCAACGGATCCATGGCCACTGTCTGAGAAGGTACGTCTAACCCCCGAGTCACGTCATCATACCCCAGTCGTACTTCCGAAGGCACGGCTGGATCCATAGGGATTCATAGTTCATTTTTCATCATTCATAATCCATTCATAATCCATTCATAATCCATCAACAGTCCCATTAATCCCAACACTCCCATTCCCCTCTGGTAAACATACAAAAAACTATGGAAAATCACCATGTTCAATGGGAAAATCCACTATAAATGGCCATTTTCAATAGCTATTTTGACATAACCAGAGGGTAATCCATTCAAAGATCTTCGCAGTTCTATTCTCTGTCTTCTGACAGCCCAGGATATTGTGGGCCGGGCTCTGGAGGAGCTTACAAAGGCATTTCTTGCGAGCAGGAGGACCCCAGACATCGGTTTCAGTGGGGGTTTCCATAAATGGGGGTACTGGTACCCCAATAGCTGGATGGTTTATAGTGGAAAATCCTACGAAAAAAGATGATAACTGGGGGTACCACCATTTTAGGCAACCTCGATATGGATGACCCTGTTCCAGAAGATGTGCTTGAGAGCAAAGCCTGAAGAACCGAACATGCAGACGAGGTAGATATCTTCAGCTCAACTTGTTTTTGCTCAGAAAAATTATCAACTTTCAAAATCACCCACCAAACATGACTAGCCCTTTTGTGGACTCGCATGAGCCAAAACCATCAGATCATCAGATCTTCCTAGGGTTGGGCCACCCTTTTATTGGTGGCTCCAAGTTGAAAAGCACCCCCTGGCATGGTAATAAGCTGGTTGATACGTTGCTGGTGTTGAGATGTGCTTCCTCTTGTAGTGGATGGGGTTCTTTTACCCAATGGCTAGTGGAAGATATTTCAGGATGCTCCATTCCATCAGGCAAGTCAAAGTTGGTGAGAGCGAGACCCTCTCTAACTGATAAGGAATGAATTTCTATTCTCTATCTATTTACTTGACCCATGCACATTTAAGTTCACAGCCACAATTGATCCATTGGGGGTTCCAAAAAAATGTCCCTGGTACCCACCCCATTGGTTTCTCCCGTCCAAATCAATCTCTTCGTGCAGCGGTGGTGGCCAAGTTGAGCATTCGCATGGCAAACCCATGACCACTTGAACAGTGGCTGCGAATCCTGGTTGGTTGGTAATTTTTCGGGGATTTTACTCTCCAATATCCAATAGAAATTGGGATAATTGGGGACTGGGGAGGATCATCATCCACTAGGAATCCCGTTCCTAGCCAACAAATAAGATGGAATGGTGTTGCGGGGTTTGAACATTGCTCACTTCGGAATCCCCCAGAGTTTCCACCCCTAAAACTGGTGGGCTCCGGGCAAGCGTAGGAAACTCTGCTCCCATGATTTGTGCACATCCTTGAGAGCCTTTCACCACACACTCTGCGTTGGACCTTTGGTTTGTGTGGGAGTCGGTCTTTGATTGTTGCTTACTGCACGGGGGGGAATGGAGGTAGAAGGATCAAGACAAAACAAACATTGATTGTGCCAATTTATTAGTCATCCAGTCAATCATCAATATTCATTGAACGTGTAACCATTTGGAGCATAGCGATTTAAGGAGCTTTGGGGGTAGCGAGCCCTGCGATCGAGGTACAGCAACCAGTGCTTCCTAGGAGTCACTACCAGGTCGGTCTGCTGAAGTGCACACAGGTCCTGAAGAAAAGGCTAGGAATCACTAAGAATAAATGCCATGGTTTCAAGGATAAACATCCATAAATCAAATCTACTTTGAAGTCGAAAACGGTGGGACCGAGCTCTGACCCATCTTCATATGATGTTATTTGATGTACATAATATATAGTGTGTATATATAAGCAATATATAGTTATAGATATAATGTTATACATACATATATATATATATATATATTATTCGTTTCATACCCTATGGATCCAAACACCTCCTGAGAAGGTACTTAACCCCACAAATCATACCCCAAACGCTTCCTAAGAAGGTATTTGGATCCATAGGGATATATATATATATAGAGATGTGATCATGGAGGAAAAATATGCTTTTTGTGATCCCCCCAAACGGTCGTCACCCAAAAGGTCATTTTTTTTCGTCACCTTGTCGCAGGAAGAGGTCACGAAGAGGACCCATCTTTTGGGGGATCTTCCAAGGTGTTTTCATCCCAAATAGCTGGTAACTGGTATTTTTTTCTATGGTGGTTAATGATAGTTAATGGTGGTTAATGGTGATTAATGGTGATTAATGATAGTTAATGGGAATCTGGTAACTGGTAATTTCTTACATAGCGAACTGGAAAATGGCCATAGAAATAGTGGATTTACCCAGCTATAAAATGGTGGATCTTTCCATAGTTACGTAATAGTTTACCAGAGGGTAGCTTGTCTGGTAATTTCTTACATAGCTATTGAAAATGGCGATAAAAATAGTGGATATCATGGTGATCTGGTTGGTGGTGACTGGAACATGAATGGATTGTGACGACTTCCTGAATAGTTGGGATGATGATCCCAATCTGACTAATATTTTTCAGGGGTGTTGAAACCACCAATTTGCTTGTGTTTTTCACATATGTTGCAGCAAACATGAGCAAAATCGATCTTCAAATACTGCTGGAGTACGCCATTGGTAACGACTGAGATGCCCCAACAAGGTCGGTATCTGAGTTCTTAGACTTATCTCAATCGGATGCAACCTATAGCTACTAATCATTAAAGTCAATATTTGAGGCTTTTTGTTCGATTATGATTGAGGATGCGCATTCTCTTGAAACCACGTCGCTGCCCAGGAATTCAGCAGCGCAGTCGCGAGGATTTTTGTGGTAGCCCTACTTTCACCTGTAGTACAACACTCAGGTCATAGGGTATCAGATCAAGCCCCGGTACAAAAGAAGGCCAGGCCTAGTTTTGCGATACAAAAAGCCATAAGTTGACGGAAACCCCGTTGTTGCCAAGGATCCGCGGTGGAAAGAAGTTTTTTTTCAGGGGGGTCCTAAATGGGGTTCGTACTGGAAAATAAGCTACGTACTCCCACTGGTTGGTGGTTTCAAACATGGCTGGATTATTTTCCATTTCATATATGGGATAATCCTTCCCATTGACTAATATTTTTCAAGATGGTTAAAACCACCAACCAGCCCAAATTCGTGTTTGTACTCGCATATGTTTCCCCAAAAAAAAGACATCCTGGACATGCGCTGGGGTGAACTGAACCGCAGATGGAAACAGAGTGGAAATACCTGACTAACGAGACTAAATCTTTGGTAATTAATTAGCATTTACCCTATTGGAATTTAGAATTGTCATCACTGGGTATATCCCAGTTCCAGACGCACCTAAGTAGTATAATGTGGTACATTGAT